CATGATATGCAATAACGATAAGCTCGGGGATTAAACGGTAACTTTCGGCAACGGTACACGTTGGTGTTAGGAAACCGTTTATGGCGATATCGCGGAATATCCACTTAATTGTCTTTTATCATTTTACCTCCGTCGTTCGCAATCGTTCCGCGTATCGCTTCTCTTTTTAATTTAGGGATAATCGCGCATCGTGAATTACCTTACTGTCTCGCTGGTTCGATCTCGACGCGCGTTCGTTTCCGTCGCTACCATCGTCGTTCAATATCTCAGACAGCTTCTAATACGAGCGCCGCGCCGCGCGTTGTTCGCCATATACTTCCAAATTGCGCACGGCGGCTAATAGGAATTTTGATTGACCAAATTAAATAGTTATCGAAGGAGATCCGCGTGTTTTTATTTGGCTTCCTTTTTTTCTTTCTTCCTCGCATCGATTAACTTTATTAGGAGCCCGCTCGTTTGTGGAACATTAAAGGTGGGATGGGAGGAGGACAAAAAGGAAGAGGGTGGACCGAGTCCTCGCGCGGCGGCGGCAGCGACGGCGTGCGAGCGGATTGCGGGAGGATGGGGGGGAGGATAGCGAGATCGAGGTGAGGGGGAGAAGAGAGCCCGGGTGGAGGATGGGGTGAAAGGAAGTTCACCGAGGCAATTTGTTGTTAAGTCGGAACTCATTTTCTAGAACCCACACCCGACTAATGCCGCGACTGGGCCTGCAGGCCACCTCATTACCAGACCTAGTCAATTTCAATTTAATTTGCCAGTCGGCTGTTTCGCGGAAGGCAGGGTGTACGTGCGCACGTGTGTGTATGGGAGAGGGAGAGGGAGGGACGGAAAGAGTGGCGACCGCATAGCTTTTTAATTAAACTGGAAACCGAGGCCGCGCGATTAATCATTATTATCTAGAAAAATTAAAGCTAGCAGCGGGAGAATGTGTTTCGCCCGTTGTGTGCATATGCCCACCGCGCGCGCGTTACGCGGCAGATTTTGTGCTGCTCGTGCGAGAAGCTGACCTGCATCCGTGTTTATTATGTCGCACAAAATGTCCCGAGAAAAGGCAACAACCTACAGCTTTGTACAAGTACCTGCACATGTGTGACCTGGCAAAGAAAATAATCGGTATAGGGTTTTTACACTTCGTCGTTGGGAGATCCGAAACGATACAACGGAGATCCTGGCCAGATCGGATAATTGTAAACGCACGGTTTGCCTACGAGGGACGACAATTTCCGTCTTCCATCGACGACGACCGTCAAAGAGGTTCGCGCGCGGAGTGAACGACGCGTTCAAGACGCGGATGAAATTGAAGACGCCCACAAAGGCTCGGATCCTCGCCACGCCAGTCCGAAATTTGGATTTTTTAATAGCACAAAGCGCTAATGAATCCATTTAGTCTCGCGAGGGGGGGCGGCCCGCTCGACCCTCGCTCGATACAGGGATCTTGGATAAACGGACAAACGAACCAAATAATTACGCTAATTAAAGCCGCCCAATTTGTGCTTTAGACAATTAAAGTGCCGAGGGTAAGGTAGTCTAACTCATTAACAGGCGGGGGTCGGCCACATACACACGGGCGCGCTCCCCGTGTGTGAATACATCGTTTCGGCTTACGCGCACCCGCACGTCCTTGTGTGTCTCTCTCTCTTATTCCCTCTTGTTAGCGGCGGAGTGTACGCGCTGCTGTGTGCGGCAAAGGGGCACGCATAATGAGCGAGGGTGCCTGGATGAGAGGGCGATCCGTAGGGCGGAGGGCGCACTTGCTCGCGAATCTTTCGAAATCGTGGGTTACGTTATTTTATAAGTTGTCGCGATATAACATAGAATCGCGAAGAAAAATTCGTACTGTACCGCAATCAAATCATATTGTGAGGTTTACATAAATTTCATCTTGTGCCCGTGAAACGGTTTACAGATCAATTCTGAATTTATTAATTGCGGGAGATCTCGTCCGTCGTTCGAATCGAATTGCTGCCTGCTGCTTGGAATTGCGAAACGCGCACACGCGTGACACGCGCCTTTAGAGACGCTTGTTAGAGCGGGCAAGATTGACACGTCGGTCGCAATTAAAACGCAAGGGAGCTCGTGCTCGCGCGCGGCAAATTGCGTATCAAGTTGGAGGAGTCGGACAAGGAAGGCGAGGCACTCGTATTATCATTGGTGAAATCAACTAATTAGAAATTGCGTAGACCGCTCGTTAAAGATCGCCCCGCCGACCGTAATCGCCAATTACTCTCTTAGTGCGGACTGCAGTGAACTTCGCTCATTAAAATTATTAAACGCCGCGGGCGACGGCGACCGGGGGCCTCGGCGTTTGACGTTTCTACACGCAGCGCGGCGCATTGTTGGATCGCCAAATTTTTGCGATCCACCCGTGAGAGATTATGAAATATAAATTACAGATCGTATTTTTCACGGCGGATTCTTTAATGAGTCCGGTTTTCCTCCGGAGATCGTACGTAATGAAACGTAAATTGTACCGTACGGATAAAACAGGTACAGGAAGTAATTAACTATATATACTCACAATTAAAATATATTTGGTTGTAAATTTTTAAGTACACGCATGTACGGCCCTCGTGCGAGTGAGATAAATCTTGGCGCGATCAATGTTTTAACAAAGATATATAGAGATTGTTATTATATATTAGTCGGCCGTGTGCGGCGCGGCGCGCGCGATAATATCGCATCATAACAGACGGTGTTCGTTGTCATTCATCACTGGCGTCGAACCGTTATTCGCTAGTTACTTTCGATCAATTACTCCACCAGCAGAGCACGTATGCCTCACTCAGCCTATTAGGACGGAACACTCGGATATCTAATTTAATACAGGACGCTCTGATTACCGACTGAAGATGTATACAAATGCCGAGATGACAAAAAATTCTACCGCCGCGCCGGCATTTAATTAACCGCTCGACTATCACGTTGCTGCGATCAATATAGTCGTCATCAAATATATCTAAACTATTAATGAGCCCGAGCAAGGGGCTCGTTTCAAGTAACGATAATTAAGTAAAATAACGAATAATTTGCGCGCTCTGTTTGACATTTTTTATGACTGTCATAAATAAGCTCATGGATAATCGAAAATTCTTGCTTGTCATCAGCTTTCCAGAATGGTCACGTAAAACACGCGTGAATAATGATACTGGTAATGGCGTCGGACGATTAAGAGGCCAGAACGAGAGAGAGAAAGAGAAAGAGAAAGAGAGAGGGGGAGGAGAGGAGAGGAGGAGAAAGGAGAAGCAGATTTTATGGCTGATCCTCGATCATCAGCTGTATAATTCCTTCTATCCGTTCTAGCTGATTGACTTGGCCGTCGGCCTCTAATTAGCAATTATGGAGAAATCGAAAATGCGATTCGGTCGAGCGGGGCGCACGCGTTTCTCCGCTCATTAGTCCGCCAAGTATTCGGCCCGGAAGTAGATATTATACGACCGAATTGATAAAGATCGCGGCCGCAATTAAAATCTACCACTTCGATTTATTTACGAGACACCTGACGCGAAACTCGCCGAGGAAACCACTTTTGATTAGTATCTCGCCCACGTGCGAGACGATATAGGTATAACGTCTTACGTAAGGCGCGAGAGTTTTAATCAATGGTTAATTGGTTTGAAGAAAATTGAATTAATATATAAATACGTGATGGAATAATGTCGCAGTTTCTGAACAATCGTTTTTATATTCGCATATTATATAAATATAGATAAACGAGACGCGCCTTATGGTCGATCAGCGTATTTAATAATGCGTGAAACAACGTGTATACGACACACTTTGCTTTCTCGAACCGCGTCGGTTTATGCACGAGAAAGTAACGCTGCGCCCGAAGAGAGTCTCGCGCGTTTCAAAATTTGTGGATTATCATTTTCTTGTCGCGGGGAGTAGGCAAAATCGACCGACGCGCTAAGCTTGTTTGCATCCGCATATTTCAGCAGAATTTATCAGCTGAACGCGCATTTATAATTGAACCGTTGCAAACGATTGAAGACAAACCGCAAAAAAAATGAAAATAAAAGGGAATGAAAGAAAGAACAAAAAGCGGGGAAAAATGAAAGAGAGAGAGGGAGGGAGAGAGGGAGAGAATAAAAAGGGAAAGATTGAAACGTCATTCGTGGGAGCAATCATCGAGATACTGGCCGTGCGATCAGCTGTGGATCCCGGGCAGATAAATTAGCAATTTAATTATAGAACTGTCAGCCGGTAATTAAATTAATAACGAGAAACCTCAAATCCAATCCGCTCCGTCGTCGTAACAGCCTTATGCGCGCTCTCGGAGTAAAATCCGACGCAGACATCGATATGTCGGCTATATCGCGCGTTTCAAAAGTCGATTTAATTAAATATTCCATTAGCGTTAAATGCGAAGTTCGATTTTGACAGTGGCACGTATGCCGCGCGACCTCGCCTCGGCGAGCGGCTTTATAGCTCGAGATAGATCGTTAGACTCGGCGAGCCTTTCCCGAGTTTCGATTCGATGCGGGATTTTCAGGTTCGTTTCTTGAAGTCGCGGCTGTGAGAAGGATGGTCGAGTGCGTGTGCGATGTTACCCGTGCGTCGGATGCGTCTCCCTCGCGGAGAGGAGCTCCTTACGCCGTCGGCGCGTTGGAGAGAGAGACGTGAAATCGTGGCGCTCACCTCGAATCCCCGTCCGACATACCTACGTATCGTTACGTAGCTAATTGCTGCATAAACAGTCGACTTTACGAGCCAACGGGTATACGGCTGACAACCGCTTCGCAAACATTTAACTGCCATTAACGCAGGATACGAGCGCGCATCGCGTCGCATTGCGCGGCACGAGACGCGCCGGTATTGAAACTCGATGCGTGTCCAAAACCGCGAACGAAATTGTTGAAAAATAATCGCGGGCTTGATGCCGTAATCAGACATCTGGCGCAGACGTTCTCGGAAACGCTCTCTTCGCGGATAACGATTCCGGATGGACACGTCGCGTCCTTGAACCGAGTCTTAATCGGACATTTTTTTTATTATTGCAGATTGTTCGGCAGCAGCGGCGTCTGTTCGAGTTGCAACAACGCGATACCCGCGAACGAGTTGGTCATGAGAGCCGGCGACGCGGTGTTTCACCTGAAATGCTTCAGCTGCAATAAGTGCGGCGGTCAGCTCGTTTCCGGTGACAGGTGAGTCCTCCGTTTGTGAATTTCATCCTTCTTATCTTACGTTCGGGCAATCTTCACCCGACCCGACGAGAAAGCCTTTACGTGACACGTGACTCACAATTTCAGATATTACTTAGTGTCGGGCACGCCGGTTTGCGAATCCGACTGGCACAAGATCGTGAAATCGACGAGCGTCGCGGCAGCGGCAGGCGCAGCCGGAAACAGCGGTGCGCCCGTTAGGAAAGGTAAGGTCGGCAGGCCTCGAAGGAGCCGCGAATGAGGCGGCAACCCGGTCGGTCGCCCGAAAAAGGTCCAACCCTCTCCGCAGCCGACGCCCCCCGTCGTACCTTCGCCTCAGGTAGACGTAGTGGACGTCGCCGTCGGGGTGGATCCCTATTCGCCGCCTCCGCCGGGTCATCAGCACTATCATCAGTATCACCATCACCACCATCACCAGATGGCACTCGTGCATCCGGGTCTGGCGGCTCAGCAATCGCACCTCCAGGCGTCCAGCTATCAGGACTGGTCGTCCTGGGCTCAGGATACCTGCGATTAGACTCGAGCTGCCCGCCGCAAAAGGACCGTATCCCAAAGGACAGCGCGATGAAGAACGAGCCTACCTAATTTATCTAGCGTCGCGAGCCCAGACGCCTCAGAGGAATCACAAAGAGGGGAGAAGGGCTAGCGTAGTGTCCCTTGGGAACCGCCATCGGCGACTCTACGAGTCGGAGTGTCTATCGTGATATTGACGTGTTTGAACTTGCCGTGGTAGCCGAATGTCTCCCAACATGCGGTGCCGCGATGTTGAACATAATTGAACTGGCCGCGAATATCGAGCGTCTCTGCGTTCTGACGGTGTTGACGTGTCGAGTGCGTCCGAACTTGCCGCGAATGCTGGAAATCTCTGAACGTCTTTGAATTTGGATAATTCAGAACCGCAAATACCTCTGGAACGACAAAGTGACAAAACTCGAACAAGAGTTTGCACGCAAGAGTTTTCGCATTAATATTGACACATTGATGTTGTGAATATCGAAAGCATCCTTAAGTTAATTCAGCAATTTGGATCTTACTCTTCGTCAAAAAATAGCGTCCAAATTTTCGATCGGAAATGTTGATCACATTTGCGACAAGTTGAGACGGCACTCGACACCGCATTGCAGAAGCATTTTTGCCACGAATCCGCCGGTCTTCTTAATAATTATCTTTGCTCAATTGTAAAGAATCGAAGAAAGTTTAAGATACGACCCATCGTGCATCTACCATCAGCCGCAGTAGTGACGTCAGTTCTCTTCTTTAAAATCTTTTGCAGTCGTCGTATTGCAATTACCTTGACACAAGATGTGAAATGTAGAATTCGTTGACACCTACGACTGGCACAACTTGCAACAAGCGTTCGCACGTTTGCAAAATATGAAAATAATTCTTCCCGTCGATGTCACTCTCAAGATCATTACCAAATTATTTTCCGATGTCCGAAATCTTTGCGTTATTCTATTTCATTTTATGATTAGGGAGATTATCTCAATTCTGGTTACAATTTTAGTCGCTTCTAAGTTTCCGCGAGCACGCTCCGTCGATTCTTGGTTGTCGCCACTTGGAAGACAACACGCGTCTTCGGAACGGCCGCGGCGTCGCGTGCTAAATTCGACACGTGCGATCAACGAGGATCTAATCGCGCGAGAAAGACAGACGGCAATCGAACGGGGAAGGAAAGAGAGGAAAGAAGAGAAAGAGAGATAATTCGACGAGAGATCGAACGCGAAACGACGGCGGGGCACGCAGTTCTGGACCCTTAGAAAATTATTTTTCTTTCAAAATCACCGTTCTCCTGTCGATCCGCCGCCGCGCTTCGTAAACTCATTAGGCGGCCCTTGTTCCCGCCATCGTTAATTGAGTGTCGAGGTGAGACGAACGACACGGAATTATCATTCGAATCCTTCTTGTTAGGCATCCGCGCCTGCTCGCTTCTCTCCTCCCTTTCTTTCCCTTTCCTTCCTTCATTTCGCTCGCATTTTCGCTCTCCCTCTTCCTTTCTTGAAAATTTATCATATTTGAAACAGCATAATCAATTATGTTTAATACGTACAAAACGAAATCCTTCTTCCACGGTGTCGGTACAATTGGATAAAATTTTAGCGTAATCATAAGTACATTACGATTCGCTAAATTTCATGTAATGTACAAAAGTAATCGGTGTCGTTCTCGAGGAGAGAACAGAGTTCAATTATCCCGAAAAATATATTTTTCTCTCTCTCTCTCTCTCCCTCTTTTTCTTTCGTTTAGCGAAGTGTACGTTACGCATTGGTTGTTAAAGTTGATCGATGCAGGATTGTCTGCGGAAACCGTTGTTTGCCAGCAACAACGTTACAATAAGTCTAACTTCCGATCGAAAGAGCATCGATCCTTCGACGAGATTTAACTTAACAAATTTCCTCTTTGTCGCAGTTCTTAAATTTTCGACGTTCGTCAAGCATTTCCGAAGAGTAATCGCGTGCTGCACCGAAGAGTACGCGGACGACACCCGTTGCGCGCATACGCTAAGTGATGTAACTCGCGGCGAGCAAGAAATGACATTGGCGTGCAACGTGCTCGAAGCTCAAAGTACAACGGATTCAGAGGCGGGAATAAGTTTCGGCGCGAGATGTGTATCATAGAAGCAAAATCGCCCTGTTACTCGTTTCATTCGTCAAATACTCTCATTTTAAATGATGATTCGCGAGAGCGCGCACGTTTGCGCGTGCACCGCAACGATCTCCGATCGAGCGTCGTTCGCACTTGGAAATCTTCAGTATCGTTGTGTCACAGTTCGTGCGTGAGCGGATCATGCCGCGGTTACCACGGAAATTGGGCAAAGACGACGCTGAAGAGTCATGGTAGTGCAAACGGCTTGATATTAAGGATTCGGAATCTGATAAGACGCTCTCGAAGAAGAATCGACGCCGCCAAGGATCGCGATCGATTTCATGACTCTGCGACGACGCCGACGGAGACGGTGAAGAGCGGCATATACAGACGTGTACATGTAGAGTGGGCAGGAAGTTGCGCCGACGGATTATGTCAAGGATGCACAAACTCTTATTTCGACATCGGCTCGGACATAAGGGGCAATGGCGCTTGCCATCACAGATCTTGGACCAGACGCACGAACGAGATAAAAAATGATTCGCGATGAGTCTCAATTTTGATTTTTAATCCATTTTATTACATATCTCGGACGTATAAATTAGAAAATTTCTATTAATCGGACAACTTGTATATTCGAACATGTATAATCGGGGAGCAAATTTACTCAGCTCGCTTGAATTTCCTTTCGTTGTCACGTGCGCGTGTCGGATTGGGGTTTGTGCATCGTTGGCTCGTGTAATTTAATCTTGTATATAGGGTACATTTTGTATATTGTTAAAAGTTTGTGTGATATAAATGGTTATGTATTTACTATCGAGCGCGAACGGCGAACGGGGCACCCGCGCGTTTATTCCACGGGCGATCGGCCGATACGCGACGTGCCATGGTTTTCCGTGGTCCTGCATCGCCGAGTGCGGTCGCGCAGCGACGTTTTCCGTCGTAACGTCGTAACGACGGAATACGCTCTACGCTCGCTCCTTACGAATCTCGGTTTCGACATCTATCCGAAGTTTCGTCGATTAATCGAATTAAATCTCGTCTCGAATGTACATAACGTTAAATTTTGTATCGTTTTTCGTCCGTTTTCTTTTTTATTCGTTATTTGACGTTTCGTCAGCACGCGATTTCGCGAAGTCGAGGAGACGCGGCGTCTCGTCGCCAAACGGCTCCGCGACCGAGAACGATTGCTGAGAGCCCCGTCGCGCGACTCGCTCGTCCGATTTGCGCAACGAGAAGCAACCGTTCAAGGACAGCGCCGCGCCGTCGCAAAACTCGCGTACGGAGCGCATGATCGCGTCACGGGATCTCGGGCAATCGTGAATCGAATTGCGACGCGCGACGTCGCGCGCTGCGTACCGCACTCGGCACGCACTTGGCGGGCCCGGAAACGATCGCGCGAGGAGCACGGAAAGTCCCTTCCCTCCGCCCCACGCCCCCGCCCCATGCCCCATGCCCCACGCCCGTCCCATCCCGCCCGGCCGAGTGGCACGCGCGCGGACCGCGACGACCCGGTCCCGCGCGCGTCTCTATAGTTAATTTTGTTATTTCATTAATCTCGGACTTCTTCGTAATCGGGACCCGACATCTGTATGTGGTTTCGCGGCCTCTTGTAAAATACAATTACACCCATGGAACACACACGCGCATACACACAATCGTACGCGAACACGATTTATTAATTAATAAAAAATCACAAGTTTTTAGAAAACGGGAGGAAACCCCTCACCTGTGGTTGGTGTCATTCATTTACCCGGTACTCTGCAATCCCAGATTTTCTTTCAGGATTGTATTCAACGAAGGCGACTATTATCAAGCAACGTAAAAATTCTCATTACACTCGTGACTGCGGGGTAAGGAGAGAAGGGAGGAGCAGCCGGTTGATTCGGTTAGCGTTAAGCGAGTTAAGCGGGAGGGAAAATCGATCACGAAACCATTATTCCTTACCGCCCGCTCCCAAGTGGCTGAATTAATTCGAATGATTCGAATGTTTCGTTTCGGCGCGAGGCCGGTTTTCAGCCAACTTCACGGCGACGAGCGCGGTCGTGCTCGCGCGCGCGCAAACGAGCGAGCAAGCGAACGACTCGACATTCTCCAGTCAGATAGATATTTAACAAGGTAGGAAAATTGTCTCGAACGAACAAAGCTCTAATATCTCGTCGACGAGAGTTGCGAAAGGACATCCCAGAGCAGCGCGCTCGCGTAATCAACATTTGTCAGTTTCTCTAAAAATAGTCTGAAAAGTATCGGTATCCCTCCCCTTCCCCAAGATTCCCTTTAAATTCGATTCGCGCGTTATCGGGACAACGAGCGACCTGATAGGAGGCCATCAATAATTACCTGGACCCGTGCCCGCCTAACTCTAACGAAGGACGATTTCTAACGATCCCCTCGCCAGCGTCCAACTTCTGGACGTAATTAATTCCCGGGCTAACCTGGAATGCTATAATTAATTGCCGGTGGGGCTGATGAGGGGCAGAGCGCAACGGGTGCAACAATATGTACCCCGCTTCGATTAGAAGTGTGGGGGTTGGGCGGAGGTACCGGCGGAAACCGGGGAGACGGCGCGGGGCGGGGAGGAGAGGGGAGGGGACCGCCTCCGCTCGCAGTTATGCAATTAATTAAATTCAGTTTGTTATTCGCCGTCGACTGTTAATTGCCGCAAAACTTCAAGAAACTGCACACGCTTGACGTTTCAAAATGCATCGCGCCGCCGCGCCATATTCGCGATCGTATTCAAGATCGCGACTGTCAGTCGTATTATCTAAAGTATTGTGTCTCGGGGAATCGTAATTAGCGTCTATCGAATTTTCGCGACGCGACGGACGCGTCAAAAGGTCTCGTTAGCGTTCTCGCGTTAATCGCGCGCGTTCTCGATCCGCCGAAAAAAAGAAAAAAGAAGGTATTCTCCGAAAGAACGTTAACTGATTACGTCAGTGACACATACTCATAATTAACAGTACGCGTGTACAAGCGCGCGCGAGATGCACGCCGGTAACCGCGCCCGTTTGACCTCGGATTTAATTGATACGTTCGCGAGACAGTCGGCAAATAAAAGATTAGGACGCGACGCGAGCGGTTTAATTAGCGAGAGAAGAGAGATTTCCCACACTCTTTCACTTTCGCGTGACGAACCGTCTTGCAGTCACGCTAGTCGGTTGCGAAAGAAAAATGGTAACAATATTCGAATTAACGAGAAAAATCGGGATCTTTGAACGCTGAGAAAAGCGAATAATGTCGAAACGCTTTTCATTTATTTCTTTTCAATTCCTAAACTATATACTGATTGTTAGAAATAAGATTCGCGATGTTATACGGTTTTTGCCTTCCCGTTATTCATGATCGTTCGTTGCATCGCAGTCTGGAAGCATTTCTCGTTTCGGGAGCGCGCTTTGGCGCATCTATTCCTTTGTTTTTAAGAAGAAACAAAAAGAGAAACGAGAGGAACGGGGAGAAGGGAGAGGAGGAGGAAGAGAAGAAACGAAAACAATCGATACGACACGCCGGCAAGGCCAATCGGGCCGCGTTCTATTCGCGGCGCGGCCAATCAAAATGCCTACTACGTCGCCGGCAGGCCCGCTAATTAGACGCCACGTAAATCAGTCCTGAAACTCAACGTTAATTAACACGGGTTTCCGTTGGAGTTGCTTAGCCACCTATTTATCGAACGACACAAACGCAATATGGTCGGACACATGTACGTCCGTTAAATATTAATAAAGGGTGAAATTTAAACCAATACCTTGAGTTAGATAACATTGTTATTTTTAATTACACGTATTGAAATTTATTATTTGAACACAAAATAGTAGTAATTATTTTAAATCCATTGGTTTAGTTAAATTAACGACATATATGTTGTGTAGGAGCAGTGGCGACCTACGGGAATGGTTAAAAATGACTCAAATTGAGTATAATTTGACCATACGAATTTAAACAGGATAATCTCGCGCGAAATGAAGATCGGCGAATGCAGAATCGCGAGACGCGAACGAGACGATCAGCTCCTTCGCGACAAATAAAATCCGCTCCTCGTTGTGGGCGTCTCGGCTTCGGAGCTCGGAGCTCGGAGCAGTCGGAGCTCGGTTGATGACGACCACTTGTTCATCTACTCCTTAATCCCTTCTGCTTGTTAACACCGCGCTATACGCTCCGCCGGCGGGACGTTGCCGGGGAGACAAAAAGGGATCGTTAGCGCTCGCGGCCGTGTAAATACGGGCATACGTGTTTCGAAGCGGAGTGCGGCCCGCCGCCGTCCGAGTATTTCGGATGGCGTCTAACTAATCCGATGGAGAGTTTTCAAAACGCGGATTCTGCCATCCTGACGATAATCGGGGAACGCGAATAGAGTTTCACCGTTACCGGCACGATCCAACTCCTAGGCTTTCGAGACACCTGCATCGCGAAATCATCGATAATCAGCTATTCGCGAGCAACAGGTTTAAAGGTTTAAAGAATAGAGAATAGATTTAAACACCGACGCTGACGCGTTCCCGTCGGTTAAACGCGTAAACGGACGTGCGACGCGACGCGACGTGCCACGTCATTATACAATGACATTACGCAAATTTCACGGGCCCGGACGCCCCGTCGAATTTGTTTCTCGCGGCGTATATGGCGTATATCCGCGTGACGGACGGCGCGGGCGGGGTGGAAAAATAAAAGGAAAAGGGAAAGAGGGGAGGAGAATGAAGAATCCGGGGAGACAGACGAGGGGTTGCGCGCGAGGGTGGATCGGTTGACACACTGGCGAGGCAATTATTATTGTGAGTGGTTGGCGACGGGACTCCGATGATATTTTATTTAAGAAACAATCGGGTAATAGCTCGCTTCAAGAGGATAGATAACGCCGCGAGCGCGAGACGGAACCCAGAGAGGCCGAATGGGACCGGGGAAAAGTTGCGGCGGGATAGAGAGAACGAGCTACGAGAAAAGGGAATTACGGAGGACGAGCGAGGGGGGTCGGGCGGGGCGGGCGGCAGAAAGATGAGAGGGGAGGCAAAAGGTGAACTTTGAGACGGGCTTGGTATCGGGGTATAAGCTCTACATTAGCGAATTACCCGCGTGCGCTCGCTCGCGGGTCCCTCGGCGGCGAACGATAAATATACCAAGGCAATCCGAAAATATTGTTCGAAGTATTCGGGGAAAATCCGTAGAAAAGAAAAATCCGGGAAACCGCCGACCCTCGAGGAGAAGAGTTAAGACTTGACCGTGTGGCCAGATTCGTAGCCTCGACTCGAAGCGCGCTCGAGAGGATCGGTTTTGAGTTCTCGATTGCGTTCAAGGACAAACGGCGTCTCAAGGGGGAGCACTGAGACGTCTCACGATTGCGACAATCGCTACCCAGCTATTTGTTTCATCCTTTTTGCGCTCTCATCGCGCGTGCGACAACTGCGACGGCTCGAGCCTCGAGGGCTCGCGATCGGGAATATCGGGATCCGCGATTTTGAGATCCGTGCGGATACATATACATAAATAATCGCGTCTGCAGCGTCCTCGTTAGGAACGCCAGTAGAGCTAATCCCGATTTGCTTGGGCAGAAAAGTGAATAGTGGCGCTCATCTAGCGGCGGACAGGTAGAAATATCGAATTTATACGTCACTCCGCGACAGACTGGTAATCCTAACCTGCGACGATCTCCTCCGAGCGCAAAGTGTCCGAGAATATTTTCGTAAGTGAGGGACATGGCAGACGGCAATCACTGCATGTACTTTGTCGAGCGCAAGAAGCGGTTCTGCCGCATGACGGTGCGGGAGGGCCGGCGGTACTGCGGCGAGCATCAGCGGGACGTCGCCGGCCCCGGCCCCGACGCCGGGGACGAGAGAGTGCCGTGTCCGTTGGATCCCACCCAGCAAGTATTCATTAAAACTGCGATCGTGTTGTACATTCTAAGCGGAAGTTAGCCTAGCGTGGTATCGATGCATTTTTTGCCTTCCAGCACGTGTTATCGTTCAAAGCTGACGAGGCACCTGGGCGTGTGCAACGCCAAGCGGAGGCTGGACGCGCGGCCCGCCTTCGTGGTCGAGGGAGCGAATTTGGACGCGGAGACTATTGCCGCGCCGCCGCGCGTGCCCCTGTCGCAACTCGACGAGTCCGTCGTGGGGACGGTGATAAGAAAGATTCATGCCGCCTATGGTACAATTGAATTTAAAAATCCCTTCCGCTTTCGTGTATCTCTGTCTCTCTCTCTCTCTGACATGTCCCTTTCAGAAAAGCTGCCAGAGTTTTCTCGAACGATTCTGAGGCACGACGTGCTCGAAGACAAATTGAGCGACGAGACCTGCGGCAGGAACGTCAGAAAGCACTTGCTCCAAAATGCATCTCTGCTGGGACATCTGGAGCAAGCCGGTCTCGTGCGAGACGACACTTGCTTCGTCGAATTCGGGGCTGGAAAAGGTACAATTCAGTTATGACAGCATTCTTTGATTCGGATGAATTTCGTTTCTGTCTCTCGAACAATTTGTTATAAGTTGCGCTGCAATAAAAAAACTAAATAAAATCGTACTTTAAACAGCTCAGTTAACATACTGGTTGGGGCAGATTATAAAGAACAAGTCAAACTCTTGCATCTTACTAGTCGATCGTTCCAGTCACCGACACAAAAGCGACAATAAGCTTAGAAGGGAGGAGAGTCGCCTCGTGATAAAAAGAGTACGCGTCGATATCGCCGATCTGCAGTTGAACCAAATCGCGGAGATCCAGCCGATCAAGTACAAGGTCGGCATAGCGAAGCATCTCTGTGGCACGGCCACTGGTACACTGATTTCACTCCTGAGCTAAAGCTCCATTTTTGTTTTGTCATATATCGACACTTATAATGATACGCTTTTTAGACTTGACGATACGTTGTTTGGTGAAGTCGATGAACGACGAACCTAAGGTCGACGTACGCGGCCTGATTGTCGCGTTTTGCTGCCATCACAAATGCGAGTACTCTTCATATGTGGGCCGGGAGTACCTGCGACAATGCGACTTTATTGCGGACGAGTTTCCCGTTCTGTGCAGCATAGTCAGTTGGGCGACCTGCGGCTCTCGACCTGCGGCTTTAAAGAGCGACGTTAACTCGCCACGTCATCTCCCGGCACAGGAGATCGCTAGCCAGTCCTCGAGGTCGGACGAACGCGAGAGTATCGGGCGTAAAGCTAAAACGTTGCTGAATTGGGGTCGTCTGGTCTTTCTGGAGAGCGTGGGATTTCAGGCCGAGCTGCTTTACTACACCTCCCTTGACGTCTCATTAGAAAACATGTGCATCGTAGCTACGCGAGAACGTTCATTGTGACTAGAAATACATTCTATTTATCGTTAATCTACGCTCCAGTTGACTCCAGAATCATTCTTGTTGCCAATAAATATGTTTCTACATAAATTCATATTTCAAATTCGTCACCTCTTCTAAGCTAGCAGAACCAAATCGGCAGAATCAAACCTGATAATTTGTACCACGAAAATATAAAGTTTCAGATTATGTACCCTAGCCGTTTGATGGAAAACTACCCCTGATCCCTAACAGTCTCAAGAGGTACTCTTTCTTATCAGCAGAATCAATCACTACTTGTAGTAGTGTATTTTAAGTACAGTTCTCTCTTAAGCCGAAAAGATGGGGTGGTTGTCTTGCAAAGAAGTTGTAGCTCAATAATCGAAATGCATGTATTTTGCGAGCTTATGAATTAGTAAACGATATTTAGTCGCAAAATAATTAATTTTATTCATTTTAAGTACAGTTCTCTCTTAAGCCGGGAAGATGGGGTGGTTTTCTTGCAAAGGGGTTATAGCTGAATAATCAAAATGCGCGTATTTTAAGAGTTTATTCTTAGAGTTTATACGCTATACGAATTATTTCCGCGATACGATATATTTAAATTTTTCTCAACATTTTTCTCTTAAGTTGAATCAATTAAAGGGTTGTTTCGGGGTTAAGAAAATGAGCTCAAAAATCTAAACTATATTACTTCAAAAGCTCATAAATAGCTCCTAATTCTGCCGTAAAGATCAATTCAATATCTTTTTAAACGTTGACTCAGCCCCCCCATAAAAAATATTAAATTCCTGTTTAGTGTGACAAACTCAAAAATTTTAAAAAATAAATATTTTTAAAAATAAATATTTATTAATAAATATATTTATAAATTATTTATAATTATTAAAAATATTTATTAATATTTATATTAATATTTTTAAAAATAAATATTTTCGAAACTTGAAGTGTCACGGAAAGTTAGCACCTCATTTTTTTCAATCGTTATATTTTTATCTAAATCGACGGAACTATTTCTGAAATCTATAAAAACTGTAGAACTATTGTGGGTGCAAATGGAACTCTTAATAAAATTTCCGATTTTTGAAAATAAGGTTAAAAGGTAGAAAATATTTTTGTAATTTATGTAAATAAAAATGGTTAGCCACTTCCCTCCCCTTCTCATTACTCAGGACTACTAATTGTCAAAATGCAAAATATATGTGAAAAATAGATCTATAATTTTAAATTAAAGTCCATTAATGCTTTGCACATAATCATTGATACAATTATTATCATAATTACGTATTAAAAGTAAATCATTAAATAAAAAACTGATAATATGTAAATAATTTAATTTAATACAAATTTCAAATAAAAAAATTTTAATAAACAGGAACTGAAAAAACTAATTTGCGCAATACCGAGCGGGGGCGGATGCTGCAGGCCATTGTTTTTCGACACACTTTCTCTCACCCTCGCCCTCGTGAAGACAATGCGTGAATGCGTGCCCGCTCCTTAACTCTTCCGTCCCCTCCCCGACTTTTGTTAGCTAGAAAACCGAAACAGAAACCGAAACCAATGTACCGAAACCGGAATCGAACCGATATTTTCGTCCGGTCCGGGTCCCTGCTTGAAATTGTTGAGAACAATTTTATAATCGCACAACGACGCGTGTAGATGAATCACGCGCTCGTCGCGTCTCAAAAACACCTGCATGATTAAAATAAAGCAATAAAGAGCGAGCGATCGATGCTTGCTTCGTTGTCACCATTAAATTGCAACATATAAATCCGCGACTCAGTCATTCGATCGGACGAAAATCTCTGTCGTCGATCCGGAATTTTATGCGACACCCGAGCGCTCGCTACGTGACGCTATGCTTCTCCCGCCGTGTTATACGCGGATATGATTGGGTTTTTGCATAAGCTCGCCAGCCGTAAACCTCGCTCTTACGAACCTGATTACGGGGGAGGCCAATATTGCGCTAGCCCGCTCATCGTCGACGAGCTGCATCCCGAATAAAATTCCGACACGATGCGAGGTCGCGGTCGCGGTCAACGACGCGACGCAACAATCAGTTCGACTATAGATCTTGCCGCGAAATCGGCAAATGACTATCTCTCAATAGATGGCTACCTATACATAAATTCGCAGTCGTAAGAGCGGCTAATTACTGCATTTCCATGGAAATGTATCTTCCCCCGTTCACAAAATTCGCTCGTAGTCTAAAGAATTGCTCGAGTAAGCTAATTCCTCGCCGAGTTTCTCATTCCTAAAGCCAAAGTCTCATAAATTCAGCGAATCTCTCTCAATGCGCGCTAAAATTTAGAAAAAAAAAAAAAAAAAAAAAAGAAGGAAGAGCTCACCGGCCGATGCGCAACAGCGGAGTTGTAAATCTGCGTATATCTGTAACAAAAGAAATATTTTTATATTACAACACCGTCCAGTTAAACCTCGAAAGTGGCGAAATCCACCACAGAATTGACAGGACAGAAAATATAAAGCGTCGTCTACAATGGCAGCAGGAGTATGCCGTAAGACGTGAGCAGTAAGCTATTGACCAACCACAGTTGATTATTCTTGAATTGTAAAAATCCCATTAAGCGTCGTCTACAATGGCAGCAGGAGTATACAGTAAGACGTAAGCAGTAAGTTATTGACTAATGGGATTTTTACAATTCAAGAATAATTGATTGTAGTTGGTCAATAGCTTACTGCTTACGTCTTACTGCATACTCTTGCTGCCATTGTAGACGACGCTTTAAAGGCTTGGCACATAGAAAAACTTAAGCAGTAAAACTTAAGCAGTAAGAAATCAACGGTATGGATTCGCTACCGCTTAGGGCCGTGCCTTAAGTTCTTGACTGTGATTGGCTGATTTGCTTACTGCTTGAGTTTTACTGCTTAAGTTTTTCTATGTGCCACGGCCTTAAGCGTCGTCTACAATGGCAGTAGGAGTATACAGTAAGACGTAAGCAGTAAGCTATTGACCAACCATAGTCGATTATTCTTGAATTGCAAAAATCCCATTAGTCAATAACTTACTGCTTACGTCTTACTGTATACTCCTGCTGCCATTGTAGACGACGCTTTAGTCAACAGCTTACTGCTTACGTCTTACTGCATACTGTTGCGGCTATTGTATAGTCGAGCCGTTAATATATAAGAAAATTAACAACTACTCACCCCACGGTCGCTCCGCCGTCGCCCGATGCCTCCCCAGGCCTCCTCCTCCTCTCCACTATTCGCCAGGTCCTTCTCCGTTGCAGCGTTGGTCCGTTGGCCCGTTGGCCGGTTGGCGCACTCACTCACGACATTCACGAAAATCGACGATAAGATCGCGTCGCTTATGATCGCGCGATATTTTCGACACTTTGCACGACACTCCCGGCATTAATCTCGCGACGCGCCGCGTACTTGGTTACACGGCAACGGAAAAATTACGGCGGGGAGAAGCTACGAACGAAACTATACAATCTGCTCCGACGCCCGTCGCGTCGCGCGTCGGCCCGTGCCGCGATGTCCCGTCCCGCAGGTAGACGACGACATGGTGAAGAGAATTTCGTAAATCGCACGGCCAACTTCACTCGCCAAAAACAACCGTGGCGTCGCGTCACTCACTCGCGACGTTCACGAAAATCGACCGATATCATCGCTTATGATCGCGAAATATTTTCGACCCTCATCGCGACACTCCCGGCATTAATCTCGCGACGCGGCGCGTACTTATTGCTGGTTACACGGCAACGGAAAAATTACGACGAAGAAGCTGCGAACGAAGCTGTACGATCCGCTCGACGCCGTCGACCCACGTCGGCCCGTACCGCGATTGTGAATAATGGAGCGGATCGCGGGCGCCGCGCCGCGGCTAACGTTTTCTCGTCAACGCGATTGGTAGGGACGAACTGGGGGCTACAGGTGTCTAGGCACGGTCCGCACGGTATGCGTGACGTCGCATACCGGCTCCTCTACCCCCACTACTTGTGTTTACCGCGGCGCGCACGACCGCGCTTTACGAATGAATCGCCGGATCCCGGCGCGGCGGTTTAGATTACGAAAAACTGATATATCGAATTTAATACATGTTTCGCGAAATTTATATGGATACCGAGGTAGTAGTACATACGTCGCATTCGATAATATTGACTTTCGATTACATTCTTTCGGACGATCGATCTCGCTTTTACCGACAATTTGACTCCGCATCTCGCGTCGTGTCGCACGGCTTCGGAATTCAGAACAAAGTTGATTGGACATCGTTTTCGGTACACGGATAAAGAATTTCATTAACGATACGCAAATGGACGCTAAATCAAATTTCAAATTTCTGTATTTAATTTTCTTTTTTTTTTTTTTTTTGTGGTCTTTTCAGCTATTACTGTCCGTCGATTCCTGCTATTCGATTTGCCGCTTCGGTATAGTCAACTTCGAACTTATCGGCCTTGAGTTCAGCGACTTTACGCGACGGCGAGACGAAGCAGTACGCAAGTCAGAAATAATTCTCCCCCCACTCAACGGGATGCCCCGCCCAACACGAGTGATCTAACGCCGTTCAAACATTCCGATTCCGGAGTACGTTCGATGCGGGCTCGGTCTGACAACCTGTTTCTTTTCTTGTCGCCCAGCTTCCGCGATACCGCTATATCGTCGAGGGAAACTGACGTCGACGACGCGAAGAAAGGAGAGAAGAGAGAAAAAAGGAAACGCCATCGAGGTATGTATAGTGTACCATGCACAGGACGCGCGTGATTACCGTTGAATTCGCGCGTACGTATGCGCACCTGCTTTTCGTGACCTATATCGATACCCATTTTTATCTGCCCGCGCGTATTTGTATACGTGCCGTAGTAAAGATAGCGATAACGATAGCCGCGATTCATCGATCGGCGTACGCGGCGTAAACCGTGTGTACACACACACATCCTGCGTGGCACGCCATGCCACGCCACGCCAAGCCACGCCTGGTAGCTTGCGACATTCTTACCGCGCTAACAGGATCCCTCCGTCTCTCTTTTTTTTTCTTTCAGAGAGCGAGCGAGTGACGAGACCGTTAACGTTGTGACATGTCCATTCTAGACGAGCGCGAGGAGTACCTGAAGAATCCGTACTTCAAGGGGCACGAATACGGCGACTTTACGCCATTCTATGTCACAATCGCTTTCTGCTCTGTCCTAGGCGGAGTTCTGTTTATTCTGAACATCGTGTTCTGCTGGTGCTCGCGGCACCGTGAATACTGGCAGAATCGCCACACCGGTGAGTCGGATATCTCCCACCCGTCTGCACCCGCGGAGACTCATTAACGTAGCTTCTTCCTGCGGGCGCGCGCGACTGATACAGTTTCTCTTTTTATTTTTTAATAGAGTATTGTCCTATTGGGATTTAGGCAATAGGTGGATCCAGCCTCTATGGACCGTGTTGCCGCACAAAACGCCGCCGCTTGACCTCAGCGAGTTAGAGCCCGGTCGCATCAAGTATCCTCAAGTGAGGCACGAGATTGTTCAGTATCACGATCCGGAGTCTCAGGGTGCCACGCCGCAGCCGCAGGAGTACATGGAGATGCAAAAGCGCGAGAGTGAGATCTAAAGCTGACAGCACCAACTAGCGAGCAGCGTTGAACAACAGTAGTAACGCCCACGCTTAAGGATACGTTCAAAGTCGAGAGTTTAATTGAGCCCAATAGAGTCTAATTAGCCCTTTGCACTCAGCTAATTGCATTGTAAAGCCTCTAACTTGGCTACCGTAACGCTGAAACTCTCACCACCAACATCGTTTTTGTAGGCACACTGCCCTGCTCTTACGTATATTAAGAATAATTTTTATTTTTTTTTTACAAGATAATTTATACAATCAAAAAAATTTGATTTAGACACCATAACGACTTGTTCCGCAAGTTGTTTCGATAACTGCACGCGATACCAATTGCAAGTAGGCGATAATCTCAAGCAGCAGTATTCCTAAAAAAATTTTTTACTATGGGCCTGCACGTTTTCTGGCCTGCCACGGCCTGCCTGACTCTCTTCGTAGTTTGCGTTATAATCGTGCTGCTGAAATATGGCACACGTCTTTGCCACTTACGACACGAGCCGTTGCCGTCCGATCAAGAATGGGAGGGCAAAGCGTACTCGAGAAAACTATCTGTCTCCATGGCGTGAGAACAGATCAGCACTGTCCCGAAAATGTATCCGTACATTTGTTTTCATTTAAAAAATGTAAAACTCCCGATTATATACACTACTTTTGCTGACGTAAATCGAACGTAAACAACTTCCAAACTATTTATATTGCTTTTTTTGGCCTTTTTGGGACATCTCGTATATTGACACAATATTGCATAGATACAATGTTGGTCGTGTAAGGTTGAATGATCTGACATTCCGTCCATTTATTATATATTCGTACTAATATATTTTTTTTTATATTAACATAGACATGTGTGTTTCCCTTTTCGGAAATTAGTGCAATTCTTAAAGAACTTTTATGAAATGGAATTTATAGCAAGACATTGTTGAAAAAGAATGACTAATTATACGTCCGTCCATTTTTTATATTTTTAAATATACTTTTGTTCGAAACAATTTTTTAATATGATATCGATAATCGAGCACTTTTGTAATTTTTGTATATCGACATAAATTTTACGAATAAAAAATAAAAATATATGTCATAAAAATCTCTATCTCCAAATCATTTTACGAAATTGGTTATGCGAATCCCGGTCGACTCCCGGCAATTCGAATTGATCACATCGCTCTTGTGTATATATATAATATTTTACTTTTATTGACAACATTGGATTTTTGTTACATGTGTAGTGGTTACACAATTACTTCAATAAGTAAGTAGATGCATTATACAATTTTTATAGTAGTTCGTAAAGAAAATCACCGATTTCATCGAGCTACGATACATCGAAAATTTAGGAGCTATCCTAAGCTATACGATCTGAATGACGAAACTGTCCGTAATAAAGCAACCGCGCGATCAGCGATTTATACAAATACTTTTAACAATCGTTTATCTAAATCGTTGCGAAGCAGTTAATCGATCCGTACAACAAATTGGCGTCTTTGGAAAGTGTACAATCGAATTTGTTTAACCTTAACGAAATGCGTAGAAAATTTTTTTAGCGACCTGTTGTTACCAATGAAAATAGGTCAGAGCAGCCTATTGCAATTTCTATAGTTGCACTAACGAGATTAAACCATCAACAAGATCGACGATTGTGAAACTCAACGATCCGTAATAGAACGGCGAATTCGTATGCCTCTAATTAGTTTAATTCTAACGAACAAAGTTTTGAACGATTCTCTTATTATAATATCTAGAATATCTATATGATTTGCTCCGAAGGACGCATCAGTGCACGCGCAGATAGCAAAAGACTGTCCTGGAAGAAATATATCGAGAGGGATTTTTCAGAGTGGAACTAAATAAAGGCTGAAATTAAAATTGTACCGTGACCTTTCCCCGACAGTCTCAGAATTCGGAGCGCGGAGTATCGATGTGCGGGATTTAATTTGCGACTTGTTAAAAACTTGGACAGTCAGGCCAGACATCCGCTTCGAAATTTCTCCGAGGGAACATGGACATTTGCTATCGACGTACGCACTCACCTCTTGGAACGTCCTGTGTAATTTTATCGAAGGATCTGAAAAATTAGTCTCTAGGTTTACTGATGTATCTTTCTATCATGCTATGTTACAATGCGATTAAAACATGGGAAGCTTCCTGCGAGCTCCACACAGAGAAGTCAAGCACGGAACTCGTTACATCTATCCTACATTGCCGAGATAACTGCGTGCCGGATGACTCATTTGAATGCATCAGAATTGCGCAATCCTGTACGATCGTTAAAAACGCAGGATTTTTAACGAAAAACTACGAGGCATGTGTGCAAGCTCGCGCATTTCGTAAAAAATATAGCGATCGCGCGTTTCTGGGATGGTCTCGGACACTCGAAGGATCCCCTTCGAGAGGAATTGCGCGAGTGACCTCCGTGCGGATCGTGCTTGTAATTAGCATTGTAAAATAGATGCAACGTTCATAGGAGACACATTTAATGCTTTCAACCGGCACGTAACGAGTCCACTTCCGTGGCGTGTCCCACCTGGTACGAACTGATTCTCGGTGCGGAACATAGCTTCGACCTTGGCAATTCGTGGGGAGGGGAACGACGAGTGGTCCGATGGAGCTGAGTTCACCGGAGTTGGAGGATCAATGGAGACAGTAATTAGCGAAGAGCCCATAAAACGGAGATAACGCTATCCTAGTTTATCGATAAGATTCGCTTCACGCGTAATGATGATATGCTGTAATACGGGAGCTAGAACTAGGCGCTTGATGATGACGCGCGCGCGATTCCGCGCGTACGGCGTCCACAGGGTCTTAGATGAACTCCTGGAGGTCCTCGGGATCCGACGCGTGGACGAACTCGCCGACAATCGCGCGACGTTCCCTTTAACGTCCCGCGACCCTCTGACTTTCGGAGCTAAAGAACCGAGCCTCCGTCGCGTATCGGAGGAGATCTAGATGGAGATGAGGAAGAGACACCTTCAAAATATTATTGTACGTGAAAAATACTCTATCCCCGGGTCTCACCTATCCCTATGCATTCTTGCGAGATACGTCCGCACGTCGCGGATCGCACCAGCGTGCAATATCAAACGCGCAAACAGCTTAACTTCCTCTCACACCGACGAGCCCTCCGGCTATATATCTAGACTTAGAAACGAATTACAATCTTGTATGCAGGGAAGGAGGGATTTGATTTTTGTGGCGTCGAAAAGATATCCAGTGATCTATCTCTCTTTTTCTCTCTTTCTTGCACGCGCGAGCGTGCATGCTTGATGAGACGACGAGTTATTTCAGTTTGATTTTCATGCTCATTGGCGAGTTTCCATATTTGCCAGTTATCACTTGATACATTATTATTATAACGTTAACTGCGAATATTAACATCGGAAGTGACAACGTCCTGCGCGGGGCGCGGAGGATTCCGGAAAAATTCATTAGGCTCGCGCGAACATTCTGCGTCTGTTGAATATATGGATATAGTATATTTCCGCATTTTACTTTGATTCTCTCGACAAACGTTACTTTGATGCTTTGATTCTTTTGATCGTTCATTTTGATTTCGCAATTTTTGATTTGCCGTGACCGTTTTGAAGATCCCACATGGGGCGGATGCCACTTAACTTCCTGCACGAGCATCCTTGTTTAAACTGACGAACCTTCGCGACGGCGTAATAATTGTCGGAATATCTCGCGCATGTTACATGATACAGGACACAGTTACTTTGAACACCGAACATTGTATATTTATGTGACAATCGAATGAAAGCTGTTTAGTATGACAAATATTGTACATGATTTTTAAGTGGATCAGCAGCTAAGTCAAATGGGGGCTGCTGCTTTTTGTGATAAACAATAATATTAATAATATTAATAATAATATAATATCGCTGTGCGGGAAGACGAGAGAACAACTTTGGCGGATAATCTTATCCTCTGCGAACCTCCGAAATGGCGGCTGCTTCTAGTCGGGGGGGCTTTTTACGATGTGTGCTACGCTCGTTAATCGAACAACCAGTGGTGCAGATTTTGCAAGAACACGCTGAGAAAGCTAATTTCTGAATTCTTGCAGATTTTTAAATATCTGATGTCGAAGGTCGTGAAAAAAATTTCGCGTCGAGAGACGTGGGTGTCATAAATTCGCGAAAATTCAATACACAAACTGCATCACTACGTGTCTGGACGATCGGCCGTGTTTAGCTTTCGTCATCTCGAACATGTTACGTATCAGTTCCCAATCGATTCTCCGGTTGATTGCGCGGCTTAACCCTCCAAGATCTCGTCAACGTCCATTTTTAGAATACGTTTATGCGATCAATAACTCCTCTACAGGGGAACTCGTTGCAAATTATGTCAATGGGTTAGATAGAAGAGTCTCTTCGACAGGCATATGTTTATGAACGCGATATTTTCCATACAAACTCAGATCTATTATTAAGTGTAACCAATCTACTATGTTTATTTAGAAATCGAAATCGAAACATTTAAGCCAAATAATAATAATATTATAATAATTCAATGCGTAACGTATGCTCGATATAAACTACACCGTGATAACGGCACAATGAAATCTTAGAAGGGTTAATAACCGAGTCACTGCCGAAAACAGATGTGATCACCGAAACGTAAGCACCATCCCATAATTATTAACAGTAATTAATCGACGGCAGCGCACCTTGAAAAACGGTTTACAGTTACGCGCAGCACGCGTCTGCAACCGAAATGCAAATAATTCCTAGGCAGTATATGTGAAAAATGCTTCGATCGACGATCGATTCAAATTTGTGCTCTGCCTCACAATTAATTGGCGATAGGAAAAGGGATTGAAAGAAGTTAGGGGGTCGTAGAGATGAGAGTGCGCTTTCGTTGCCCGATTAGAAGAAATGATTGGAGATCGGCGGATAATTACTGCTTGCCCGATTTCTTGTTCGATCGTTCACCTGAAAACAAAAAGAAATAAACAAAGGTTCGCGCGCTTGCTTAAATTTCCCTCACCCTCCGCAGGCTGCCACAGTCCGGCAAATCAATCGACCGAACGAGAAAAATTACCTTTGGCGGATTTCTTAGTGTTGGTCTCCGGTTTACACCTCTTAGTGAGTCGTCGCGTCTTCTCGCAGGATGTATCGCTGTTTGCTTTCAAATTATCGATTCTCGTCATTATCTGATTCACGCATCCGCTCCACGTGCCTTTCTCGTATCGACATGCTATGGTCAAATTAAAAAAAAAAAACGTGTTACATCCCCGAATTCACTTCCTGCGACGATGCGTATTAATCACGAACAACTCACCTTTCTTACACTTCTTCTGTATAGTCTTGGTCTGCTCGCAGGATTTGTCGCCCTTCTTGAGACTCAGAGTGCGTGACCGCGTGTTGGTATTCGAGTCGCATTCCGACCATTGACCCTTTACGTATCTGCACGACGAGGAGCTGCCGGATGCTGCATCAGCAGACGCGAAACGTCAATAGAAACAATTGGACGTAACGTCGATCAAGCGAATAGAGAAAGAGAAAGAGAAAGAGAGAAAAAGAGAAAGAGAGGAAGGCAGAGAGGGACTTTTAAGGTCGATGGGGAACGACTTCTAATTACGCCGTTTATATACGTATGTTATATATATAGACGGTCTATATTAGCAACCGCTCGATAAAATAACGTCGCGATCGTAAAAGGAGGTAACGGATTAATTACAGAAAGAAGCACTCACTTCGTTCCTTAGTACCGCGCACTGTTCGTACAAGCACCTCCTTGTCATCCTCCTCCCACAGATCAGCTTCCGCTCGCGTGGTCGTAAGAATCATCAACAGGGCGACGGCCACGAGAGCCAAACTCCAGCACAGCTTCATCCTGGAAAAAAAAGAAGAAAAGCACTTCATCAAGCACTCTTCGTTACAGATTTCATATTTAACTTTTATAAAAAGCAGATATGTGCGACAATAGAAGCGGATTGCTTTCAGATCGATAAATATTTCTTCCAATATGTGGTCCACAGATTGTGAATCCGATAATTTCGCAATAGAGATGACCGCTCGGTATCCTTCCGAGCTGTATCAATAGATTGATTATCGTGGCGAATCAACGGCGGTAAATTACCGAACCGGGAAAGGGATAAGCTTCTCACAGTGACGCGCTTTGATTTTTTTTTTACATGCATTCGTTCTCGCGAGGCAGTCGGCGAAGCGAAGACTCCTTTATGCTGGATTTCACGCTGACGTTAATTAAAGCCAGTCCGTCAATCTCCATTAAAGCAGCCCGTCATCACCGATAACTCGTGTGATCCACGTCACGAGGCACCGAGGCAGGCCGGCACAAAGAAAGAAGCGCCGCGACGTCGACGACGAATTCGCGGAATCCCAGTTAAACGCGGTTATTAAACTTTTCGGGGCGATGCGCTCCGTTCTCGTTACGATTCCGTCGCGCTTATCTCGATCTCCCGCGATGGTGACAAGTGGCCCTTAACGAGTACCGTAAAGGATAATTAACCCCGGCCGTAGCATCGTTGCGAGAACGGGATCGCTAAAAATAAAATCTTACGCCACTGTTATATGAACAGTTCGCATTTCAATTCTTAACGTTGAATACTTTGTGCGCAGCCGATTAAACGCCGTCCTCGTTTTGACAATCTCGTCTGCGTTTCCGCGATAGCTCCGGAAACTCCTCGTCGATTTCGATAACGATAATTCTCAAACGTTGCAACGCATTAAAGTCCAGGCAGTTAGATGTCTCATTGTTTCAGCTTTCAACCGTACAAAATATATGTAACAATCGCAACTCTCATCTCGCTGCGTTACTCATAACGTTAACAAATCCAGAGCGCTTACGGCTAAAATCTATTTTGACGTCCAGGCAAATCCGGCGAAAAGCGACTGTTTGTACACTAGCCCTGTCCAGTCCAGCGTGCGGAAGCCGAAGATTGATTTATTGGAGGGTGCGCGGCGATACGAACTCATAAACGATTGGCTCAAGGTCTATCCTTATAGATTGATGTCATCGTTTCGCACGCGATTGGAGATGATGCGCCTTCGACGACGATGAATCGGGGCGATCACCAAGGCCGCGGGCACTAATTAATCATCAGTGATAGTTGGACGAGTGTCGCGCGGCGAGAATTCAGCGACCGATATTTCCACATCGGCGAGCGATGATGGATTATTCTCTGTGTAACGTCGGAGTTCATGAATAAGCAGCGACATAATCTCAGCTGCTCTGCTCTAAATCTGAGGAGCGTATTCAAGATTCAAAGACGGAGCTCTCTCACGAACTGTAGACACCATGGACTTCAAAAGCTTCCCAGATCCCAGGGCTCCAACTCGCGATCCCAAGATCAGGGATTCCGAGATCAGGGAAAAAGAGAGGGCTGAAACGCGCCATGGTGTGTCAAATAACGTCGGATCAAAGGCCCTGGGATATACAGATATAGGATAAAATGTAAGTCCGAGAATAGAATGTAGAAGAAGAAGCTAGAAAAAATCAAAGAAATAATCTATTAAAAGAACGGATGTGCGAGAGTCCACAGAACTTGGACATGACGCATTTCGCTGCACGCATCCTTACAGTCATTCTCGCCATTAGCCGACATTGAGACAATCAGTACTCGTCAGCAATCTTGCTGGACCACCGTCGGTCGGTCGGTCGGTCGGTCGGCCGGCCGGCTGGCTCTCCTCCCCTCGCGAATCTCCGCTTATATTCATACAATCCGTAGGGAAAATCGTCCGTGGCGGCGCGTTTGGATTGACGGAATTGACAAAATTATCGTCGCATCAGAAGCGGCCGGACGCGAATGAGACGGCGAACGGAAGTTGCCTTGTTCAAGTTCGTCGTCGAACCTATTGTCGGTCCAGCAACGTCGTGATGTAGATGAGCAAAAGGCAGGGGGGAGAGAGAGAGTGAGAGAAAAAAAGTGAAAAAAAGAGATGCAGAACGAGAGAGAAAGAGATATCGGCGAACAAATAATATGCCGTCGAATATAGACCGGCGGGAACACGCGGTCAACATGTCCGAGAGCAAGGGGACGTTGCCCGATGTCCAGATATACGCTCTCTCCGTGTGTCCAACTCGCGAGCACAAGTACACGAGCTCTTGTCTTTCCTTTTCGCGCGCGTGGGTGCTAGTTCTAGTGGTCATCCCTACAAAAAAGTAACAAGACCTTTATTTTTGACGGGTCAACCGGAGAAAGCCCAAGTATCGTGCAAACGCTCGATAAAAATTAAAAAGTCTGCGATGTAAATATTAGACCGTCCATTTTTTCGCTCGACCATATGTATCAGATAAATAGGTGTTTAGCTGACCGTGTACATACTCGCGCAGAGAAAAAGAAAAAAAAATCGTCAGGTCGAAGCGTCACGTATAGCTGATAGAGTCAGATAGAGTATCGCGCGCACGGCGTTAAAAATACGAAACCGTTCGGGGAACGTATAAGAACGAGCGTCTAGAGCTTATCAACAAAAATTTATCAATAAAGAAAAGAATAATAATAAACTCCGCAGATAAAGCACGTTGTTGTGCATGCGATATAAAAGATAAGAAGATTGACGGTTCGAATTATAAGCGAAATAAACGTTCGCGTGATTCCCGTCGCTGTCGTTTCACAGTCAATTATGCTAAGATTGCTAAGCTGCACACAATAAAGCATCTTTCTTCTCGCGGAGGCAACAATCGAATTTCGCGAACCGTAAACAGATTCCTCGCTGATTCAAAATTCTGTTGGCGCAAGAACTTTTATTTCTCATTGTCGGGATGTACGTTCCTCGGGATTTCGGAAAACTTTGCTGTGACTACCGCTCCTTGGGATCCTCCTCCTTTTAGAAAGTTTAGAAACTTTTAGTACCTTAGAACTTGAATTGTTTTCAAACTCATGCAGGCAGAAGAATGGAAGTTTTTAACTCCGATTTCACGGGCTTTTATACAAGTCCTGCTACGTCGTACGCGACGCCCGTATACCAATTTATCGTCCTTTGATCGTTGATTTCCCAATCAACATCGGGGGCAGCAGAATGGGAAAGAAAATTTATGTGAGTTGCTCAAAAATAGCTCACCCTTCGACCTTTCTTTTGTCTTCTCGTCCGCTAAAGCTCTACAGGCCGGTCAAAAAATAGTACAGAAACAATTCGATGTGTGTATTTTACCATGGCCACTTCGTCTCACTTCTTTGTCCGTCTGTCGCAGAACTTTTGTGATCTAGCCTTCTTTTTATTTACCTTCTATATGTATACGGTATGTAGGACGGAGTTGATTTGGTCTGGTGCACGAGAGGTGTTGCGGAGCGGCTGTAAGATCCTAGAAAGCAAGAAGCTAGACGTCGCGTCGCCTAGAAACAAGCTCTATCTCTTGGGGTCTCGATGCCCGCTGCCATTGCGCCCGCGCGACATAACTTATAAATAGCTCGAAAATGAAGGGTTAAAAGGTTGCAGCGTGTCTGGCGCAGCCCTAAAAAATCTTGCATCGTTTTACAGATCCACTCAGACCCACTCGTCGGTCGCGCGACTGTAGGCGAAGTATAACGAGAACGAATTGGTCGTCATTTCGCGTCGCGGCCCGCGCTGCTCGGAATTGCTGTGATTTTGTCGTCCGTTCTGAAGCACGAAGGTGGTCCCCAATAAACGCGCAAGTTCTTCTACCTACGCTGAAAAAAATCAGTAAGCGGAAACGATAGAGTTTCCTCGGGTTTCTGAGCAATATAATTTTGCCAACCGCATCGCAAAATCTCAGCACAACATTATCGCCCTCGTTATCGCCCCTCGGAATTATCGATGCCTCGACATAGACTCGAAATCTTATCAATTTTTATTACATCCGTTCTTATCTTGCGGTCTCCAAAATATATATTGTATGTGTAGACACTAATCGTTTCAGTTAACTTCACAATACTCCGTAATACTTTAATTATTCGATAAATCACATAAAGGTCACGTCTATAAAAGATTTTGGGAATTCAGGTAAGACGTCTAATCCTACATTGAATCCTAAAAGGCAGTAAAGAGTCAGATAGAGGAAGATAAAGAGCTCGACTCAAGATTCGGAGCAAAAGCGAGAGCGTATTGAGAGGGGCGCGAGCGGGTACAGAAAGAGCATCGATCGTCGTTGTGTCTCGCAGACACGCGCGTACAATGGGAAAAGCTGTTTTTAGTTTCTGATCCCTCGGTCCTTCTCGGTTCGTCTCAGATCGGTCGCGCGCGCTGCGGGAGCTGGACCCGCGATGGAGCGCAAAAAAATTCTCGGATCTCCACCGCTCCGTCGGAGGAGAGCGATGAGAATCAGGGGCGGGTCTCCGCTCCGCTCCGCTCGTTCGCGGAAAATCGATCAGCAACGCCGGGCGGCGGCGGCGGCGTCGGTGGCGGCGTTCCGTTCTCTCTCATTCTCTCTCTCCCTCCCTCTTCTCCTCTCTCAGCCTCTCTCTCTCTCTCTCTCTCTCATTCTCTTTCTCTTTCTCTTTCTCTCGCACGAAAGACTCACCTGCCACGGGGATGCCAAGTAGAGGATCAAGCTTGATCGACTTCCAAACGTATTTCCGGTTGGTTCCGTAATTACCCGCCTACGTAGCCACGGACACGTTCAACGGGGAGGATGCTGCGGCTAGGAGATCCGCTCCGTAACGCAACTGCGTGATGCACCGTGATCAGCGGGTCGGACGAAGAACAGATCTCGATGTCCCGTATGTCTTCTAAGCGTTGCGATGCCTGGACACCGTTGACTGCTACTACTACGTGTTGCTGCCGCCACTGGTACTGCCGCTGCCGCCGCCGACCGGAGTCATCCCCCTCCCCGAGTCAGTCCGGAGTCCGACATCCCTCAGGCGCCATGCATATCCTCCCCGCTCCGTCCGCCGATCTTTCCCCTTCTTCGTCACCGTCACCATGGTGATCATCCCTCCTAGAAAAGAGAAAGGCGACTGGATAAATAGAAATAGAACTATGTGGATAAAATCGTACAGGACGTTTCAAAATGAAATCAGGGCCTAATTACTGAGCCTTTGTCGTTGAAAATTAAAACTTCAGCGCACTGAGATGTTGAGGAATATAAACGAGCACAACAAGCTTATCGTTTCTCCAATCGTGTGTAATCTCTAATCTAACTGAAATAAAAATGCTGATTACAAGAGACATTACGATTAAAAAGGGATAATAGGAATCTAGAATTACTTCAGTGATAAGGAAGAAATAATGACAACATTAGTTAGGATTGCTTTCAAAAATAAACATTTATTTCAAAATTAATGCTTACCATTAATGCTGTATCCTAAAAACTAAGGTCTCTATCCTAGACACCGAGCGTGTTTAGGTGTTGTCTTAAGATTCCTTACGAGTTTACTGCATTGTTAAGTTGTGTACAATTTTGTATAGTACCGTAATGGGCTCTACAGCGAATCCAAATCCTCGCTGATTCGCGAAATCACATGATACCCTTCAAAACCCACGCTTCAAACTTCCAAGAGATCAGAACTCCAAAGATCCAAGGATCATTTGACACAAGAATTCAACTGGGGGCACAGGAAAATCTACAAATTGCTTGGCTAAAAGCTATGTGATAATCAATCAATTTGCAACTTTTCTGTAAGATCAGAATTTACACCTACGTTTCTCTTGCGAATGAATGCAAGAATCGAGGATACAAGGATTACAAAACTCGACACTTTGAAATGCGAGATTGAGCGAGCCAAACATCATAAATGAGAATTCCTGCGTCGAAAGATCGTAAGATCCAAACTGGAAAATCCAAAAACCCAAAGATTTAAGGATTCTATAAATCCTTAAGACTTAAAGACCCGAAAATTTAACGTCTTACATCCTAAATGCAACGCATTTATAATGCGTTCGTACCTAATTGATCCGACGAGCAAAATCATGTATACAAAACTGAGTTGCGCGTTATTTCTTATATCACCAAACACAATTCGACAGTTCTCACTCTCCAGCATCTTGATAAAGAGTAAAATGATAGTACCGCTAAGTGATGATATCACATTTATGGTTCGGAGTATGCGCTATCGAGGACACATCCTTAAACAGCATCTTTTGTAGATTGTACCAGTTCGCCGAATGACGTTTCCAGACATTGCCGTAACTCCGCATAACTTACCACTAGAACACTTTGCTCATCTCGAGACATGAGGCATATCTGTAATGATACGTTTTAAGATTATTTCATGTATACACATATTTTATGTACATTCAAAGATTCTCAAGAGTTATTATTTTACCTTGTCCTGCGAGCCTGAATCGAGCTTATTCAAGCAAGCTACAACGTGCGCGAGATCCAACCAGGGTCTTCCATCAGCTGTCACTTGATGAAATACGTAGTCCCTAAACAATTTGAGCATATAACGATCGCCCGTCTCTGCCCATGTAGGTTCCATATTAAGCTCCGGCCTTTCGTTGATAGTTGCTAGCTTGACCAATAATTTGAATAGCCGTCCGTTTTCCAGTTCCTTGGCAAGTTCGTTCTCGAAAACATCTAATCGTAACTGGGCGGCATCCAACTGTGTATAAAATCGCGCACCAATCATTGGCATGAGATCCGTGACACTCTTACGGGGTTGATTTGACAGCAAGTACCTAAAAATTTGTCATATTTATTATTTAAGCATACTTCTAATTTGTCATTATAGACTGGATTATGACAATTTAGAAATCATATAATTCTTTCTTGCTGTTTATCGAGACACATTAGCATTTTTGCATATCACAAAATTCAATCAAATTAACCACAACAAATTTATGAGATACGCTAAAGACACTTTTCGAGGATTAATAAATAACTCTATACTTATTACCATGCTCTTTAAATCAAGTGATGCTATTAAAACTATTTGACAACTAATTAACAGGACATACAGGATAAGATTTCGAAGGTCGGTGGAGTAGGAACGTGTGATCAGCTCGATGGAGGCTGACATATTCTCGCGACGGACGGCGATAAGACTTCGACATGCCAGTGCTAAGACCAGCTTGCCGAGTGCTACTAAATCTTCTTGCTGATAATGTGGGATGAGGGTGAGTGGATTCGTGTTGTTTCCACCATCTCCAGTGACCACGTCTGGAATAGCGACACAACTCAAACGAAGTCGTGTCCGCGATGTAAGTAGTACCTTAGTGGGATCTAAGCATCTGTACGCCAAACCTGTAAAACACAGATTAGATTAATTCTGTTGAACGCAAAATTAAATTAGCGAGAGAAATTGAAAACAAAAATTCAAAAATTTATAAAGATGAAATTATATACGTATACCATAAAATATATTTCCTTATTCTTTAAGAAAAGCAGAGGATACTAAATAATATATAGATACTAACCAGCGGCATGAATAACACGAAATGCGGCAGTGAGTTGAATGATGTAGCTCCAAATAACACTTTCCGGTAGCATGCTACTATGCTGTTGTCTTAGAATGGTGTTTTTGGTATGACTATAAGGCCGTGGCGCGTTGGGATCCGACGAGAACGGGTCGGTGTAACCGTTAAGCTCCGTCGAGGTGAAATGTTTATTCAGCAATGTCTCCGAAGCAGGGTGATAATCATATACAAAAACCATGGCTGTGAAAAGAAACAAGGTCGGTGAGATAACACAATGCGCACGTATAGGATGTACGAAATAAACGCGAGGATATCTGAAATACGGACAATGATCACCGAACGCCTTGGTGGTAAAGACTTCTCTTAGCTGAACCAGATTTGTATGTGACAATCGCTTCCACATGTCGACCAATACCATACACTTGGTGTTGAGTCGGAACTCTACGAACATCAAGTTCAACAGAGTGTAAACAGCTAAACTGGTAATATCATATATATATGGTATTTACTGGTAGTATCCTCCAGTGAAGTTTAAACTTACCATGAATACGACGTAAACAGTATCGCGTGCCAGTCTTGATACTGGTGGCCTTGTACGTGGAAGTTTGATATCCAAGGGCCGTCGAGGTGGTTTTATGGATTGGCTCCAAAGGACATAACTCGTGATAATTGTCAACCTCATTAGGTAAGTCAGGAAATCGTACTATATCCGGTTGTGCCAATGTCAATGCGTTCTTCTGCAAAATTTCCAGTCGCAAGCTTTCGCCGACGAAGAAGCTAGAAGCGGCCTGAGGGGGAGGTGTAGATGGAGCGGAGGAGTTACTGGACGAGGATGGTTTCGTCGTTTTCACGGGTTGTAGATGCGAGGGAGTACCCGGATAGACGTAGCCAATGTGACCTGTTGCCATGGGTCCGATCTATATATTAAAGATAAAGGAATAATGCAAGAATCTCATCGTTATCCATCTTGTCATTTAAAACAGATTAAAACAGGCGTGCTTACAGCCTCAGTGCCATCCTCGGCTCCGACAGCTTCGCTACCGGCACTCCCGAAATAGAAGTATGTAGTGCCACCCACGTTTTCTTGCGAATGGGTGTAGGAGTTGTTAAAGAGATTCGGCGAGCTGCTGTTGCTGCCTGTAAGGCCTCTTCCTGGCACAAATTCGGGACTGGCAGTTACCTTCTTTTGTGGGTCCAGAGAAAGACTGGACAAATGCTTGGTCACTGAGTTCGTGCTCGGAACTATGCCAGAACTTTGGCGATTCTGTATGCGACGATTTACACATAATGATTATCCAAGATAATCTTATTACCGTTGTGGTAAAAAAATGACGAGTTACCATGTAGGTAGCAAGCTTGGACTCCAGTGGAACTCCGTTTGTTTGAGGAGTGTATGTGACGAACATCGATGGGTCCATCGCTTCCGCAGCCACTGCATTTACCACTTTAGTACTTATCTTCTACCCTTGCTCTCTATATCGTCCTTAATTAAATTCACCACCCACTTGCTTCTCACATTAACTTTTTCAAGTGCTCTAGCTTGACGTCTTCTTCTCTTTGCTTTGCGGACGTAAATCGAGGTTCCAGTCTCTCGAGCCTGCAACATATCCTCAAGCACTATGAATAAAAACATTGGCAACTATATGAATATAAATAAATACGTTTCTAAGCGCGCATCAATGTCCGTTTAACAAGTTATTTGTCAGCTTCTTTGTTGTCTCACGAGACAGAATTCTCCCGAAGGATCAAAGATTTATCGGCTGCAAAATGTAGGCAAAACAATGTACCTCGACCAAAAATCAATCGTATATAAAGAAAATCTGACGATTTATCGACGGTTCCTTCCCAAGCTACGATAGCGCGAAAAGACAGATCGGAGAAGAGTAGACTCGGCGAGCGAGTCGCGAGAGCGTCGCGAAGCGTTCGGGTGAATTACGAGCGTCCGCGAGATCGCCGACGCGACGTCTGGCATAACGAGCGAAAATAGAGAAAGAGAGGGAGCGTCAGGAGAGCCAGCAATGGCAGCTGATTTTGACAACAGGCCGACGCGGAAGACGCGCGACGCGGGCAACGCTCCGCTCCGTTTTGCCTTGACGCGGCTCGACTCCCGGCGATCCCGAGGAACGTCCGCTGACGGCTCGCGCGTTTGGGGGGCGCGAGGCGCGAGTCGAATACGGGAACGTCGGCGTCGGAGTCGTCGGACACGGCGATCGCCGACATAACCCATCCGCGCTGTCACCGCGCCGCTCGCCGCTAGCCGCGTCCCGCGTCGCGTCGCGTCGCGTCGCTTCGCGCCGCCGTTATTCGGCCGATTCGGCGACGCAAATCCGGCGCGGGGAAATTCCGCCGCCGCGGCAGTGCCGCGAGTCAAATAGACAGATGGACGAACCGTCGCTCTCTTTTCCCCCCTCGGCACCGCTCAGCACCGCTATGCCCGACGACGCGCGATCCTTACAACGAAGATCCCGAGGAGCGTGGCCGAGTACCGTGTGTTCTCACAGCGTGCCTCCATTCAGCGGACGATAAAGGAGAAAGCGCGACACAGTCCACTCCATTTGCTCCGGCTGGCCGTATGTACGTACGCGAGTGCGTGCGTGCGTGCGTGCGTGCGTGCGTGTTTACGACGCGAGTTCTCTCCCCTACCGCGGGCCGCCTTTTCCAGTTCCTCCGTCCTGTTCCGTCCGTACTTACATGCGTGTGCCTCTGTGTACGCTGCGCGCGTATCGCCGATTCGCCGCCGCTTACCGCTATCCGGATCGTGGCTCTCCCCCTCTCACGTCTCACCCCCCTTCACCAACAACACCACCGTCGGTCGCCCCCCCTTTTCGCGAAAGCGCGCGCTCCCACCAGCCATCGCGACTCGCGACCCCTTCGATCGCAGCTGTTCCGCTCCGCGACGCGGCTCGAGTCTCGAGTCTCGACTTCGGCGTGCATCGAACGCGTAGGAGAATGGCGGCCAACGCTCCTCGCAACAGTCGCAACTCGCCACGAACGATCTACTTGTCTTTATACCGACGACGTAGAGACAGATAGCCCTGGATAAGTGAGTGCGATGAACCCCCGAGGCCCGAGGATAATTGATGCGTATCGATATTATCGGCTGTCGATATCAATTTAACTGCAGACTTGTAATGGCGATATTAATAAATTATAAAAGAAGCCTAATGATATATTATATCGTTACGTGCTTTGCGCGTAATGTTGTTGTGGATAAAATCAGAGAGAAACCTGCAAAATACATCCCACGCGTCTGCTCACTGCTGGTGGGTTAAAAGTACCTTGTCGGTGCCTCCGGCCGTTCTTCCGAAAGACGTTCGCGCGCTTAACTCCGACTGGCGAAAGACGATAAAATCACAAACTTTTGTATATACTAAATCTGATGTGAATAAAATTTAAAAAATTCTCGATAATCAAAGTACCTTTTTCAGCGGCGATTATTGAATGTTGTTGTTGTTGTTTGCGACACGCGAGTTACGACTACAGTGGCGCCGTCAACGCGACGTCAATTAGCCGAGTCAGCCTCTAGCGTTTTTTTGCGCGCTTCCCTGCACGTGCACGAGATTCGGATCGTCGTCGTTACAAAAGATCGAAATAAACCGAGCTGCGAACCGCGAGCCATCGCGATGATCATTCCTGTGCGGTGCTTCACTTGCGGAAAGGTGATTGGCAACAAGTGGGAGGCGTATCTCGGACTTCTTCAAGCGGAGTACACCGAAGGGTAAGAGCGTCCGGTCTTCATTTCTAACCTAGAAACTGAATTATCAATCTACTGGCATGCAGTTTTCTTGCTTCTTACTAAATCATCTATCGTCTCATCTTAATGCCGATATCTCAAACGAGAGAAATAGATGAAATGCGACTACGGGGATGATTTGTATATTATAGAGACGCCTTGGACGCCCTAGGTCTGAAGCGATACTGCTGTCGCAGGATGCTACTTGGACATGTGGATTTGATCGAGAAGTTGCTTAACTACGCGCCGCTAGAGAAATAATTTTTAGCTCTTATGCCGTCGCTAATTGGATCTTATATCGACCGTTTGCAAAATACCTGGTGTACATAATTCTATATTGTATATTGAAAATGAGCAAAGAACGTCTATTCTGCTCTATTCTGTAGTCTTAATATTTTATTTTCTAATGATATATTTGTGTGATAAGTACGTTCTCTCTATAAGTTCGTAAAAGAAGACTAATTAAAAGATTGTTTTATTTATAGAACGTTCAAATTATTTCTCTTTCAATTCCTACATGATTAGTCATGATAATAAAACGTAATTGCATCATGGCAACAGCATTGATGTTCTATGCGAGATGAACAATGGAAGATAATCTGAGGAACAAAACTGTCTTTACAAAATGTAAAATTATTTATATTTTACGTAACTCCAGCCAGTGCCATGTGTTACAAACTCTGTTACAAATAGTACAACTTTCGTTTATATTGATACAAACGTTTGTCCACTCGTAAAAAAGAGGAACTGGGTATATATATATATATATATATGTGTTTCCTATATATATCAGAAAGGTATATTTTGATGTTAATTTTAAATGCAATGTAGGAAGACTGCGTGAAGCATTTTACTTGAGCAACATTTTTTTTTCCATACAAATAACACGCATCCGTTTCATGCAACTCGGCACTTTTTATCGGAATGCGGTTCCAAATCCTTCAATAGCTTTTTTCACGAAAATATACTTTACTATGTTTTTTTTTTTTGTATATTTTTGCAACATTAAACATTAACATATAAATTGATACCGTATTATATTGCACGCTTGAGCGAATTTAACAAAAATACGCTTGATATACTTTTTTATCGAAACATCTCTGTCAAATAAGATTGTGAAAAGGATTTCCATAGGTTGACGACTTAGCGCTTGAAACTTTTTAAATTATAATTTCATTTAAATACGGAACTTTTGTATGAAATTAAATAATATAACATTCCGATAATATAGAAATTATTTCCTACAGGAACTTCACGCATCCTTTAGGATACACTCGCACATTACGATCGTGATAATGAATTATCACGATCATTTATTACTTTGCATTTTCTCCTGTTAAATGAATACTGCCATTGCTCCTAAATCTATATTTGTTTTTAATTTCTGTCCTATATAATTAATATAATATATAGCCGTATACGTTATTTTATAAGTTTGATAATTTTCCATGTTCTTTGTTCACATAAATAGGAATAAAAAATAAATTAATTCTTTGAAAAAAAGATCCTATTAGGATTAACGTGGGTCTAAATATTTGATGCTTTTAGAAGATTCTACTGTCAGGAAATATATCAGAAGGTCTGAGCTAATATATACAGTTTAAATATATCGATTCTGTCCAGAAATTCAATAACATCTGTCCGTGAGCCTATTGTCACGCTGGATTCGTTCTAAAATACCTAGCTATATCGAAGACGGATCTAATTGTAAGACATGATAAAAAAATTCGTTGCATATGCGTTGAAATATTTGCACTAGATAAAAAAAAGTCGGAAAATATCCTATCGAGAGTACAATTTCACTATATCCATTATAGCACTGCGTGATCCAAATATTAATGCCATCAAACCTATCACGCATATAATTACATTCTTCAAGGCTACCCAGTTTCCTGGTCCGAAGCCGACGTCCCAGTAAGTTACGGTCTCAATGAAGACCGGAATGAGAAGGCCCAAAATGGAGAAACAAAATGCACCAATTAGGCCGATAAACGGTTCGATCGTCGGTACTGCCACAGCAAGGAGAACTGTAATACGAGAATGGTTATTTCATGGTATATCAACAATTTGTAGATATTTGAAAAACAAAATCTCTCTGGTTATGTACCTGATCCTGTTACTAGAACCGTCCTTACGATATAATTGGCTAAAATCGGTTTCTTTTCAAAACGGTTTTTTACTCCGTTCCACACGATATCAAGGCACACGTAGAATTGTAAACCGAAGGTGCAAAAGACGGCTAACGAAATCAGTATCTTCACAATTTGCGCCGCTCTGTGAAATGATCAACAACCAAAATATAGAAAATGAGATTGGATATATGTTATTATATGAATCAAATTACAATTTTGTCAACTTAAATTCTTACATTTCTTCCGTCGGTAGATTCAGAGTGATGCTACCCAATGTTTCGTCTTGGTACTTAGCATATCCGAGGAATCCAAGGAAAATATATACTAGCGTAACACCGGACATTCCCTTGTTGAGAACTCCACAGATTCCCGTAAAGTGCTGTGGCGTCTTCATGTTGTTCTCGAGGGGCATCACCACGCCAATCGCCTCCATGGCAAAGATAGTGATGCTGAAAAACTGTGGGAAGTTCTCGATCGTAGCTACTAAAGGCACTGAAGACAATGGCGGCAAATCCCAAACGAGGTAGTAAAATGTTATTCCCAGTCCTGTTCCCATAAAGATATTCGCCACCATCGAAACTGGCGCGAGGTACTTCAAATCGGGTATCCAGCTGAGAAGTATCAGCGGCACCAGCAAGTAAGCGGTGATTAACCGGATGTTGTATTCGCCAGCGTCAACGTCTTGATAATGCTCGATTATCTGCTTGATATTAGCAGCCACGATTACTGCGTACACGCTGCAGGTGCCGTAATACGTGGTAAACAGACTGATTTGTATGAGATATCTGTGAGCGAAAGAGAAAATGACCCGTTAGCTAAAAACGTTGCTAAAGGAGTTAATTTTTTTTTCGAAAAACAAACTTAATAACCTGGAAGGTTTCGCGAACTTTCTCGCCCATTGAGGTCCGATGCTGAAAGCTGTCTCGGCAACTTCAGCAAATCCCATTTCCGTCTTTCGGGTTTTTTTATAAAGCATGTGCGCACATTTGACCTGGAAATGGATATTATACGTTGAGTTTTATCTTACAAAAAAATTGAACTAAAAGGTTATCTGCAGTGATAACTACACGATTAAACACTAAACATTTATCTCATGAAACTCACCAGGATATACGCACAATGCGTGCACACGAATGCGACGAGTATCGTGGCAAAGATACCCAGCAGCAATCCGGCGTTTTTAAAAGCTATGGGCATAGCCAGTATTCCAGTGCCAAGAGAAGCTTTTAGTAAGTGCGTCAATGTATCGCAATCCCTGAAAGCGTCATACAGTTCGGTTGCTTATGCATTAATCGTGTCGCTCCGAATCATTAAAAATTATTAACCATGATAAAAATGCGAATGCTTCTCGTATTGCGTTACAACTCGTCGCATTGCTCGTGGCAATCAACTCATATTATTGAAATTGTTAAAGATGAAATAATATCTAGTTTAAAGAAACTTAGAGAAAGAATTTACATATGTCTAGCATATATTTTAATTACGTCTAATTTATTTGACTTTTATTACATCATGAAAGAGAGAGAGAGAGATAAAATTATTATTTTAATTAAATGATACCATTAATGATATATATCTCTTAATGATACCGTCTTGGTTATTTATAACTTGTAATTGCTGTATGGTATATTTATTCTTTGCGCGAATATATTATCAGATGTGCAACGACAGAATTCGCTCTACGAAAAGAATGCATAAAAATAATTTTATCCATTTTTTCTAAATAAAATCCACGTCACAGGATTATTATTAAAAGGATGAAGATATTGATTCTCACGTTGTCGGATTGTCGACTTTGCGTTCCGCGAAGGGATCGAAACTCTTTTCATCGCCCAATGTGACTTCGACATCGCGTGGCGCAACTTGTACTTTATATCTGAAATATAAGTCAATACAAAGCTTTTAGTATCTTATATTCCGCATACCTATGCATTATAAGTTATATTTCTTTTCACTGTCAATTAACATTTGCAATTGAAATCAATCGGAATCTTACTTGACGGATAGAACGCCGTCCTTGAGATTGGATCCATCTTGAGGTAGGAAGGTATCCAACTCTGTCGGCGGCTTCTCTCTTGCATCGGTCTACGTTAAAAGCGAGATTATAACGCAATGTGTTTATTGTAATGACATGAGATGATATCAGCGTGAATGAGTTACGTAAGATAATTATGACGCAAATAGAGATGTGAATAAATTATAAATATACGCAAACAGATAAAGCTGTGTCTTGCAAATCAAGGCTTACCATTGTAGACTTGTTTGTTGATGTATTATCCGTCACCTGAAATACATACGAGAAACGATCAATATTTTGATTACGTCGCTTTGCGAAAATTTTGCACGGATTCAGCAAATTTATGAGCACATTATCGCAACACGTAACTTTTATTTATACAATTTATTTTCTGATATTGCATTATATTGACGTTATTGCACATTTTTTAAGTATTAAGGTTTCGGTAAATTGATAAACAGAATTCCTCCGATAAATTATATATACAGGTCCAGACTCATTTTATGTTACGTAAATTCTTATCTTCCGAAACACGACCTTTGAAACTTTTGTGATTTAAAAGCGAGAAATAGCACACGTAAGATAACTCCAGGCCTACAGTTGGCAGTAACATTATTTGTCACTTTGCAACATTATTTGACAAGTAAATATAGATGTGCAAATTTGTTATGCAAAATTGTTATGCTATATTTCAGTCCCGCGTTTTCACCTGATATATCAATTCGCTGTGCTTTATCGTACAGACGTAAAAGACATTGTTGACTCACTACCGTTATTCTAAAAACTTTTGCTATTGTCGCCATTGTAATTGTCATAATTTTCAATTTAAGAAAAAAAAAATAGGAAAGTTATTGTACACTAAAAAAGTTATATTAAGCTACATAAGCATTAAATTGCAAGAGAATTTGAAGTAGCGATTAAATTCCGCGATTATTTTGATCTTTTTCGTTTACTTAGGATCAGATTACAATGTGATTAGATACTTGCGTTGGGCAATTCAATCATGCTAAATGAGATTGTATTATACATGTAGAAAGAGCGTTAGCTTTTGCCACTTCCGGGTTCGTGAACTCGGCCTTGCTTGGATAAAGTAAACAATCGCGCACATATGTGCGGGCATATAGATAACGCGATAATCTGACACTTTAATTATTAGAAGAGGCAAAGGGCAGATGTAACGAAGGAGTTATACGCTCGGTATTTCCTGCAGAACAGAATTTCTCTCAATGTGTCATATCTGAGATCTCCCGAATAACAGTATTTTTCTTAAGAATTGAATTACGCGAATATTCTTGAGATTTTTCTACAAGCAAACCATTCTCTTTCTAATTATACTTTATTGTCATTTCTATTCTATGCCTTCTTGCTAGTCTAGCAGTTAAAATGTCTGGATGATATATCAAGAATGATATATATAATTATAATTGCATGCTCACAACGTATGAATAGATGATGTAGCATACAAAATCTAAAAGAAATGCGACGAGAGTTCGCAGTACAGAGTGCAAATTTCCTATGTACGTTAGAGCGAACTAACGATGTTTCTCACGTTGAAATCACATCTCTCTGCAACACATTCGCCGAGTCTTGATCAGCGACGGTAGAATTGGTGAAACACCATCATGGTAACAGTTTCTGTCGAGCAATGTCGGATATTAAGATCGAGGGTAAAAATAGTGGTAGCAACGACTCACTAACCGTCGGCAAGACAACCCTCCAAACGCTCTATTTTGAAACGAGACAGAAAGACGACCGTTAACTTCCTACGTGACTTTATGTGAGCAAACGAATGGATATCCAAGCGTATTCATCGATCTATTTGCTTTAGTGGTAATTTGTGATCGAGTATATACTTGCCGAGAGCACATATATATATGTATATATATCATTGCCGAATGCCGTAATCGACAATGACCTATCCTCGCTATGTTTGTTGTCGCTTGTTATCGAACATGATCGGCCGTGACGGAACCTCTTACATTAAATGCCACTTAGACTCACGAGATAATCAGGCGAAATAATTAGAGATCGATGTTCTTGAAAAAGTCCTTACGAATCCTTGGCCTCTCACAACGGAATAGAAAGCTCCAGGTTGTAGGACAAAGTCCGCGATCTAATCGTATCTGTTGTGTAGAACGTGCGACCGACCTGACAATGAGATTAGACATACACCAACCGCGTGTCTTATTAATTTATCTTATTGCGATATCAAAAGAGCTCATTGTTATGCGGGCGACCCAGTGAAAAAAAAGATGAGTTACGAGAGGAGATAACTGTATCAGATAAGCTGGTCCAAGTCGCCGTAATAAGCTTGATCAATTAACTTGTCATTAGTTGATTCCTTTACCCGCTTGACAATTGCTAGGTCGGTCATTAAACCTAGAGCTTAACTTCCTGTTAATTGCGGTTAATTTTGCGCCTAAAATGTGATCAGAACTGATCTGACCTCTTTCCGAGACAATTGGACAGCGAAAAAAACGTCGCATATATTTTCTGTAAAACTAAGTAAATTTAATCGCGCGTGGCGCTAATTTTGTCGTCGCCAAGTTTTGAAAAGGAGATTAATTTTAGACGTGCGGAGAAGAGAGAGGGTTTTTCGGGATTGCAAAAGAATTGCAAGAGAGTTGTAAGAAAATTGCAAGAGGACTGTGAAAGAAGCTTCCGCATCTTATCCCGCGCTTGTTCATCGTTCGGCCGCGAGAAATATGATAACCGTTTTTGTAAAACTAAACAAAAAAAAACATGAGGTCGCGTACCAATTAAATGACTTTAATCACTGAAATAATTGCGTATGAATAATTGCGCTTTACGGTCGGGACTCAAGATAGACAAAGTATTCACGACATTTTTCGCACGGCGTAAAAACATATGCTTCGTTCAAATATAAATTCCTACTTAAAAGCGGTGAAGAATAAGCACACGGTATCACGATAAGGAACTGGGTTGATAATCCAGCAGAACCGCATCAAATTGCAAATAACATCGTTAAGGAAACGCAAGTCGACATGGTAACTATCTATTACCTTATCAGAAGCAACCACTCCAAGGGTTGCGTTCTTCATAACTGAAAGCTTTCGATTTTACCACACGCCAACGGGTCAACGATAAACTCTTCATAAACCGTCAAATCGAGTGGGGAGAAAAACAAGGCGGACGCCGGAGTTATCTATGGGGAATATATGTATACAACACCAGGTTAGTATTGTGAAACCGCGTAAACTTATATGTATGTACATACAACTGATCGTCCTCAAAGTACTTACAAGTAATACCAACGCAACGAACAGATATAATGTAACGCTTTAAACTAGCCAGTATTTCCATTGAAACGAAATAAAAGTTCGAGCTTACGGAACGTTTGAGGAAATCATGAAAAATATTTCAGGATGAGTAAAATCTGGACGACATGAGATACTTGGGAGTATGCTAAAGATATACCTGTACAGGGAGCCGCTAAATATATCTGATATTCGATGAACGTCGACTTGATGACATTTATAGGACGAAAGACCGTCCGCGCGAATAAGGTATGTACATACATGCGAGAACTTAATGCGTGACAAAATTCAATTTCTTGGAGAAGAATGAAATCGGGCGGGCTCTGCGCACTTTCGTGTTCCCCGGCAGAAACGTGATATCGGTTTTGAATGTGCCGTTTCAGATGTTGCAAATCAGCAATTTGTTTCATGTGTCTTCGAATCAGAGTCAACATATTGCTTTAGTCTGTATCGCCGGCGTGATATTTCACACGTTAAAGAATGTGTTAACGTACATACTGACAACTGCAAAATATTGGAATGAGTATTCGAGGAATTTGAGCGCAGCCAGGTCTGAAATAGTTTACATTTCGAGATAGCGAGAAAATCCAACGATGATAAAGATATCATCCTTCGTGGAAGCGTGAAACTACGAGTTTCGACCGTGAGAGCCGCTAAACTGGTTTACCACCTGGCTCCAGAAAGTCGCTGTCTGCCTCAAAAGCCGAACCATCTTTTCTTTCCGCCCGCACATCCGGCACATCCAATCCATCCAATCACACCTGTGTCAGCTTATTACGTTAAAATTTGCACAATGATAACGCCGCCTTTTCCGCGACGCCGCGGAAAAGGGAAGAGAGGTATGCGCGAGCGGCTACCGGCGAGCATCCGAAATATCGGCACGCCGTTACATCATGCGAACATACTGGCATATAAGATAAAGACGTCATGGCCGTACAAGTCGCGGTTACTCCATGTGGTTTCTTTCGCGAGCAGCTGCTACGTTCAAGGAAATACTCGTACATGTGACTCATTTTGGCGACAAGTATCAGGAAACGACTTGAGATATAAGCGAATAGGTGATATGTTTCATTAATTGTGTATACAACATTACGTAATAATGATAATGTTAAAATTAATTTTAGCATTGCGGTAATAATAATGACGTTGGCAAAAATATATGATAAACACTATAATACTTGCAATATTGTAAAAACTTGCGGACACAAGCATGAGAAATTTTATATAAGAAAATCATTAATTTTTATAACTACATTTTAAATACATTTTTCCAATTCTATATCTGTATATATATCTATAAAAAAAAGTAGAAATATATACATAAAACAAAATTAAATAAAATCGGAGCAAGGAAAGAAATATATATACATAGATATATATAGATCCGTCGCGCAACTGTCGTATCTTATCTTTTTTTTATAATAACGTGACTTGCTTTTCGTCTTTTTGTTTCTGAATCATATGCCACGAGTTTCTCATATTCGGCCTCGAAGTCGAGATCTCGTGCGCATGAATGAGTCAATCCGAAAATATCGATACCGGGAAAGACCGAGGATCATGAATGGAGAATAAGGTTTTCGTTATTCTTATAGCGGTTATTCTTATAGCCACGAAGCGGGAATCGAAGAATCGATCGAGGGAACGGAACGCTCACCTGCCAAGTTATTCGCCGGTGATAGTTTCTACGTGTTGAGAACGCCTAAGAATCGAGCCCGTCGCCGGCGGTTACCTCATTCCTGAGCGCAGGCTTGTCCGACGGTAGGCACGAGTTACGGAGCGCGCCGTTCTCATGCGGTAGTGCCCACGCAGGTCTCGTGCGATACTCACGAACCGTTCGAAAGATCGCCGCCAACTGCCGTGGCGACTTGATTACTTGGCTACTTTCCACCGTTACACCGCCTCCTTCACCACCGCGTCTTCGCCGCCGCCGCCGCCGCCATCTTCCGAGGCTTTGTGGCAGAGGTCGTCGCTCGGCCGCCGTTATCGATTCCCACCGATCGCTCTTTCGAACTTCATCATGAATTGCACAAAACTCCGGGGTTTCCCCCAAAACCTTCGTTACGAAATTGCAGATAATCCTCATGAGTTTGCGTACCGCAAGATACCGCGGATGCGCTCTTGCGCTATTCTTGACCTTTCAGGAAACGCATTCTTCGCTTCATTTCATCGTCAAAAAGAGCGAAGCTATCTCATTGAATGTCCTGAAACTAAACGAGATTTGAATAAAAAAAAAAATATGTGAACTTGCAGCTTCCACATCGTCCCTCACCTAAATCCGTATCGTGTGACGCGCCAGAAATGGCGGGCGCGCGAAGGCGTCTAACAATAAGTCTGGCCTGCACGTGGCCTGCTGACTCCTCGTCTCCTCGATTCAAATGCTCCCAGCGCATGATGAAATTCGGCGAGCCGATGTCACGACGCTCGGCCGCTGTGACGCGCGGCTATCCGTTACGACGTGTGCCATGCGTTATTCATTATCGCGTGTGCGATGCGTGCAACGTGAGCGCGTGGGATACGTGATTCTTCGCTATCGCGTCCTAGAAATGTAATAAACATCCGTATACTTATATGGACCGTCCGGAACGAACGAGCGTGTGGTGCCGAATGCAGCTCTTCTTGAAGATATACGCTTAATATTTACCGTTTTATCTAGATGCAAAGGTATAGCATTCTTAAGTACACATTCGATGGAAAATTACGCTGGAAAATTTTATACTCATATAATAGAACGTTTTGTAACTGAGCCAGCTTATCAGAAATTCATATGACCAAGAGATCTCGTTTCGATTATTTCAGGTCGAGAGATAGGCATCTTTTGGCCAACTGTATACCTCTGCTGAACTTCACAGCCGTCTAAACTATTAATTGGTCCTCGTTTAGGGCGATGGCGAGACCGCAATTTCGTCCAATCAAACATTGATCGGTGCAAACAATCGGTCGGGTAGACAGCGTAGACAGGATCACGAAAAAGTCGGATGAGCGCATAAACGATCGTATGACGAAGACTGTCAAGTGACCCACAAATTGGCGGTTTTGCGTGAGAACGCCAACTATGTCTGAAATTAAATATCCGGGATATTATACCGGTAATACGATAATAGAGCATGCGACAGTTTCGCTACCGTATCGTAAAAGCCACGTACAACTTACAATTAACTCTATTGTTATATACTCTATCGTATTCTGTTCTACATTTTTATTAAGAACAATCTTATCGCTTGTAGTGTCTGCAGATGTGGCATCGTTTAAAATTCAAGACATCTCTGAGAAATCAGATTTAAAAATCTAAGAAATTAAAAATCTGTAAAGATTTCAGTTTTCCAAGAATTTAAATGGAATCTAATTTTTTAATTAAAAGTGGAAGTTTTTTAAAACGAAGAAACACACTCGAGCTTTAAAAATATACAAACGTAACCCATAAAAAGTTTACTTCTAATTTCACTAGCGTTGCATCATTCTTCTAAGGTCGCGAACGGCTATTATCTGGCGCAGTAAGCAGTAATAAATTGTTAATTAGATCGGCATGTGTGTCGTAAATTAATGTGCTTATTTTCTTGTTCATTCCCCTATCGATCATTTGACTTAAAAGACATATTTGAAACTTGAACTTAGGCAAACGCAGCTGTCAGCACTGCCGACAATCTCTCGATCACGAACATTTCCAAAAATGTTCGATGTTTAAAATTTATATCCAGTAAAATTCCACGCATTGTATTATTTAATTTCACAGATTGTTTAATTAACGGAAAAATTTGTCATGCTGTCAAATCGCAATTAAATAAACCATCATTTAACAAGAGTAACCTGTTTACGTAGTATCATTAAAAAAAATTGTAATCAATCATGTTAACTGGAAAGAACAAAACGCACGTGTATGACAGCAACGAGCAAGCCCCTGCGCGGGTATGCAAAGAGCACTATCTGCTCTTGTTGGAGTTGTACGTGAAACAGGCGTCAGGCGACCGTCTGGCCAAGCTGAACCAGATGTTTTTCGTACCTACCAGCGTTCACTTTGGATTCCTCGACTTCGTGGACGAGAACGATCTAATGGTGACTCCGGTGGACCCTCTTTTCCAACCGCAGGTGGGCATCGTTAACGAAGTCGAAATCTTCAACGTTGGGAAATCAGTGCTATTCACCATTGATTCCGAGGCAGCTATGAATCGTACGATAAAAATGATCCTAAAAATCACGGTGAAGAAGCAAATGCCGGATGCCATCAAGCCGGATGTCCTAGTAGGTACTGGCGAGCTGGACTTGTCCGGTCAGTACGCGGCTTTGCGAATAGAAATGATGCAAGACTGGAAAAATAGTCTCACGACATCCAAAGAATTTGACGGTCAAGTGCCGTTGACTTACAATGGCAACTTGTCGGGAAATCTTGACATCTTCGTAAGAATCTCCGGCCTCGGACAGATGATTGTCACGGAATTTGACGCACCGATCGCGCAGGATCCCTCGACATTCGTTTTCGGCGCTAGAGAGGCCGATCGGATCTTGTTGTACAAGTGTCGCGAAGTGGACTCTCACACCATTGATATATTCAATGATTCCAGCGAGGATCTTCAAAGCCCGATAACTTGTCCCGTGTGTATACCAGAGAAATATCCTTGTATACCATGTGGGAAATTAGCAGCTGTCGAAGAGAGGGTTGAGAAAATAAGACAGAAAGAGGACGATAGGATGATTGAAAGGAAATTAAAGGATAAAGTACGTACTTGAGAAAGAAATAATTTCTCGATTAGGCATCTAAACTCAGTTCTGATTTTTCAGCCATCAAAGGACTCTGTCCGGCGTAGTCCATCTCAGCCTTGCGGCAAGCCGGTAGTCCTCAAGGTATCCGGTCTCTTTGACAACGGTGACGGCATTGCCAAGAAGAAACCTACGGTAACAGTTGCCGCGGAGTCCGCCGCGACGAAATCAGGCGATCCATCTGATCCCGACCACGATATTTTTGTTCTGAGAATCGGTAAGAAAGGTCTCGTCGGCGTTGGCGAGAAATCTGACATTCAGCTAGAGATGAAGACCCCGAAAGGACCTGAAAGAAGGCCCCCGATTAGATATGAAACCAGGGATGTGCAGACAGAAGGACATGATGAAGAACCGCTGAAGCTGAAGGATAAGAAAAAGATTAAGAAGAAAAAGTGACGCACTTCATTATTCAAGTTCTTTATCCGAGAGTCAAGTTCTAATAAATCTAATTCATTTTGATTTATTTTACGATATTTTTCCTATTGTTAATTTTTTATTTTTATACAACTGTTGTGCAATAAACATGTATTTATTTATTTGTATTAAACTGCATTTCTTTGTACTAAATATTGCAATAAGTATAATAAAAAAATATCAATTATATAGATGAATTACACGAGATCGAGTAAATCAAAGTCAAATAAATTGTTTCGGACGTTACATTCTCTTAATATCGAGAACTTAGCTTTTAAGTTCAAATTCGTAATTTACTTCAGTATAATTTGTATAATTGTCAACCTAAAATTTTTTATCGTCAATAACAATCAAAATTAATTAAAGTGATATAAACAATAAGTAAATAAAAATTGCTAAAGTATGATCTATTAATGACGAAGTTATTGATTTTTCATTAAAGAAATAAGTAAACATAAAATAAAAATAAATAAAGGAATATAAATATATATTACATTAACCGCAATCTCTTAATTAATTTACATAGAAATATATAACGGAAAGAGAAACTAATGGAAGGAGCACAACTGATTTTGATAGAATTATTAGTTGATACAGTCAATATTCCTACAATACGAGCGATCTTTGATGAAATATTGCCGGCCAAAACATGCGTCTCGTTTCAAGTAAAAGTTGAACTCCGTACTTATTAATCCATTTATTAATTCGCTAATATTATTATAATAATCACTATAGATATTGAACTTGCCCCCTATCAATATCTATCAAGAAACACCAACAGAATCTTGTGCCTGTATCCACAATGGATCGCAAGTCTTCAAAAAGGGCAAGTCCTGCTTATTTGCTCTTCCAGACAATGTCCTAGAGAAACCATTGTGCAACTTCCCTATAACAATGTCCGTTTACAAGGAACTACCGCCAGGAGTTTTGCCGGACGTGATGCTAATCGGTCTGTGAATTTTTGCCTGCTTTATTTTATTATTTTTCTTCAACATTGTTATCAGATTTTAATCGAGAGATTAGAATTTCACCTAAATGTTATGAAGATATATTCTTTGATGTATAGGCACTCACCAGATCCAACTTCACGACCTCATGAACTCCCTGCTGAGCATGCACGTCTCTCAGCGCAGTAATCCGTACAAAACGATGAAGAACGCTTTTAAAATTACCACAGCGACAGGGCAACACGTAGGCGAAGTCACGGTCTTCATTCGCGCCTCGTGTTTCGGCAAGAAGATTGTCACGCAATTTCAGCTTCCTCACAACAAGGAACCCTATCTTTTCAAGGGTGTCAATGATAGTCCTGTGTATCTATGTAAGAGGGTCACTTCCGCTTCAGATAGACGACAGATAAAATGCGTGTGCTCTCCTAAGAATGGCGATGGCAGCGGAGAAGCTGCAAGGATCCGCTATGTTAGCGCCAATGAACGCCAGCGAAAAAAACCAGAGGATATCAAGAAGGATAAATTATGTGCACCGTGTTGTCGCGGTGTGCGGGATATCACGAAAAGCAAGGAAACTGTTAGAAAATGTGGCTGCGCCGTTAAAGAAGAACGGACTTGTAATTGCGCCAGGTCGAATATCAAATATTTAACATGAGTGGAGAAAAGCTCAGAACGTTTCTAAAAGTTAACAGATAAAAAATTCAGAAATCAAGATATTCGATATAGCGAAGGCTCTCAGTCAATTGGTAACCGTATCGTTTCCATCCTCATCCAGCATCCGCTCCTGCGTATTTAAATCTCCGTTTATTCCTGTTCAGCGTTGCGGGGGGCGTCGCGATGATACCAGAGGGATGCTACTACAGGAGAGGAAGGGAGGCCCGGTCGACGACACCACCGCTCTCATCCCCGCCGACCCCTTATCACGCTGTAGGGTGCTAGGCCGATATTGTTGCGTCTGCGCGATGAACGTATGAGATAGTCGACCGCTCCGCGACAGAGACGTGCCGTCGCGGCGTCGTGCGGCGTCGGGACGCGTGTTAACCCTTCGCCGACCTCGGTGGAGGCGCCTGACCGTGGTGTTGATGGCACCCCGGCAACGGCAAGGACCCGGATGCTCACCACAGACCTCCTCGCACGATCATGAACAGCTCGCCGCAGAATACAAGCACCGCCGGCACCGGGCAACGACGGGCACCCGGTGTCGATAACAGCGACGAGGAGGAATGGAGCGGCGTCGTCGAATGTGTAATTATCCTCGAGTTGCTTCTGCCTATACTCTCCCGCGCCCCGCGGTATATCCAATTAAACCGAGAAGAAAATGGAGGCATTGTTATTCCGACGTATTGTCGACCTGATCAGACGTTCATTGATTTTAAAATTGTTACCTGTACATCCGCTGTCCTTCCGCTTATTCGTCGTCGCTTTTAGAGATTTTAGAGAGTCGCAGAAATTTCATCAGTCGTCAAGCATGACGGCGCTTACTATAATTCTTTTCATTTATCAGATTTATTATAAAATTGCATAAAATAGACTCAAACGCATTTATAAACTTAGCGATAAGCATTTTTTTTCTCTTCAGGCTGTTCTCGAGAGAACCAAGTCCGATAGAGTTGCACGCGCTGACGAAGACAGACGTCGCCGGACGATCATTGTTGAGAAGAAGAATGGCACGTACGGTTTCACGTTACAGGTGAGGCTGATTTGTTACTCTGTTACTGCATTAGATAAGAAACGTGATATCTCGATCTCTCCAACGGAGTCTACGACCGCTCGTTCTATTATTGAAATATCCGCGTAATCTAAAATTTTAAAAACTCATAAGAAAACAAATTAAGCATATTTTATTTACAAATATGTCTCAAGCGTCTAAAACTATTAATAATTTGATCTTTATCGATTTGACAGAGCTACGGAATACATTACAAGAGGGAGCAGGAAATAGAGATGGTAACTTACGTGGATTACGTGGAATATGATGGACCAGCATTCAAAGCTGGTATGCGGGAGGGTGACGTGATACTCTCTATAAACGGCCATGAGATGGACAGAGCCGATCATAAGACCCTAGTCAACTTCATCAAGAACTGTGATACCAGAATGCGGATGGTCGTATCTTTCGAAGATTGCGTCAGAAAGGTAAGCGAAAACCCGATTGTTGTCGATAGTTTTCATAATCTTGCACTTTCAACGTAATCTTTTCTGATTTGACGACAACACAAATTGGACTTTAGTGGGCTAAACGTATGGATGATTCCAGGTGGAATTACATATGCGTTATATCGAATTACAACGTGCTCTCCAATCTCGCCTGGGCGAACTGGAGAGGCTGTGCGAGAGAGAACGGTCTATTCTAATGGGACGATGGAAGACCCATTCACTGCCAGCGCGCAAAAGAACGCCTAATAGCATCGGCTCTAATCCCAATCAACCATCGCCTTCTTCTAGCTTCAACTCTTCCACGATTCAATGCTGCCGGCCGGCAACCTCCACCGAGCATCTTCTACTTTATAACGTGGTAGCCGATATTTATGTTTCTGTAATAAAAATAAAAAAAATTGATGCTACACACACACACACACACACAGTAAAATTTCCAAATATACAGTCATATAATTACAATAAGATTTTATAATCATTTCTACATTCGCGCGATTCAAATCTGAACGCAGACGTATTTTTCAGTTCGCGGATGGGCGACCATGTCTTATACCACGTAGTGCCGCTTGCCTCGTGACAGTCGGACCGCCTCGTTCTCGCAGCGACCATCATCACTTCCTCTCGAAGATGTCGAGCGAATCTACGGTGACCTCTTTGCGCCACAGTTACCACCAGACAAACGGTATGATGGGTACACCCGCGAAGAGCAAATCTCACAAACAGTCCTGCCAGCAGCAACAGCAGCAATCGTCCGTTGCTGGTGAAGGCCCGTCGTTACATTCGGCTCCTCAAAACAATCTCTGCGTCGCTTGCATCTCCAGCGCGAATCGTCGCCGAGAGCAGTCCGACACCGTTAGTCTAGATGCTTATGATCTCGCCAGTCCCTGTTGCGACCCGAATTGTGTGCCTAGTCGTCGACGTCGCGAGAAACAACGGCGCGCCCGCAACGAGCAGGCTCTCCATCAACAGCAACAGCAGCAGCAGCAACAACAGCAACAGCAGCAACAGCAGCAACAAGCTAACATGCAGCACCATCACGTTCAAGGACAACGAGACCAACAATCACAGCAGCAACCTAACACTCACAGTTGCCCTCGCACATCCGGTCATAGTCTTCATTCAATTACCAGTAGTGACGTCTCGACGACAGCCGAGAGCGTCGCCTCCTGCTCGACTAGCCTCAGCACCGACACCCTGTACTGGGACCCGAGTGTGCACCAGCGACCACCGCCGTGCCTTCAGTACGCTAAGCCTAAATCCTGGGATAATCTGACTACCAAAGCCTTCGGAGGATACGGCTTCGGTTACGGTTATCTGGATACTGTGACCATCAAGACCCACAGCGCGGAACGTCCTGGTAAGGGGTCGCACAGCAGTGGCGGTGGCGGTACCAGCAGATCAAAGACGCCGATCAGCGTACAGCGAAAGAACAGCGGTGCCAGCGGTAGCACTGTATACTCTACAGTGACGAGTTCGACAGTCAGCCGACACTTTCAGCCGACCAAGTCGACGGAAAGCTTGCTGATTCCACCGGGGCCGTACCAAGGCGACGTCGACCAGGCGAGTCTGAGCTGCGAGTGTCTGGACGGCGGTGGCGGTGGACCTAGCTCGCGATTCGTTCAGCTGGACAAACATAAACGCGCCGACGAGGCGGCGGGATACGTCCCATCGACCCATAGTCAGTCAACTCAAGTCAGACACAGACGGTCTAGTCATTCCGACGGAAAACTACGGGCTATCAATAACTCCGAAGTCACACGATTGTAATATCCTTTAAATATACCTTGAGTCAAGTTACATGCTAATAAAGCGTCAATATATAAATACTGCTTGCATTTTTTATTTGTCTAACCGTGATGGATTGTTTAACCGGATAGATGGAAATATGGGATCATGAAAACGCACGTTAATACGTTTGCCAAACGTCGTGAAAACTTTGAGACCTAAATAATTTATATCTCTAAGTCATCGTACGTTTAAAAATTTTTGCATCTTAGCGTAGGATTTGCCAATACTTTACTCGCTACCGCTGCATTTGTTCTTCACGTCGCCATATAAGTTATTGAGTTTCGTCTAACTCGCTTTCAATTTGTGCTAAAAACTTGTACTACCTACTGTCAGTTAGTCTAATATGCATATCACGGTAACAAATTGCATTTATCATTAAAAAAATTATTAAACTTAAGATTATTTTAAACATTAATTGTTAATTGCGCGCGTGCGCGTTTATATAATATCCATTTAACGAAATATAAGCGGTTTCTTTGGCTAAAAGTTATTGTCTCAGTAGAATAATTCGACGCACTGAAAGCAACAGTTTCGGTTCAATAAATACTGTTATTTCAACATATGTGTAGTAAAATGTTCTATAACTCAATATATCTGTTTTTAACTCAGAATGACCGCTAACAGTGCGCACTGTTAAACTTTGGCCATCTTGTTCATATACAGATATTACAAAGTGGGTAATCTGACTATACACACATACACATATCTTCTTTCTATATACATACATACGTACACACATGAATGCACTTGCGCGCGCATACGCAGACGGCATATACGATCGATTCGCACAATCTCTTCGTCTATTCTTATACATATTGGTATGTATGTGTTTACATACATGCCGGTTCATGGTGTGCAACAAGTATGTACACAATTTAGCGCATATGTATATTTTCGTGCATGATCGCATATCTGTACATGTGCATCGAATATCGCGGTGTCGGACCACAGGGTCGAAAAATAAATTATGTCATTACCTGCCCTCCTTTTCCTCTAAATGCGCGTCCAAGCCCTACATCACGGATACTTAGATCCCTTAGAGTTAGCAAGAAGCTTAATGACCGGATCACTGTATATAATATGTACTGTACATCAAAAAGTGCAAGAATCGGTTGCCTTTTTCGGATTTTGCCAATCGTAGATCTTGGAAATAAGCCTCATAGGATCCTCGAATCTCCATATTCTAATTTATCCTTAAATGTACAATTACTAAGACGGTTGCTTCTTCAGATCCAGGCTTTCCATTTTCCAAAAACTCTCGATCTTCAAGTTTCGATATCTTCGACCTCTAAATTGTAGAATCCTCGAATCTTTAAATTTTCGGAGTCTAGGATACGTCGCGTATCTTTGAGTTTTCATATCCACGGATTCTAGGACTTTCATAGCTAAATTACTCACGAATTATCAATCTATAATCATTTAGAATGCTCGAATTTTAGAATTTTAGGTTTCTAAAATTCTAAGTTACTAAATTCTCGACTTCTTCTAATTTACAAGATTATAGGAAAGACGTGAGCTAGCTGTCTAAATTGCCGCTTACATGCAACTGCAACTTCCGTAGACGACAAATTAGTTTTGCTTTAAAATTAAACCCTCGAAGCACCTTGGATACGGTTTTATACAGGAGTGGAGCAGATAGGGCTAAGGAAAGGTCTACCTCGATGTTCTCTAGAAGAAACATCGGGCTCTAAAAGACACTTTCAAATGGCCTTCTTGGAGCTTTCGTTATTCGCGGCGAATAAATGTGCGTACTCCGTTCGATTCGACAGTTGCGTCATAACATCGTCTGCAAGAAATAAATAGATTTGAAGAAAAACTCTCCACTTCGCGATATATTAAAACGCCTGTTTTCTTATCCATATCGGTTTATACAATGTCAGAAGCGAGAAATTGTAATTCTTTTTTCTTACGCTATACATCGCAAATAAATCAGTTTTTTCGTACGTTATCACTTGAATTTGCTAATATAAAATGATAAGATATACAGAAATATTTTTTCTTTTATTTTATCGTATTAATAAATGTATAATTCTCTCTTCTGACATTCAATATGGCTGCGAAACAAGAGTCTTAATTGTTGGGAGAAAATAAATCTTGTGATCATGTGTTTACCAAAGGTCACTGTGCAAGCGCTCTCGTCACTTTTGGCGAGCTGAAAGATACTGTCGGATTCCTCCGGTTGCATGCGTATCGATAACCTCAAGGCTTTTCTGAGTTCCGACTGGGTTAAACACAACGCTGCTTTCGAGCCGCATATCTATAGCACAATATGATCGCGTAAAAATAAAAGTTTACATATTATATGTATATATGGTAGACTTATACTTAAATAGTTTGCACTTACGTCGAATGCAATCTCGACCTTGTCTAGTTCCGAAGACGCATTCGCCGTCGCCAACACGGTGAAGATATATTCTTCAAGGTCGATCTTTCCCTGTCCGTACTGCAAAATATACATAATTTTTTTTTTATTAAATTATATCATCTATGCATGCATTATTTAAATTTTATATTATATGTATGCGGACCTTGTCGTGAATGCGAAACAGTTGTTGAGTAGTTGGATCCTTGTCGTCCAATCTAAGGATCTGCGCGAACTCTTGCAGATTTACATCGCCAAAGTTCGTCGTCTTCTTCTGGACGAGTTCTTCTTCAGTTTTCGATGCCACTAAACTATACATGAATCAAAATTATTAACAACCTAATTAATTGATAGGGATTTAATATACATAGATTACGTAATGGTCATATTATTATTCGCTACCTACCCTAATTTGTACCGAAGTTTATGGCTTTTTACAATATTGGACGCATGCGGAAGATGTAGCTGATGGGCCTTTCTAATGATCCGGCAATCATCGTATGTGTAATCCGAAACGGGAATTTTCAACGCTCTGTAAAATCAAAAGAATTATCTTTCCAAGGAACCATACACTTTCGGGACTCCCGGTCCGTTGCACACACAAAAAAAACTCACTCTGCCATAAGACGTCGTACATTGTTTGCGTACAGCTTGGGATCCAGTTTTTCCGCCTCGCTCGGATTATAGACAGGTAGAAATTCTATCTCGCAACTACTGTTTAACTGCGTTAACGTCAACCATAGCAATTTCAATCTGCAACGGATGTAAGGCAACAGATAACAGACAAAGCGGATAAAAAATAAATGTATAAAAATAAATAAAAAGAAAGAAGATAGTTCTCTATACTTACGCGCCAGGGCCTTCCCATGTCCACGTTACCGTGTCCAATTTGTTGGGATACCTGATGCACACAGGTTGCACCGGCACACCGGGATAAAAGGCACCCGATTTGAACGTAATCAAGCACGACCGGTTTGTACAAGTTCCTTCGGGAAATATCATAACCTGTGGAGAATAGTATTAGGGTCAATTACACCAGCAGACGCGAGGGTAGCGATTTACGGCTTGATTGCAAGCTTACGTGCATCTTGCACCCATGAATTATTGAGAATATCATAAAAAGTTACAACTTCCGCAAACTTTATATAAACTCAGTTCTATAAACTTTACAAACTCTGTCACAGAGTGACTCATAATCATGTCAATACTTCAAGGGACGAATACAAAGCGGAGAAAAAAAATGTCACTCGAGCACAAATCCTATTTAGACTTTATTTCTCGAGTTACAATAAATTTTCGGAGCGTCCGCCAACTGCTATAATATATATACGCGGAATATCTTAAGAGATCGTAATGTGCATTAGTAAACGTCAAGCCACATCAGAATGTGCTACGGCATGCGCGTTAATTCTATTTTTATATATTCAATGTGTATATTTATAAATTCTCTCTCTTCCTCACGCTGCTTACACATTCAGTATGTACGCTATAAAACTTCACTAATAGTTTAATATTCTGTTTACCTGTGGCCAATCCTCCTTGGAAGTAGTCCTCTCAATGATCTCCTTGATAGTATTCTGGCGGGAATTCGGATCTTCCCTCCATACATAGACCGGCTGCGTATAGTTGATAAGTTCTACGTACATCAAACATCAAAAAAGTGCGGGAAAGTATAGTCGATTTCATAATACTTACTAATAATCACGCTTTAGATCTCGCTTGACATTATTCGGATTGATTGAGCCAATTATCTTTAGCTTCGTTGCGTAAGAATTTATTTTGAAGTAATACATCCTGTAAGAAAGTCTTACGAGCGATTTGTCACGATTGCTTATTTAAAGTCGATCAGTCAATGACCACCCGAGACCGGAAACTCATTACGCCATCCTTACAGAAGATCGAGACCGATTCTTTTGCAAGTTTGCATAAGCAAACGGATCATTGTTTTGTTAAACCGCAACTCAGGGTGTTAGGTAATAGAATTCTGAATTCTTACAAGTGTACCTTCTCCAAAATCATTCGTTATACAATGGTGAATGGGATTCATTAATCAATATAAAACATAACACTATTACTTCTAATAAAATATCAGGAATTAATTTTTTTGATAAAAAAAAATCGTCGACATTCGATCTTCATAAAGTAAAAAAAGATTGGCAGTTGAGCGTGCTTAATTGACATTGTTATCTATAAGCGACAGGAAAACAATACGATATACAATACCGTACGTGTCACATTGGACATAATAATTATCGTTGGGCGATTTTGAAATAATCATTACAGGCCACTTTTACGTTTGCTAACAATGTCGATGATGCTCGAGACCTAATTTTTCATTTAAAAAGATCTCACGTATTGTAGCGTGAGTCTCGATGATTTCATTAACTTTTTCGGTATGCGTATTTATAGCACGGGCCTCGAAGATTTCATTAACTTCTTCAGTATGCGCGTACCTTGATATTAACATAATTTTACTCGGCTCAAGTCTAATCACGCGCAAGTATATTCAATGTCATAATAAGTAATATCTTGAATATTTCGAATGATTAGTAAATTCGTAGATGTACGTAGGAGCTAATAGAGAAAAAAATTAAAAGAAACAAAAGTGTATCACCTACTTCCGATAAACGGATTCAATCCCGACTCTCGTCTGACGATGATCGAAGGGAATCCGGTGACGTAAACGATGCCGCCGTCGATAAAGGTCGAGTGTGGCGCGAGGACCAGAATCGGAGCTTCCGATCTGGAAGCCTGTTTCCCTCGGACCACGATTTTCATCCCGCCGGCCTGGTAAGTGAGTCGGCCCACGAAACATATCCATGGTACTAATTTTCTGCGGGTTTCAACCGACAAGGTATATGCAATGGAATTGCTCGAACGTTGGATAACTCCAAAGTATTTAAATGTCGTAGTACCGAGGAAGACGTGTCCACGACTTGATAGTATCATCACGGAGAGAACGCGGGATATCGCGACAGCCGAGTGTATCGGCTGATACTCGAATCATATACTACGAAAGAGCGAAATGCGTTTACAAGCGAGTACGTCCGATGAACTTTCTATGCGATTGAGCGACGGAAAGAAAAGGGACAAAAAGACGGTGAAAGCGTTCGATTAGTAACCCAAGTTTCGATGATCGTTAGTGCGCTTCGCAGAATTTAAATTGTATACAATGTACACGTGCCTCCTGCGCACTTCCTTTTCGTCTCTCTCTAATGCAGTACGCGTATCGATATTCAAATTTATTTCTACATATTTATAACTTGATCTATAGCTTTTAAATAACATTATGCGCAATGTAAATTAAAATTTAACAAATACGGATACTTCGTAATGCATCAGGGAGTCAACAAGTGTTATTCAATTAATTTATTAAAATCCTTAGTTAGTGCCTTTCGGTTTAATCGCGATTAAGTTACCTGTTAAATAAAATTAAACACATATATTGTATAAAAACCACGTTAGCAACAATTGTTAAAACTGTCGGAGTTAGTTACTGAAAAATAAATCCCATCCACCATATACGCGTAGAATATAATGTACAATAAAGTTAATGATTAGATAGCGAGTTTGTAATATCAAGCGGAGATCGGTCATTCCCACAAGAAGAGAGGTCGTGAATCTAAATTAAAACTGATTATATTGCAATTTGGCCTTAAAATCAGCGGTTTTCTCTCGCAGTTTCGCCGACGTTGATCGACTACTGTGATTTACTTCATTTTTAAATCGGCCTTGATTTGAAAAAAATATAGCGACTTCTCTCTTATTAATCAGTTTAATTCACCAACACATGACAATGCGATGGTGGACGACCTACTTCCAAAGAAAGGGAGACGGCTACTCTCCCCTTTGGCAACGATGCTCGGCCCGCCGAGGTACACGACCGGAAGTGCATCGAAGAAGCTGGAATGCGGGGCGAGAGCCAGCACCGGTGCGTCCTTAGTTTCCGCCTTTCGGCCCTTGACCTTCAGGTGATGAAATCCACCGCAGAGAAATAACGCCCGCATCATCCAGCAGATCACGATGCGCATGTCTCTGTTTTTAAGTGGTTTAATTTGCAATGCGCATGCACCATCGTCCGATGCAATTCTCTATTTCTACTCTCGTAAGGGAGTCTAAAATGATTAGCGGGACTCGTATAAGCGTTTCTCGGAATTTAGGGAAGCGTATGGAGATTTATGATTTCGATAAACGATTTGTATTTTTATCTCGCAAAAATCCTTAAATCTAGACAAGTTTCAGGAATATTTAGAAAATACTTGAAAATATTATAATAGAGTTTAGAAAACATTCTCTAGAAATTCTTTTAATCTTTAGAGTTTTTACGTGATTTAATTAATAATGCAGCATTAATTTATGCTCTTATTCAAATAAGTGCTAGTTCGAAAGTGACACTAATCGTATAAATCTAAACATGTATCCGTTTCATGAATAATTTAGAAACTTGCAATCCCCCACTATGTGCAATACCTTTTTAAAAGTACTTTAAAAATATTTCTTCCAGCTGAACCCGTCATAATATTGCATTATGGTACAAGGTCGTCTCATACACTTTTCTTATCGTAAGACCTTGACAGTAACGCATGACTAAATTACAAAAGAGATATAAATAAACAGTACCGCAACTTCTCTGTCAACTAACTACCGTTTTTTTCGTTCAAATATATGATATTGATATACTATAAAAGAGAAAATGTTTTGTTAAATAATATGCATATAAATTTACGACATTCGAAAATTAATTGATAATTAAGTTATAAATTTAGAGAACGCATATCAATCTTGATGATGTTAATAAATTAGAAATAACCACATTGCAAAATGTTGCGGGTTACTGAATGAACAAGAGGACAGATATCATACGAACGAAACGTTTCATTAAGCACGAAAATGTTTTAATAACAGTTATAAAATCGCAGACAAGGACTTTGTTAAAGGTGAAGAGACAACCTTGTCTCGTATGTAGAGATATATGCATTTTTTATATATTCGACCTCTCTCTCTCTCTCCCTCTCTCTCTTTCATGGACAGCCGAAGCCCACTGTCGTATCGCTTTGTTTTTGGGATATAATCGTATTGCTTTGGAATATGATCTCCAAATCGTACATTTAATTCGAATCTACTAGGTTCACTGTAAAACTATAAGCATTATTAAATCTATAATATTTTTGAGAAGTAGTATTTTTTTAAATACGAGAAGTGTGTTGTGTCTAGGTTTAAAGATTTCTAAGCGTTGATATCCGAAGATGTAAGTAACATAGGTTTAGTCTGTTAATAAAGCAAGATTATACCGTAGCCACACAGAGATTAAAAAGCGACTCCGAGAGGTAGTGTTAATATGAACAGCATGATAGAGAGACAAGATTTTCGAAGAATAAGGAATAAAAAAGTGTGGAAAAGGACCACTTTTTCTCGTCGCGATTATTCCGTCGCTTGGCTTCCTTCAAACATACCGCCTCCATCCCTTGAGAGGGGCTCGCCGAAGATCCTCTTCGGACAATCCGTGCAAACCGAGGCAGGCCAATAACCACGCAAGAATCATCAAAGTCGTGATTGCGGCTAGCCTGAACGGCAGGAGGGCGATTGTTAGGAATATCGTCTGAAACACCAAAACATTACCGTGTAAATTATCTTAGAAATCAGTTAAATTCCCACATCTATAAGCTAACTTTAAATTTAGTAAGAAATTAAGAGATTTTAAATTCAATATCAATATTCTGAAATTAAAATGGTATAACTTGACGCGATAAAAATTAAGCTACACATTTTAATTAGTATCATATATTCCGATTATTTGTCACAAATGTAAAATTGAAAAATCAGCTAGAACAAGTTTGATTTTTTGACTTATCAATTCGGAAGTCTTTGCTTTGGCAGTTATTAACGTCCAATAAATTATATAGGCATTCACGTATTTTAAACTAACTTAAACTATCCGGTGTTGTCCAGAGTGGGCCTATTCTGTAACGATAGTTTCTTAACAATAGCAAGAAGCTTTTGAACCTATTCTGTAACTCTTAACGAGTTTTGTTATATTTGCGTTGCGCATATATTATATATGGTAAAAAAGCGTTATCGTTATACTGTCATTGCGCAGCTTTCTTACCATGTATAATGCGCAACGCAAATATAACGAAACTGAATAGGTTTGCAAGCTTCTTATATTGCTTATACTTATATAATAATGCGTTAAACTTAAATTATCGCAGTCAAGAGAAAAAAGAGGGCAATAAGGTATCCAGATTTTATGGTAGCCTATATTTTCCGCAGGGGTCTAAAGAATATAATTATACAAAATTTGGTTCGGTAAAAAGGTTCAAGAATTAATAAGAAACATACACAGACAGACATTCTAGTTTACGTATAAATATGCTATGTAGACGCGCGGCGTCAATATTTAAAACACATTAAGGAAATTCATTTCGAGCGACATTAAAAATTCATTTTAAATCGACGGAATGTCCTCGCAGCAGTATCGCAGGATCGTAAAATGGGACACGCAGGTAAGTAAGTAATTGGTTCTTGGACTAACTTATCTTCTGTTTCACGCGGTCAAGGTTACGAGGCGTCCACCAGAAGGCTTCGGCTTTCTGTCTCGTAAAAAGGAAGAGAAAGAAAGAATAAAGAGCAGAAAGGAGATGGGATGCGAGTACCGTTCGTTAGGTTTCGCCGTTCCGTTAGGTGCACATCAGCCGTGCTTTAGCCATTCTTCGTCCCATCTCGCTTCATTTTACTGACGAGAACTCGAGACTGATGCGCCGGATGTGTGATGATACAAAAGTAAGTCTCTACCGGGAATGCCCATCAAATTTATATGTTATGAGAAAAATAAATATCGCTCTTGACCCAGATCGAGTCGAATGCGATTGCAATGACATAATTTTCCTGCAAACAAAGGTGAACGAGAATTGGGACACTGACCACAGAAGAAACTGAAGGCGAATTTCGTGTAAGTACAGATATTAAAACAAATGTGGAAGGAAATTTTTAACGAAGATCAATAGGAACACTCGATTCAAGTTGCTCCAATCGATAACGCAATCGTCACGCAAATACTAACAAAGAAGCCTTCCACGCGTTCGTCATGCGCTGATTTTTGCGTATAGAAAGTTGTCCCGCGGATGTAACTGTAAATATTAAGGGCCGTATTTTGCGCTGTTTCGCAACAAGACGTACTAGAAAATCGTACATTAATGTGTAACATTAAGGTGTAAGATTAATGTGTACAAGCTGTAATTATTTAGAACATGTTTATAAAGCGAAATGCATCTGGAGTAAAAGGAGAAAGTAAAAAAGAGAGCGAATGTGACATAAATTAAAAGAATAATGTAATACGATTTGATTTTCTCAATTTCTCGAAACGATATTTCCAGTTTGAGTCCCGTTAGAACGATGTTGCCGTTCTTCATTCACTCGCCACATCTAGAATGTGGGCTTTCTACACGCGCTCAAGACTTCACTGGTGTTTTAACAAGAGAAAGCATCGGTCCACGGATGGAGCACCAATTCGCATCACGGTTTAACGGCTAGAAAAGCGTAGGCTGCTATTTTAATGACTCGCAAAATATGTGGACGGCAAAAAACGTCAACGGGTCCTGCTTTTCGCAAAACCTGAACTAGGACACGAGGAAACAGGTTCAACGAGCGCGAATAACACTTCCTGTTTCTCTTATCGTAAACAATCCTGCTCTGCAATAAGTCTTTAGACCTTTAAATATAAAAAGTTTGTATACGAACAAAATCTGTATATACAGGAAGGCGAAATCTGCGTGTATACAAACAACTGCGGTCTGCAAATGTTGAAATGTCCCCATTGACACGTTTCGACGTGTCAGAGCGAGCGGATTTGATGAAGGAGGAAGCGCAATACACACGTTTCGACAATAAAACGAGGAGGGATACAGCATACTGTGTTAAGCTTTCCAAATTGCAATTTATCAGGCATCAGAGCATCTAACCCAAGTGAACGTATACCGATAGCTCGTAATGACCTTGTTCACGGTTAACGCACGTGACTAACATTCATATTGTGTTCCGCGTGGAAACTCACGCGACAACGTGCCGAGGAAAGTGGGGCGGAAATAATGCACGAGGCGCACGCCTCGCGTCGTGGACCATTGGGCGAGATGACAAACAAGCGGGCGTAAATCTCCTTTGTCCGGGGGAAAAAAAAACGGAGCCAACGAATGTAATAGACGCGAAGTTGACGGCACGACCTGGCCGATTCCCGCTGCGTGAAAGTCATGCCGCGACCAACTTGGAGGAAAAACCGGCCCGCTATCTCCTCGGCCGTCCCGTCGAATGTTTTCCTTCGCTATAGGTATTACTCCTGCGTTCTTATTTCGACACAGCCTGGAACCGCAATGCGTTGTTATATAATGCGGTGTTGATTAATCATTACATATATTGTTACATCTGAATATTCTGAATTATGCGTGCCGTTATGTCTTACAATTTCGGGACGGGAAAGTAGGCGATACTCGAATCGCTGGAGAGAAATGTAGGTTCCTTAGCAATTCAATTTTTCGGGCTATTTTTCCAAACAATTGTTTTCGTGACGTGAGTTTGAAACTCGTCACGCGACTCTCGTCCGAATTATTTTGTCGACGTCGATCGTCATCACCACTTTCGTCGGTTCCGTCGTTCAGAACGACGCCTGTAAATTTCGCGTAAAACTGCGAAGCAAAAGCAATTCCATTCCAACACTCACGCGCACTTTCTCGGCACCGCGATCGAAGCACACCCGTTTCTCCAGCGACGGCGGCGGTGGCGGCATCCCCTAAAACGCGATCGCACGAGCATCGATCCCGGGGAAGGGAAGCCGTTTCCGGCGAGGTAAGTACTGACCTTGAGCTTCTCGTAGGTCGAGCCGAGCTCGAGCCGATGCACGAAGGGGTTGAGAATGTCGGCGCCGAGGGAGGCGCCGTCGATGTCATCGGCGTCCGGCCGCTGGTTCTTCGCGTTTCCGTTCATCATCGAGGAACGGAAGAGGGAAGCCTCGTGAAAACTCGCCCGAGACTCCCGGGGATGGGGATGGGGATGGGAATGGGAATGGGGTCCGCGCGAACGTCCCTCGACGTCCGGACCTTCCTCTCGTCAGTCTCGTCTGGGAAGAGAAAGAGCACGAGCAAGAGGAAGCGACACGTTTATCTCGTATACGACGAGAGAGGATATCGCGTAGCGCTGCCGCACGTACCACGCACCCCTCCGCGTGTGTGAAAGGGTTAACGGTCAACGGTAGACTGCGCTACCCGGACACGCGCCACCTCGAGCGCTCGGCGGCCTCGGCGCGGCGCCTCCTCCCGCCGATTACGCGCCAACGAGCGAGCGGGCGAGCGAGCACCGCCGCGCCGTCGGCGACGAGCGCGAGCGATGCCGACGACCCGATTTAAGCGCTTGCCCGATTTCGATGCTGCGCGAGGAGCGAAGATCCGTCAGACCGTTGTCCGTCGTCGAGAGCTCTCAGCTTGCGCCCGCGTCGCCCCCGTAAATTGATCTTCTTTCTCTCGCGTCTGTTCGTTGGGAAACGTGATGGGCTAGCTCCCTCCCTCGCCTCGGCTCTGCTCGAACGTCCTGATAAACGAAATTTGAATTCGTCGGCTATCGTTCTATCTGTTTTTCGTTGCTCCAAGTCTCGCCTTATGTAACCGAACGGCATGCCGCACTTTTCTAGAATATCTCCGACATCCACCACGAAACTATATTATTTAATTTTGTTCGTCGAATAATGAAATAGTTGAAATTTTGCGAGACTTACCCCGTCAGTAGCGCGCACGATTAACCCTTTCTTCCCCGGGAAGGCTTCGCTCAGTTTCCTCGACAGAAAGTTTTTCCACGGAGCGTCAATTGCCAAGTAATTACTATCACGCAACGGAGGGATTCGCGATTCGTCGTTCTTGAATTCATCTTTTTTTCTGTGTCAAACCATGCATAAAAAGATAATTTATCCACATTGATTAAGCACCGCAGGTGTTGCTCGACAGGTGTTAATCGCCGATTAAGCTAAACGGAACTTGGTCGAAGCTCTACTCAGCTACCAGATTATCTTCAAATACTTTTAAGTATTTATTTTTAAGTATACCTTTTAAAAGTGTTTAAAGAAGCGTGTCGAGCTACGTAACAGCAAATCTTGCTCGCAGTATTCGCTGCAAATTTGCCGTCGTATCGCGCTGATAGTTATCACACATTAACGACGGATAACATTGGGTGAACATTTTGTTCGAAGTATATGTGAAAAGATTAGATTAGGCTCGACGCTTATCGTTGAAAATTTTTTAAGCCCAACGTTCGAAACAATCTCTCAGCGTCACTCGTCAGTCGTCACCTTTGCGGCTTCTCGTTCTCGGTCAAAGTATGGATACTATCCAATACTATCGATCTTTACCCCTCCGCGAGTATCTAACCTACCTGCTTTATCTCGCGCAAGTACCGCGCTTCCCTCATTACCGGTGGTCGTTACCGACAAAGTATTGACCAATCACCAATGGACGCGTTCAGCAGACCAAGCCGCTGAGTAGCAGTCGAACGTGATTGGCTCTTACTTCTAGAACCAACCAATCAACGCAGAGTGTTGATAAGACGAACTCAACAGTTGTGTCTGCTGAACGGGGCCAATCGGACCAAGTGCTGGCGCGCTACGAAAATCCGTTTGGTTTGCACTCCGGCGTCCAGTCGTCGAGTTAAAATAATTCTTGAATATTGACATTTTCCATCAACAAGCGAGATCTCGTATGCCTAATAACCGTTAATATTTACTCTGCGTTAAAGCACATGTCGGGCGTTGTTTGCTTATTAAATGTGCAGTCTGCAGATTTTTCTTCCGCAATTTATTCTCCATGGCATCCCGGAAACCTGAATCGAATCACATGATCACATCGATCGCTATATTTACTAAGAATTCATGCTTATTAAAGAATAAATGGCTTATTAAGAATGAATAAATTACTTATTAAGAATTTATTTATTAAGAACCGACTCTTCTCCCAAAATTTATCCCGCAGCTTCCTGGAAATCGGTACGGATATGACGAGGAAGGAACGAGGAACTGGATGGCCGACAAAGAATTCTCTTGCGAAATTGCCGCTTGTTGGAGCTATGCCTTCTGACGATCGTCTGTGCGTTTACGTCAGGAACACTTTATTTTACATATTTACACCGGTTTCTCTCTCTTTCTCGAGATTGCGTCTTTGGTCTACCCTCTCTCTATCTTTCTCTCTTTCTCACGCATACATACACGCACGCACGCACGCTTCTGATACGCGTTTCCTCCTTCGAAACGGGTACGAGTGTAAATCATTCCATAAATTAGAAAAAGAAAACACATCGTCGACTACCTCTGTTAAATGCGTCTGGCTAACCGAACGGTTCTCCGGAAACGGAAACGGCAGCTTGTGCCTCATCTCGATCGAATCACCCTTTAACCAGTAATTCCAAGCTCGCCCTTGTCCATTGTATTTTCTTTTTCGTTTTTTTTTTTCGTTTTCTTTCTTTTTTTTTTTAGTGCGTTCTGCCGCATATTGTGCGCCGAAAACTACGAGAGACAGGTTTCCCGTCCTGTCCTTAAAAAGTCCTTAATGTAATATTGCGTTAACTTTAGCGATCCGATGCGAGTATCTATTATATCACTCTCGATATACAATATCTTATGAGAATTTATCCTACGATATCGTGGAATTTCATCGGCAATTTCATTGCAGGAGGTCTGTTTCTGGCGCAAAGGGATTGCGTCCGATTCACCGGTTAAAGGGTCGCGATAAAAACTTGGTTCTCGACTACGATATAACTAATTGAGATCATAAAAATAACGAAGCTTAGATTACATTTATGCCCTGCTCTATGCGACGTGTGAGTATACGGTACCGTAAAACGGATGCTTGGATCCTTGGATCTTCAGTCGCCGAATGTCTTACTGTATACGAATTTAAAAATTGTCAAATATAACAACACGCTAAGAGACCTTTCGTGTATTTCAAGATTACGGATCTAAAGATTGCGCGGACTAAAATGTTCGAAGATTTTGGAATACGATTGTGGGAAAACTGAGGCTTTCCAAAGAGGTGAGCACTCACGGAACGAAGGAGGTCGGTAATAAAAGTGTGTTCTAACGAAAGTGGTCTAACGAAAAAAGTTGAACGGTCTGAGGAATCGAAGAACTTAGGGCGAAGAATCCAAGGATATAAGCATTCAATCTTTAGATCATTGGGGGATCCTTGAATCCTTATATCCTAATATATATATCACGTATGTACGTACGTATGCCGTATGTGTTTGTATGTGTGTATATGTACGTGTTTGTATGTGAATGGGTATGTGTATTAGGATGTCCCTTACTTGCTCACGTCCGATTATTGCAAATATCTCGCACACACATTCCACGCGTTTTCTTTCCTTCTATAAATCATCCAAGTTCGAAATGTTATCATTCTTTCTAATTTTGTTGCCAATTTCGATACCGACAATTTAATTTGCCGATGCTCCCATCACCGTGCAAGAATTTTTTATACAAATAAGAGATACCCTAGTACATGTGTATGTACGCAAACACGTGTGTAAAAGTATGCATGTATACATTTCTGGAAGTGGAACGTTCGCATTATTGAGGTATATCTACGTTCAAGCGTTCGGATATTGTCGGTTCCTCGAGAAGCTAGAAAATACGCGCTCCATAGTCGGGAGTCAATTGCCGTTCTTGAATTTTTACTGAACTTTTACGCTTAACGCATGTACAATCAGATCGCACCATTCTTTGAGAAAACGAGAACACCCTTCGAGCAAATAATACTTTTCTCTCTCTCTTTTACTCTTATGTGTCCTCGAAGAATCGTGCTTTCTGCAATCGTTGTTCCGAGATGTGCGACTCCGATAAATGAAATGAACAGTCCTAAACGTCCCTGAAGTGAAGCTAAAGCCAAACGAGCCGTGGAACATGAAAAGTTATTGCAATTATTAATAGAAGCCAATTAATAAAACCAAAAGAAAATGGATAAACATTTTTTTAATGCTTCCTATTTTATTATTGGATATATCTCATGACGTATCAATTCTATTGTGTTGATTCGTTTATACCATATTAATCTTTCTTATTAACTTTAAAGTTATATTTCAGCGTCACATCACTTCAGTGACATCACGGACAGATATATCTCGATGAGATAAACGTGAAAGGAATGTTCAACGAGCGTAAAGCGATATTTCAATAGCGATATAGGTCGTAGAGTTTTTGAGAACGGACCGTTAGAAAGTCAACTCGTGATTTAACTCATTAACTTGGATTATTATGAAATCCTTGAGCCTTTAAATCCTTGGATTCTTGGACCCCTAAATTTTGAGATCCTTGGACTCTTAGGTGTACGGATTTAGAGTCGTAAACCTCGCACTCGAACCGAGATTTCTCGTGCTTAACCTCATTTAATTCGTCCACCGGAGTGTACTGTGTGCCCCAAAAAAAGAGGGATCAGTACTATTATCTCGAAAGTAAGAATTCTTTCCAACACGCCGTTTCGTAATCCAAATCCTAAATGGGTGCGAACCGTGTTAAACATTAAAAATCAAAGGATTTAGGAATTGTATATTCGTATAGTTTCTTAGTTTTGCGATTCGTTTTTTCTTGAATTAGTAGACCGAGAACTATTTTCGACTGAAAAGTGAAACTAAGCAGATGCGAATTTTTATTAAGTTGAACCTAGTTGATCCCTTCTTGCTGACATCTCCTATCGAGACACCCGGTACAACTTGGCGAAGACGGCCGAGAACGAATCGTGACAGCCGCTGGTCCTTCATAGGATGATCCGTATCCGAAGTCATATAGTCCAGACCTGCACTTTTTCCGCGACGACACACCAGCTAGCGTGGTCATAATACGATGAGATGATATGCAGGTTCTCAACATACTTGTTGATCAGCTGATCCAGCTCGCCTTCCCGAAAGACGTGATAATATTGGTGATAGGTAATGGAACCGCCACCGCGATCGGAGGGCAACGATTCCTGGGACGAGGCATTGCTTAGGGTGTCGGTGCTCGCGGTGACTGGACAGCCCTCTCGCCTCTTCGTCTCGCTCGACATCTCGTCTAACGAACGGCCACGTTCCTGCAGTCTTCGTCGCTCCATCGAGCACCGACGGGTGTTCCCTGCATTCGGATTCGATACCAATGACGCCGTGCTGCCGGTGAACAGTCTCGCAGTCGACGCCGTCTGGCTGCCGTCACTCAGGCTCGTCGTCGCGTTCTCTATCAGAGAGTCGCCTACGTCGCTCGAGTCCATCGACAATCCGCTCTGAGAGGCACGCCACTTTCCGGCCGCCTTCGAGCTCTCCGCTGCCTCCTCGCATTCGAACTCGCCCGTCTTCGATACCATCACGAAGTCCAACGTGTCGTCCGAGTTGCTGCGCAACAACGACGAAGGGTTGGCGGAGCGACAGTGCTCTTGATTAATGTTAGATTTACGTCCTGCTTTCGATTGGAGATTGAGCGTGCTTTCAGCATTGATAAACGATTTTTTGGTATCACTTACGAAATTACTATTGGATTCGGGATTGAATCTAGATACGAGATCGACTTCAGCTTTTAATTTCTCTTCGGATTCGCGATTGACTCTAAACATTTCATCGTATTTGGATATGAAAGTAGTTTTGGGCTCGGCTTCGTACTTGACCTCGTACTTGGAATCGTATGGAAATTTACGATCGAATTCGGATTCCAAAATGGTATCCTCGCAGAGAGATCCAGAGGATTTAGGTGTCAGTTTGGATTGGACCACATTGGCGAACTTGTCGTGTCCACTCCTAGCGTACGCTTCGTTTACGATCCACGAAGTCTCCTTGGGTACTTGATTGCATCCGTCCCAACAGGCCGTGATGTCCGACTCCGCATCCACGTTATTTTCCGCGACGTTCGACGACGACGACGACGACGTGGTCCTCGACGTCTTGCAGACCTCGAAAAAATCGAACGACGAGTTCTGGCAGTACCGACTGATATCTCGTATAAGATCGCTGCTCGATTCGTCAGCGTAACCGCCCAAATCTACCGAAGCGGATTTACAATCCTGCTTCAGGTATGGCCGCGTTCGCACGTTCGACCAGAAGCCATCATTGTTCTGCCGTTGTGCAACTTGGGAGAATTGTTCTACTTGGGCATTGTGTTGAATCGCTGTCTCCACGGCATCCTCCAGGGAGCTCGCCACGTTGGCAGCGGCTTCCAGGAGCCTCATAGACTGCGAGGAGATAGACTTCCCGCTGTCCAGAAGAATGCGCGATGTGGGATAGACCGTGTCAGTTGTTAAATTATCTTGCGAATTGTCACGCATTATCTCGGTTTCTGCAAAGGGCGTGTCATTCTCGAAGTCCACGGACGAGATGTCGTGCAGAGGATCCAGAGGTGCATTCAAATCCTCGAGTGACGTTGTTCCAATACTCAGCGACTCATCGTCACGTATACTACTTTCCGTTTCCTTCGTCCTCTTTGATATATCGTCTCCACTTGACTTGGAAAGACTCTCATCTGTCTGTGCGTTGTTTTTCTTTTCTTCAGCCTCCCTCCTCGCGATGTACCGTTCATCCGACGTAACGCTGATCACCGAACCGACTGACTCCGGCGACGAGACGCCGCTGGAATCGCTATCCAAATCATCGGTCTCCGGATTGAACAATTCCAGGGATAGCAAACGTGGTAAAATCCTCGTGACTGTCTCCAGACGACCGGATGCCGCCGTGGAGGCACGCCTTACCAAAGGAAACGACGGTCTAGCGCGCGTTGCAAAGCCCGGCTTCGCTATGAGCAGCTCCTTAATCTGATTCAATCTGGCTTTTCGGCTGTCGTCCTCGTTCGCGATCGGCTCGCGACCGACCTTGGGGACGTCGTGGAAGGTACGTATCAGCGACGTGGTGTCCGGCTCTACGTCCGGTTCCACGTCCGGTTCCACCGATTCCGATGTGAGACGGGATTTTCCGTCTGACGTCGGTGATTGTAAAACATCATCGGGTGCTTCCTTGCAGACGACGGTCGGCGCACTAGGCTTTATCGCATTACCGAGGTGCGTACTCACACTCGTATTCGTGACGGTCGATTGCTGTTTTAGCAATGGTGACACGCCGACCACTTTGAATCTAGACGATTGACCACCATCCAGCGGCTGCTTGACACGCGGCGACGGCGGTGCCGACGTCGTGCCGAGCTGCAACGCCGCCGGTCGCGGCGCGGGAGGAACCTCATTGACCGAGGACGACGCCGGCGGTGCCGGGGCAGCGACGTCCTGCTTCGGCACGTAAATCACAGATGCGAAACTGTCTTCAGAGTCCACGCTGGTGTCGCTCTGTAGACTGCTATCTTTGGACGAGTCAGAGCCGTCTTCGCGCGAGAGACGACGTTCGACACCCTCGATGCTACGTTTTACCACCGTTACTGGTTGCACCTTATTGTCCGTTGTCTTCGACTTCGCCGCTGCTTCCGCCGTCTCGGCGGACGCCGATTCGCTCTCGCAGGATTTCCATCCCTGCAGCATTCGAACAAAGCCATTCTTGATAGACATGCTAGAGACCTTCTCGATATTCGTTGTGGAGCGCTTTATTTTATTGGTGAGTCCGTCCTTTAGCAGCTGGAAGCGCCGACTGGCGCTCACCGGACTGATCGAATCTTTGAGTGCCTCGAATGTTCGCCACTTGCAGATGAGTTCCTCGTTCAGCGACGCCTGCTTCATGATATTCCGGCGCACTCGTTCCTTCTCCTCCAGCCGTTCCGTCGACATCAATTCCTCGTTCATCGAGCTCTGCTTTAACGGTACGTTACGCTTGCGCAATGGCTGGCAGGAGAAGTCCGGGAGGTCCTTGATCAGGTTTTCAATGGCAGTGTCTTCGGGATTCTCCAAACTGATTTCCTCTACGTATGACTTCTGCTTTACCAGCCGCGGCTTTGAGCCACTCGACGATGATGAAACCGATCGCTCGTCCAGGATCAGCTCGGACGTCGAGTAGAAACCCGGGATGCTAGACCGGGAACGCACCAAATCGAGCCGTTCAATCTCCAGGATATCGCCCAAGCTTTTAGATTTGATGCTTAGCGTATCTGCGGAATGCTTGTTCGTCATTGTCAGTGTATGCGTGGTCTCTACGCGGCGCAGCTCGATCGGCAGCTCGTCCACATCGGTCGAGTCCTCAGGGTCGTAGTGTCGCCGGCTCTTCGTACCGCTCTGCCAACTTCCAGGAAACCATGCACGACCGCCACCTCCGCGTCTGCTCCTCGCTAATTTCTGAAAATAATCACGCAAACTTGCTAATCATGGATAACAATAATAATTGAAAAATATACTATAAATATAATCTGGAAGTAACGGAACAGGAAAAATTCAATTCTTTCCTTCTGATATTTTTTTTCGAAACAAAGTATAGCAGCGGTCAAATGAAGAAATTCAAGTGAACAACTCTTGACATTTAACTTGACATTTAACTTTGTGATGACTAAATATTGTGAGAAGGAATATCAATAGAGAAATATCTTTAAGTCTTTAAATATTGTCAAAAACACTTTTAGTTGACTTTTTAAGTGCTCGAGTTTAAAATGTTGTATTTATAGGTAATCACTCTCTATCTCTTTCTCTCTCTCATTCACTCACTCATCTAGTTACCTGTAACGCTCGCCGGAAACAGCTATAACAAGTCTCATTCGGACTAGAGAGACTACTGGTGGATGGTGACAAGCTGAATATCGGATCGATCCAATAACTCTTGCTTTTACATTTTCGTTGGTTATTTCTGGAACAAGAAATCATGACAGTTATGACCTACATACGATATTTACAGGAAATTGCACGAAGACGGAACTAAACATGCTAGGATCAATCCTAACATCGGTGAGATAATTTATCAAAAATTCACCTCTTGGAGAATGACGGATATTTCTGTGCAGCATCATCATCTCGCTTCTCGTTACTGTCCGATACACCCGAATGCTTCGTTCCATCTGACGCTGTGCTCATGCAATGCGACTTGGGCCACGGTATTAAAACATCTTGCGATTCAAACTGCGAATATATATAGATAATAATAATATAATTCGTGTAATTTAGACATTTAAAATATTGGTTATTGAAGGAAGAAATTAAGTGAGATTAATTAAAAAATGAAGTAAAAGGGGAGAAATTTTTTTACCTTTCTATGCTTCTGTTCCATAGCCCAGACGGATATAACGAGTCGACCCCCGATTCTAAGGACTCGCGCCAGCTCCTTCAATGCGTGTACCCTCCTCTCCGTGGTGGCGAAATGATGCACCACAGCGATCGACAGCACCGCATCGAAGCTCTCTTCTCGGAATGGTAGAGCCAAATTATCGCAGATTAGAACCTTATTGTACAAAAACAAGTGATTCCGTGAGTAAAATATTCAACCGTAATACATAATAAAATATTTGCACGCATGAATTCGAAATCAGTTCTTCAAATTCTCTTGCGCAGAAAATATACAATTTCTATAATAATATATATATATATATAAAAAGAGGTTAACTGATAAATTAGTTAACCCTTAAATGCCGCACCTCTCAAGAATCTCGTAAATGACACATGGGGTCTAAAAGACCCCAGCATGAAAAATGTCTCCTTACTCATTGATTTTTTGATATTTAGTTATGAAAATTATTTTCTATGTTGTTCAAGGCTTAGAAAAGAGAATAAAATGCTTATATTGTTAAAATTTCAATTTCAACATAGTATGAAAAATTAAGTAAACTGAGTACTGCTAAGTGTACAACCGGTTAGGTCAATCACTCAACTATCATCAATGGAAGCATAAGCTCCATTTTTGGGGGGAACATTTGAAAATATATCATTGTAAAAGGTCTGGGGTCCGCTGGATCCCGGGTGGCATTTAAGGGTTAAAAAATAAAAAAGCTTCTATATACATTACATATAAGTGATATGTACACGCACCTCGTTTTCCTTCTCGCGCGCGATGTCCGTGAAACGCTTGCATCGGTCCACTCCTATCTTGAAAACGCTGTGATTTACGCTGAGATATTTTCCGTTGCCGCAACCTAGATATAGCGACATAACGTTGTTACATGGACGGAGAGGTAATATAATGATGTAAAGCATTGCGGAACGCAAACTCTGTTAACTATGCGATGAATACTTCGCCATTGTGTATTGACAAGCGTTTACACAACACAATCAATGAAACTTATTTGTTAAAAAAAAGCCATCTCACGTAAAGTACAATATGTTTTTGACTGACCGATGTCACAGACGAGGGCACCCGGTTCGAGCTCTTGAAGAAACTGATATACTCGTGGCCAGTGTTTACTTTGCGTGGTCTTCTCGGCACATTGCTCGTATACTTCGTGGACGTAGGCTTGCTCTAAGGCCACCGAGCGAGCTGCATGCTCTCCGTCGCTCTCAGACATCCCTCTCGCTAAGGTAATTTACCCTCGTCCACATGTGCGCTCACGATGCTGCACACAGAAACATTTACCTCTCTAAATTGAACAATCGAAAAGTGATTCAACTTCGAAGATTGAAGGCACTCGAAGATCGAGAAAAACAATTTGACAGGAACGTGGAGATTTAAACAAGGTACCGAGGTATTTACACCGAAGTGAACGGATTCTCCTTCAACTACAACTACGAACTACCGAAATGTCAACGAGTTACTTTGTTGATTTTTAGAACCTGCAGCCCACAGGCCACCGAATAACCGGATTAACGCATGGGAAGGCTACGCCTATACTTGTATAATACGATGATAACGCACATCGCGTTTTTGCTCATAGCCCAATCTCGCAGGGTGGCAAGCATCCGCAATAAAACAGCTCCTGCAGCAGTTTGAGTATCAGCTTGTCGGGCCTGCACTTCTCCGTGTTCTCCGTTTTCTTGGCGCGATCATCGGAGCGGTACCGCAAACGGGGCACCGTGTACGCTCGACACCATCGCAAAAAGTCGCCGGTGTAATCCTCCGTGCGGATGAACGTCACGATTGCCCAGAGGGTGCAGAGATTCCGGGATTTCTTTCTGGTGTGCAGATAGAGCTGGCAGACATCCAGGAATGTCATGAGATCGACGACGCTCCTTTCCATGGAGAACACGGTTCGAAGATCGGGCCGACACGGAATTTTCGCGAAGCGAACTCGATGACCGGGAACACCGGGACACCGCGAACTGCGGCGTTTCAAAGGGAGCTCGGAAGTCAAAAGTCGCAATCGAAGATAGACGACCGAAAACCGATCCTTTAAATAGATCCTTTGGCGAGCGTCACCGAGCGGAAAATCCGCCTGGCGCGAGGGCTGCTCTCCACTCGCGCCACCGCCACCCCCGCATTGTATGCCGTGGCGAACGCCGTCGGAGGCACAGTGGACCGACTTCAAAGAGCAGCGCGCTCTTCCCCGCCTTCATCTTCCCTGTGATTCCCCCTTCGCACGTCGCGTGGTTCCCTTCATCCCTGTCGCGTGCGAGCGAGCGACGTAAGGGCCGAGTACGTGTGTATATGCGTTCGCAGGCTTCCGATACGCGGCTGCGCGCTGAATTTATTCGATATCCCCCTTTCGCATAACTGGGTTAGTCTCTCTCGCGATGCACTAGTTTAACTAATTTAAGGATGTCACCGGATGCCTCGTGCGCGACGACCAATGTCAACCGTCGTCACTCAACGCAAACGAACGGCCGGTGCGACGGCGGGCGGGCGGACGGATGGACGGATGGATGGATGGATAGATAGGTGGATGGATGGACGGGCGGGCGGACGTGTACGTCGACGTAATATCGACGTGCGCGCTGTTGCTCGCTTCCGAGGGATGCGGCGCGGTGCAGTGATGCACGAGATGCGATTATTAATTCGCAAAGAATTCTACGGGAGCTCATTCTCAAGAGAGACACGTGCAAGCGTCGCTGAACTGAACTTTGACTCGTGATCTTTGACACGCGTCGACGTGTTAGAATGCTTCTCCTTGGACTTCCGGACTTCGAACAACATAAAACATAAAATCTTTCGAACAGAGAAATAACGCGTAGTCTACAGCCACCGCTTCTCACTCTCCAATCAATTTCAACGATTGAATTATTGTCAGGCTACAATGCGCTTATATCGAGAAGAAAGAGAGAGAGAGAGAGAGAGAGAGACTCGTCTGCATGCTACTAATGACAACGACTTATAAATAGAATGTGAAATGCATCCCACGCGAGTGCTTACGTCACGAAACGTCGCCTGTCCGTTCAAGGACTAAGGGCCGATCGCGTCGAGCGTAGATCGCAAACTAATTTAATTAGATAATCATTGTTTAACTAAAGAGAAACGCGAGAAACGCGATCCATGCACCGTCATAGCTCTTTTTTTCTAAATTACAGATTTCTCGCTGCCTATGGATATTTGGGGGCGCGAAACGAACTAGGAGTCGACGCGCGCTTTGTACTATACGGACACCGAGATTTCCGCAACATGATGAGATATTGCACCCGACGAACATTCGCCACCCCGTTCGATGGAGAAGGAGAACCACTGTGCCACCACGGTTAGACTACGCGCTACGTAACGGCTGGGTCGTAAGTGTGTTGGTCTCTCGACGGCGTGGGTGGTGTACGTAGAGCAACGGCAATGTGCCAACCGTGAGAGAGGCAGCCATGAATGAAAGTGCCGCGTATCGATTTATCTGCGCCGCCCTACATACGAAATATGATAAATAGAGAGTGCCCCTACCGATTTGTACGCGGTGACACTTCGGAATCACCACGTCATCCATATGCGTATCCCGTCTCTGCGTTTCCCGTCCCGGTTATGTGTTAATTGAGCTTTGCGAGGCGCAACAATCGTGTTATCTCGCGTATCTAATACGGGTATAATGAGATTAGATCAGAGTCATTTCAACGAGAACACAATGGCGAGGGGGAGAGTAAAGACGGCATTATATTTCGTAATGTCAGGTAAACAAGCGATGGAATTAATTGTGAGAGCAAGCTAGTTACATGAAAATCAGTAAAGAATTTTACAACGCGCGTGCAAATAATACAACAAATTATATAATAAAAATTATGTAATTCGCGCATTTCAACTATCCGTTATCTAACAAATTCGAAACACGCCTGCCCCCAGCATGGCTCAATTACAGAATTAATTGAAGCTAGCAATTAGATGAATATTGTTTTCGAATCCTCCACTGTTTCGCAACACTTGTAATAATTTTTCGAAATTTTGTGTAACAATTCATCAATTTCCATTTCAGAAATTCGGGCCGCGAGATGCGTCAAAATAAAGAAGGATTCGACAGTGTCGGATAATGGAATTTCGCGATTGCGTGTAATCGACGCGAACAGCCGCAGACTATCGACTCCCTTCTGTAACGCAGCACCAAACGCGTCACCGTGTTCAAAACGATTCGATGTGGCGCCATTATTCATTCATGCGAGCTCCGCTTCTACGTCAATGACTGAGAACCCTTTCGAGGCCTACCAATGCCGATTTGACGATCGCCAACATGGCAAATCCAAGTTTTGAGGAATTCAGATATCGAGGTATTCCAAAAACAGCCGAGTACCCGACGAATAGCAACGAATCGGGAGTCACCGCGATCGGAGCAACCCAAGCGTCGACACCAAGCACAAAGCTATCGACCACCTTGTATACTCGATATTGATAAGACCGTATCAACCTTATCGCGTAAAACAACCGCGTACCTTCGTATCCCTGGAATAGGCAAAATCAATTTCTTCGCGAGAGAGACTACCTACGCGCGAATCCGTTTCGGGCCGGCGACGGCCGCCATATCGCTAATCGCGCGAGACCGTCATCACCCCGCGAGGAGACCGACGGCGAGGACGTGGATCGGACACGCCAGGGTTTAAACGGTTCTAATGCCAAAAATACGATCTTTCTTCCAAGACTTACCTGGGTCATGAGAGAGGCGGAATCTTCATGCTCGCGGTGCGATACGCTGCTGTGGCGGCAAGAGGGTGCAGCAGCGCGGTGACAGCGGCGACGGCGTCGGCAGCGGGGTCGGGGTCGGCGACGGCGACAGCGGTGGCAGCGTCGGCTGGTACTAGTGCTGGTGCTGATGTTGCTCGCGCGAAATCGGCGTCGCGCGGATGTTCGCGTCTCATCGCGCCGACAAACGGATTCCTCTCACATCGCCCTCGCGTTAGTTGAATCTCGCCTTTTTGTTCCTTTTCCCCTCTTTCTTTCTCCTTCTCGCTCGCTCGCTCGTTTTTTTTTTCACACGGGACGTTTGCGCGACGAAAGGGTGTATCACGCGCACGATGGACGCGCGTTTCGCGAAGAATCGAGCCGACCGACCGACCGACCCTCCGACAATGGCTGCGGTTCCGCTGGGGGTTGAAGGGAGCACGCGCGAGGTAACGCGACGCGACGCGACGCGGGCGTCGCTGTGACGCATTACCAGCGTAAGGGGGAGGAAAGGGCGGAAGAGAGAGTGGGTGTAACGAGATATGTTTCTCCTGCCAGCTGCGGGTGGATGGGGGAGCGTAGGTAGATGCGCGAGAAACGTGCGGCACGCGGTATCTATAGCGAACTTTATAATAGAGAACGTTCTCCCCGTGAAGAACGTCCCCGCGATTGCACATTTGTAGTATTCTTGCGCGTCCTCGTGACGTGTCACAGACGTCAAAGGGAGTTGGAAGCGACGAATACAAAGAGATGCGTTTGGCGTTCGCACGTGCGGCGAGACGCGCGTGTGTTAGACCAGATTGCTTCTTGTCAAAAATCGAAGAAACCTTTCTCTTTAACGTAAATGCGATATCGATCGTTTTGAATTTACGATCGTCTAAAAAGAGGATTTTTACGAATCGAGTTTTAGTTCGACAGAGGGTATTAGCTTGGTAACAAACGCAGCAAACTATACGTGCAAGTGGTCCAATGTGGATTATTTAAAGTCAAGGGAGATATGTAAAGTAATACAGATGCGATATATGGATACGATATAAAAGCGCAGAGCGTAAATACGGATACAGAATATCGTATTAAATAATGTGGTTGAATAAAGTTTATAAAATTCTTTATTTCCTATTCTTCTTTATATTATATATTATGTTAATATAGAACGTAACGCACGCGCGCGCACGCGCATATAAAAACGCCGATAGAAATTAAAGTAATACGTTACGACGTACGATCATTCAAATGAATTTTGCCTAACTTTGAAGACCTGATTGAAGGGCGAATACGGCGTATAGCGAAACACGTCGTCTATATTCAGATTACATCGAAGTATCACTACGCCCGACGGATTCACCTTGACCTTGATCTTGGTTTGTGGCGTTAGCACTCCGTAATCCACGTCCTCGTACAGATCCTGAAAAGTACATCGATCACGATCACTTCCGAATTCTTTTCCTAAAGATATGTATTCCGGATTAGCCGTTAGCACGTGACGCTTACGAACCTCCACTCGGTATCCTCCGGGATACTGTAGACCCAGCTCCTTCAACGTGACCGACACGTCCGACGGCGTGCCGTCCGTCCGCCTGTTAACGAACGCGATCGCGTACGAGTAGTAGGTTTGGTAAACTGGGGTGATGGGCCTTGCCCAGATTTCAATGCCCTTGTGCTGCAATCGTAAATTATCAATAAATCACACCGTGTGAGACACATTTCGATGGTTTCAGCCGAATGATTACCACTAATATAACTGAATATGACCGTTAATCTTGCATTTCAACTGATTCATGACAACATATACGTCACATCAATATACTTGAGGCACCGACACTTTAGCTTTTAAGTCACTCACTTTGTATATCCGTCGACCTTGAATGCCCAGCAAATCTTGATCTACAGCGATAATTTTTTTGTTCTGCAGAATGGCTTTATATTCTGGCCTGATTGTCCTGAGATCGACGGACATGAGCAACGGCGCCGCTAGTATAGCCCAGATCGCCATTTGCGTTTTGCTCTGCTCGTAGCTCAAGCCAAAGTTGCCGATGATCAGCATGTCCGGGTCGTTCCAGTGCCCGGGACCGGCGATGGGCACAATCACATCTTGATTATTACCGTAATAATCGATGATACTCTCTACGCTGGCCCAGGAGTCCTGGATATCGTCGAAGTTGCGCCAGAGATTGCAGTGTTCCGCAATCGCGGTATAGTTTGGCTGAAAATTAGATGAACCGTCAGAGTGATTGCTTCTGGAAGAAATAAATCGAAGAAAATGCATCGATGCCTTACCTTCATACCAGCGTAGATTTGGTAAACAGGCCAGCTGCAAGAATATATCATGTGCTTTCCAGTCTGATTCAGATGGAACCCAAACTCGGGATAGCCTTTCATAAATATACCACATTTTAATATTGATTTATTTAATTAAGAGAAAGAAAAAACTCATGATTATTTATAGGATTTAACTGTACCTCTATCCATGTCAATGGGATGTGAGTAACAACCGTCTAACTTGACATAATCCACATCCCAGGAAGCGAATGTGGCAGCATCTACATCTAAGTAGCCCAATATACCTGGGTATCCAGCACAGGTGTAGTTACCATAGTCCTCATAGATACCAAACTTGAGACCCTTTGAGTGTACCTGATAAACAAGGAAGCGTTTAGTGGAAGAATTACCCAGTTACAAAAAGAGCATTATGAGCCTGGGAAATGAACCAAGTGCAGAATAACAAATTCATGCGACTGGCTAACATTGAAACAGAGTAACGAACACTTCTAGAGCAATTGACAGTGAATTACATAATCTGATAGACTCTTCATGCCATATGGGAATCGTTCTCTGTCTGGCACAAGTTGCCCATTTGAATCCCTTTCTTTCTCCAACCAACAGTCGTCCACATTAATATAGTCGTATCCCACCGCAGCGTACCCTTCAGCCACCACTATGTCTGTCATGGTCCGGAAAAGACGATCACTGTGAATCACACAGGAGACCACTGTAATTACCTCTGCACTTATACCGAATATTCTATCCGTGTATCATCCAGACTGCTGGAAGCTCACCTTATACAATTGTCCGGATCATTCTTGCAGTCGGTGTTGCACCTGAATCTCTCCCAAGCTAACCATCCCATTGGAGGTGTCCTGGCCAGGCCGTTCTCCAGCGCTGGCACCAGAGTGACCAGCGACAGGAGAACACAAAGGGACCACAGGTTGCGCAGCATTCTGCAGAAAGGTAACAACAAAGCTGCTCTCAGTCAATGAGCGAGGATAGCGACGAGGCTACCAGGTCGGCAGCATAGTCCGGGGGCGCGAAACGGAGCAGGATTCCCGTGAGAGAACGGTCGACGGAGAGGTCATCAGGGGAGCTCGCTGGCCAGGAGGAACGACGCGAGGTGGACGCGGTGTTGTGACGAGGCGCGCCTACCGTACTGATCTGATATAAGAGGTAGGCTCGCTCGCGCGCTCACCCACCGCCGCCGCCGTCGCCGCCGCTGCCGCTGCCGCGAGTACTTTCACCCAATGCCCCATTTCATTTTTACGCGCGATCACCGTCGCCGACTCGCGTTGTGCCGCGCCTGCCTCTGTCGATCCGCCGCGCGTCCGCCGACGGACGTACAACCGACAACGGTCGTACGTAGACCGGCCCGTGCCCGTTGGCGTTAACGCGGGTAATCGCGCCGAGTTTCCTACGCGAGCGGATGTGCCACTGCTGCCGTGTGGCAAGTGGCAAAGAGGTTAGGGGACCTGTCGTGACCTGTTGTGCGCGCGACAGGTTAGATCACTTTTCGGCCTTGTGAAATCTTTGAAACCTCGCGAACTTTTTCTTTTCTCTTCCTCTTTTTTTTTGTGAAAGAATTCACGGAGTATATTCGCGCCTCGAAATCGAACGCGGATTTGGATTTTTTCCGGATTTCAAACTTTCGTTAGATCCTTTTTGATTTATTTATTTTTGACTTGTTGACTGTGTTAGCGTACCGAGCCGTTGAAGGAACTTTTGAGTTTGAGACTTCAATCGACGTGTTATTATCATTACCTCGATATCTTTTATTAAACTTTCAGATGATACAGCTCTTATTTAGACAGCTGTCGCGAAGGCTTCAGTCTGTTTAACAGGTCTCGTACGTTCTGTGAATACTTATAATAAGTAATGACTCCTAATTTATGCTTACGAATGATAAATTAAATGCACATAGATAAAATGCTTAAGTAGATAGAAAAAAAACGAAGGATATAAAAATATGAAATATTCACGTGTCTTGCTCTTCTTTAATGATTTCAGGAAATAATCGAAAGTTATTTACCTTCCAGAGCGTTCAATTTCTTTTTTTACACCGCAGTTTGATGCAATTTCTAAGTAATTTTACACGCAATATAGAGCGTGAGCGTGAGCCTATGTTCCCCGACGGAAAACTACGAGTGCGAGATGTCGTTTTTCCGAAGGCTACTGGAAGATGCTAAACAATGATCATTATGCGTCCTTCGTGTTTCGATTCGACGCCTCAAGGCTCGCACGTCTAAGCGTATGCGAGCGTATTGTCGGAAGTCAAGGTTTGCAAAGAGACATCGAGGATTATTCCTATACTGTACGGAAAAGTAGGCTCGATTCTCCTCCCTTCATGCCGAACTCTCGTTGACGCTCTGATTTATACTACAGAGATCTGGTCGACGCTCTGGACGCTGGCTTCGCTCGTCACCGATAAAAATGAAAGCATCGCGGCCCGATGGAAGGGCAGTGACGTGGACGGCGCGGCGCGTTCGGAGAGCGAGAGGAGACAAAGCGAGAAAACGGCGAGATCGGTCGAGCGATTCGACAGAGGGAGAAAGACGACGACAGGCAATGGTAATATCGCGAGTGGGAGAGACGTGAACTCTCATTACTCGCAACCGTACCGTACAGGATGCCTCAAAAGTCGCCTGGCTTCTTTCGGGGCCTATACGATCGCTCGAATCCCAAGACGATGCTATATAGCTGTCGCTGCGAAGGATTATTATTATTAGCGTTCCTGTGTCACAATTACTTTCCCTACTCTCGCTTGCTCTCCTCTTCCCTTTCTTTCAACGTAATAATAATATTTTATTATTATTGTGATTATATCACGACTGTGTGTTACTACGTGAACTAACGTGTACCAAATTATTTCCGCATATAGCGCGGGCGGTACGCCGCGACGCGAGCCGAGAAAGTAGCCAAATAGATGCGAACCGGTTCGCAATCCTTCTGCTAACCGTGGAAAAAAAGGGAAAGAGGAGCCGGAGGGAGGAAGAGAGAGAATGTGATGTAGACACCTCGTTGAAAGAGAAAGATAACGCGCGACGGTCATCGCGATACTTCGGTAGCGTTCGTTCATTTATATGCCAACGTCTCCGTATCACGGAGATCTTGATCGCGCGCGATCATAATCTTTCGCGCACTTGATCGTTGAACGTCGAGTGTGGAGTGTGGGTCACCGGAATGATAGGAGAACGGTTTGTTACGTTGTTTGATCATGGTGATAGGTTGTAGTTTCAGCTCAGAAACGTACAGATTGCGCGTTATTAGCGGTTCGAGAGCCATACCGGAAACGGTCGCTCCGAGCACAATCGCTGCCAGCGAAAGAACGCGCGAGATACCGCGGAGATAATTAAAAAATAATTAAGTTCATTTACGTTCTTTGATTTTCTGGGACGCTGCAAGAAATTAGCATGGAGTTTATCGGGGAAATCAGAAAAGTGCATGTCTTTTTTATCACACACACAATGGAAACTTTAAATTTCTAAATCCAAATCTCAAAATTTTGTAGATTGCGATATCAAACAAAAGAATTTTAAGATATCGTTATATAATGAAATATAGATTATTCAATAATATATCGGCATGCACATCTATATTTGTTTACTCTTTTAATAATTCGCGATATTGATACCAATATCTTGTTTCGTAATAATGAGATATAATAACGTGCAGAAGTGTTTATGTTTATCTTTTCTCGTAATCACTCGTAATCGAACGGAAATTTGTTACATCACAGATGATTGTGACATAAATAACAAATTTAAATGTATTTTGCAGTTGAATATCAAATATCTCATCTTAACCGTCGCAAATTAAATGTATTTTGCAGTTGAATATCAAATGTCTCATCTTAACCGTCGCAAATTAAATGCTTTACACTAAACGCCGGACATAAACGATCGCGATAAATCCTCGTGAAAACACACGCTATACACCCATCTCCCTCGCATTTCTTCACGAAGAAAGACATAAAAGAGCGCAGCTTCTCGCCTTCTAATTTCCCCCTTCTCCCTTTCGCCTCGGAATGGAGAGTTTGATTTCTTGCACGCTCGCGTCTCTCCCCGCCAAGCTAATTCTGCTCTCTATCTCAAAGGGAAAAAAGAGAGAAAAAAAATAGGAGGGAGAAAAACTATCATAATGATACCGAATTAGCGTCGCGTCCTAATCGGTGGACCGTATTAGAGATGTGTCAGAAAGCGGCGGGTCGAGGCCGATGAAATATTCCCATCGGCTCTCGCATTCTAAACTATCGTAACCCTGGCACGATCCACATCCACGCTCCATTCGTCTCGCGGAATTGTCGACCAGCACCGTCACAGGCGTCACAGCATCGCCCGCGTTCATAATTTGCATCTCCCTTCCTTCCTCCTGTTCCCTCCCCCTCCCCCCCCCTCGATACCGTTTATAGCGTTTCCGAAGGAGAAATCGAAACGGTAAAATTCAGATGACGAGGATGAATCCAATTCGAGAGACACGCCTTCTTAAAAATTTTTTAGATTCTCCACGAAAGAATAATGTTTGAGGATCTCTTAGATGCCTCTAGAAAACCTGGTGCGTCTCTTCTAATCGCGGTTAATAGAAATCTATTATTTGCAGTGAATTAAACGGCGCACGCGAGCGTGCGGATAACGCAGACCTCTCGCGACTTGAGCCGAGCGGTTGTCTTTACACGCAATCAATGGTTCTCGCGCAATATAAGGAAAGAACAAAAAAAAAGAAAATAACGTACCTTTTGTCTGCCACGTGTCGCGCGAGAGTGTTATTTTATTGCAGCGCGCTTCTCAATATATGTATGTGCTCTCTCTATATATACGAGTGACTTGTGGATGGGCACATCGATGTGGTTATCCACAAGTCACTCATTCTGTAAATATATACGAACATTTGTGTTCGAGAGTTCTGATTGTATGTAACAATCGCATTTCTCCCCGGTGCGTTATCGTGCACCGTCTATTTGATAGGCTCGTATCTTCGTTGATAAAGTTTACTTGGATTACCTGATGATTTGATTTAATAGCACGACTGATAAATAAGCCGCCGTAAATAACAAATTATCGCCGTTTTCGATCCAAAGATATACATGTCAATGGAAGCATATGTTGCGTGAAGCGCGTTTTGTTAAACGTTTTGGATGAGCAACATCGAGGTAACGCATCTTTCGGATATCAATAGAACTGATCCCACGCGCCCCGTTAAAGCTCTGCTTCAACTTGGCACAGTTTCAGCACAGTTGCGCGCAATTTGCATCGCGTCGTGTTTTATTTTCGACGTCTCCACCGCGAAGCGCGACGTCGCTTTCGCATCCTTAAATGGCGATCGCTGAAACAAGGGGGAAAAAGTTGCGGATGGGATTGTCAATTGAAACTGACTTTTGACGAAAATTTGATTCCTGGAAAGGGAAAAGAAATCTCGTGTTATTTCGAATGGATAGAACTAACTTTATTTGGAATTGTTTAGATAACAATTACTTCGTTGTTCTGAAGTGCGCAACCGACTAATTAAATAACAAATTTTGTTGCTTTGAAACGCATACACCTGTCATTGACTTTTAACATTTTTCGAGACTGAACTCTCAGGGCGCGAAAAGATAAGAAAGTTGATTAAATAAAGATAGCATCATAAAAATATATATCCTTAATCGTAAAAATCAGTTTATCAAGTATGCTTATTGGGTCAATTGATAGAGATGTATCTTCTGATTAACTATAAAAAGATTAGAACTCACTATGATGAGATACATTGGCTATCATATAAGTAAAATGAAGGGAAATAAATAGCAGCCGTTTATCATTTAATTACAAAAGTAAAATAAAAAATATATATACGTATTTATGTGTACATACAAAAAAAGTACGACATGTTTTAGCTTTAATGACTGGAAGAGAGGATTCGCAAGCAGCTGTGCCGAATTTTTAATTTACTTTCCAAGAAGAATCTTGCGGCCGGCGCCGATGTTTTGGCCTGCCTGGGTCGCACCCTTGTTGGAACCTGCCTGAAGACCGATTACCGTCTGGCCAGCTCGCAATTGTTCCTCCGAAAAATCGCGTTTGCACTCGTCTGACGGCTTAGGTCCTAGGTAAGGTCCTTTCCATTCAGGATGCTTGTATGTCTAAATGAACAAAGATATTGATATTGATATTTTTAATTGTGATACTAATTATATCGGTCAAAATTACTCATACAAAGAAAATACTTGTACAAAGAAAATCGTTGTAAAATTTTTGATAAAATTAGTGATGATAATAATAATAAAACGTACCGTCCGGCCAAGCGCGAACAATGTCGTTACTACTTGGGCTATATCTTTCTTCTCCCATAAGTCTACGGTCTGGAAAACGTCGACGTCGTCCACCCCGTAGTCCTTTAGCGCCTTTTGAAACCTATAACGTGTCCAATGTTGTTACCGCATAATTTACAATTGATACAAATGTTTCACCGGTCACTACTCACAGATTGATATTCTCCATCATCTTGAACTGTCCGCCAGTAGTGTTGATTTTTGGTACGGATCCAGGAGAGAGTTTGTTCATCAGATGACACAGGACTTGACCGTCCTTGAGCACGTCTTCGAAGGCTTCACCAGGAGGAAACTTCTTGCCGAGGATTGATTCGATCCATTCCTGTGCCTCCTTCTCCTGCTCGGGGTTGCGTTTCCCCGCAAGCTGCGCAAAATGGTACGCAAATCTTAGAATTCTAACGTACTGTTGTTTAGAAGTTGGATATCGAGGTTTTTGTAAATCTTCAAGTATCCCAGAATATCTCAAAGAGTACACCTCTTTCGGAAAAATACATGTTTTCTTTTTACATACAGTGGATAAAAAAAATAATACATAATTACGAATTTTGTTCATCAGTAATTCACTACATACAGTATATGTAATAAGTTACTTATGGACACAATTCGTAATTATGTATTAATCCTTCGAATAAAGCTATTGTAAGAAAACTGGGTGTGCAAATACTTTTTGATTAATATGTTTTCTATATATTATCAAACGATTAGCTTCTTTCTGTCTAAAAATTAAGGTAATAAATAACTCGAAAAAATAGATCACTGCAATGTATGACGCACGTGACCGTAAACGGATCGAAACGGATTTCACCACACAATTGAAATTATATGTATGTATATATATGTATATATGTACCTTAGCGCGCACTTGACGTTCTAGAGCCATCCTGATATTTTTGAAAAGACTGAAGTGCCGCGGCTTCTGGACGCGGCTTTTTATACGTTCCGGAGGAGTTCGGAATCACCGTGGGCCAAGTCGGGGGAGAAATCTGTCCAACAACGTAAGAGGGTTGTATACGGGGTGTCTCTTGTGAGAAATGTTCCGACGGAAAAAAATGTATGTCCACACAAAAGCGCAATCGAGGATTCCTCGTCAATGTTCGTGTGGATTGTGATGTATCTTCAAGGCTTTCTATCCTATCCTCTTCTTCGTTGGCTCGATGATCAATAAACGAGAAGTATCGGAGATAACTTTTTCTCATATTCCGCATGGTTGACGCGACACCCCGTATAAGCGACGCAAGCGTACGTGATTCCACACGTTTCGGGATTCTAATATTAGCGGCTTATTCAGTTAAACGAGAAATAGGTTTTCCGAAATCGCAGAGAGACGCAGCTGCTATGAAAATTGGGCAGCTTAGTAATGATTATAGCATCCGGTAAATAAGCCGAAACAAGATTCGCGTGAGCGTGTCACTGTTGCGTTGGCATTATTAAATAAGCGACTATTAAGAGTCTCAGACGCCGATTACGCGTCTGTAATGTCTATTTAAAAAATACAACGGAAAGAGAATATTTCGAATTTTTCACAATCAATTGTTTGATAGAGAGTTAATTAGTTAACATTTTTTTATTTTCTGTTTAAATTTGATATAATAACATTGTACATATATGTTCTAATACTCTAATTTGAATCGAGAAATCGATGGGGAACGAATGAATATGAAGAACAAATAAAAAAGGGGACAGATATTATACATGTCGCTGTATACATAAGTCTGAATGATTTGAATGGATCCTTATTAGGAGACAGAAATGTCAGATCAAGGATAGTTTGAACTGTTCGAGCAAAACGGCTCGCGCGTTGTTCTCGGTTTGATTACATTGCATATTCCAACACATAGCTCTTCAGTATAGGGCGTAGGCAACGTGTCGAGGTCCTGACACAGAAGGAAGGAATGGAGAAAAAAAAAATACGGTCGCCCTCGTGAAAAGTGGGACGCGCTACTTTTAAATAGTTCTCTGTCATATGGCTCGGGTTATTATTGCGCGATCCAGATTTCACGGCAGATACTCGCCTCTCGTGTGAACGTGAGATAGAGACGATAGAGTCGGAGAAAATGCGGAAAATTATAGACATCCCGAGGACGAAACTCTAAAAGTTTGTCGCTGATATATATAGACTAATTTGTGAGCTTGAGAGAGTTTATAAAATATAAAAGTTTGTTTCCAAGACGTTCTTATTACAAATCAATCGTGAAAAATTAAAATCGTTACACCTACAACATGAAAGTGATATGTTTGTAAGTTGCGTTATAACAGCTGGAACAAAAAAGTAATGCATATAACGATATCTTGTAAAAGGTGAGATTTGCGCGACTCTATTACATTGCGTAATTTGGACCGCGTCGATTGAAAGAGGATCATTTATTGGTCGGATGGCGAACCGATGAATCACGTTTAAATTTAAGTTTTCTGCGCGCTTCCACACTAGCTACAATCTCGTCTGCTCTGTGTCGAAGGTGCGTGGGCGTTTTTTCTGAGAGCGCGATGATGAGACTTCATATTACGACGTTACTGTAAACGCGACTATCTTTTTGTCCGATATTAACCGTAGGTCTACATCGAATGCATACAACCTCTAGCTCACATTTATAATTTCCTAATGAAAATCTTGTGTATTTTATTATATATAAATAATACTTAAATTAATTTCGAATGGAAATGAGAAAATCCTGTATAATAATAATAAAAGAAATGAACAAAAAGAATCTGATACTCATTCAGATGTGTTCCATTCGAAACAATGATCTTTTTGTAAGTTTCTTCAATCTCTTCGCCGTTTGGCGTAAGTACGTGGTTGAGGTTGAACGGAACGGAACTTGAAAAACTTCTTGCTTGTTACTGACGTAACTTCCGCTTCTTGCTGCGTAAAACAGAAACATATAAAAAACAGGTCAATGAAACGCTTCTACTTGGTTAGCTAGATATCTTTAGTAACGACAAATAAATGAGAGGATGAATAAGATTATTATCATATCCTAAAAAAGTATATTAAAAAACACGTTTATTCGTACTCTCACTTTCACTTATTTCAAAAGTTCTTAACTCTCTTATGTGGAAAAAAACGTCATTATACTATTCATCCTTCTCCATTCATGTTTTACTTTTAGCATTTCCTTTTCAATTTTTTTCGCGCGCGTGCGCGCGCGCGCGCGTGTGTGTGTGTGTGTGTTGTATTTATATTTAATAGCATATAAAAATTATACCTCGTTCTGATTATGCTTCTTCATCGAAGGCCTCATCGAATCCAGTGTTTGCGTTGGCTTATCTTCATTATTATCGTTTAAACTCACCGGTGTGGAATCCTAAGAAGCATGATTCGAGGAATTAAGACAATTCGTAATTAAACGCAGACATAGAGATTTTGTATCGTTAATTTTATGTTCCGCAGAACGACCAATAATCGATAATTACTATAATTGTGCGCTTACGTCGTACTTAGTAGATACACTCGTGGGCTTTCGATCGTCAATCGATTTTATCTGCGTTATTTCCGCAGCTTCTTTCAACTTTTTCTGAAGATCATCATTACGACGCATAAGAAACTCATGATTATTTCTTAAATTGGTGTTGTCCGCTCTTGTTTCCGTCAAAGACTTGTTCAGCGCGTTATTCTCTTTCTTGATACCATTGATCACTTCATTTAGGTACTCTATAGTTTTTTGTAATTCGACTAATCGTGTTTCGTAATTGTTCTTTAAAGTTGATATTTCTTCAGTGTGTTTGGTTCGTGTATTTTCATACAACGTCTCTGCGTTCTGCAAAAGTTCAGGAAATAAAAATTCAATAATTCAAGAAAGTCTTGGAATATCGAGCGTGAGAAGAGGATTTTATTAATATGTTAAATTTACTCATTTATTACCTTATTCTTTGTACTTTCTCGTTTTATAATTTCTTCTTTTTCTCTCTGAAGAGCCTTCAGTTTTTGCTGAAGCTCGGTAGTGGTAAACTCGTTGGTACTTTTAGTTCTTTCTAGATTCTCCTTCATCGCAGTGTTCTGCATCTGTGCAAGTTGCAAGTCCCTCTGCACGTTCGAAAGCTTATTTTCCAGATTGTTGATATAATCCCTTTTATTAGTTAATGTTTCCTCTATTCTATTCACGTCATTAACAAGATCTGCCTCCCTTTGCTTTACTGCACTTAACATCGTCTCTAAATTTTGAATCTAGAAAATAATATTGGAAAATAATTGGAAAATAACGTAATATTAACAAAGATAATATCATTTTAGTCAAAATTAATAAACGACTCTCTACATAACTGACATAACTTACTCTTTCCGTTTTTGTAACCAATTCTTCCTCCCGCGTATGTTGCCTTTCCGTTAATGCTTCACACTTAGCGCTCGTCTCGTTATATCTCGCCGTTATCGTATCGATTTGATTTCTGTCATAAGAAAAACAAATTAAACTTCAGTATCTGATAATGAGATACGATCTAAAAGATATTTCTAATTTCGAAATATTCATAAAATTTCATTAATTTAAATACTTACTTATACATGGAGACTTCATCTTCCAATTTTGAGATAAGTGCATCTTTTTGCTCGATTATTTCCGTAATATTGTTTTTGTCTTGCTCTAACGTGTTTAATCGTGATTGTAAATTTTCCGATTCTAGTTGCAATCGCTGTTGTTTCTGAAACAAACATTAGGATTAGAACATTAAAGATTAGTGAAAAAAGAATGATAAAGTACAAAAGAAAAATTTTTCTTTAAGGTACTTCAATAAGCATTTTCTTTTCTTCAGCGTATGCTCTCGTTAATTCATTTTTCTGCGAATGGAATTCGCGTTCAGCACTCTCCGCTTGTTTTTTTAATTTGTTATGCTCCATCAGCGCCTCTTGCATTCTAAAAAAAAATTATTCACTTAATAATACTATTACTGTTCGTGCAATTTATCGCGTTTGGCGCGATGACTTACTTGTCTTCATGAAGGAGCAATTTGTTTTCTAGTTGTGCGACGATGTCGCATTTCTCTTTCTCGACCATCTGCAGTCGCGATTGTACATTTTCATATTCTAATAGCAATCGCTGCTGTTCCTAAATTAAAAAAGTCTCCAATCAAAATGCAATAGATTATAGCAAAAAAATGGAATCTCTTGGAAGAATGAGACAACAAACTTTGACAAGTGTCAGCTTTTCCGCGGCATGTGCGTTCGCCAATTCATTCCTCTGCAACTGCAGCTCACATTCGGAGGTCTCCAATTGCTTTCGTAATTTATTCTGCTCCGCTATCGCCTCTTGTAATCTAATTCAAAACATGATTTTAATAAAATTTTTGTCTATTTATGCAAAGTATTTATCGGAAGTATAACGAAAATTACCTTTCCTCCTGAAATAGCGAATTATTTTTCAATTGCGCGACATGATTCTCCAGATCTGCGATTACAAAATTAATTATTACAATAACATAAATCTATAGGATCGCGAATGTTTCAAATATTTTAAATATATGTAAAGACGCGCCTTTTGATTTCGAGTCGTTCAGCTGCAGCTTCTGGATGGTTTCTTGTTGTTTCAAAATCACGTTATCATATAAGGAGGCCAAACTAGTGCGGTGCTGTTGAAAACTGGCAAGGCTCTCTTTGATGTAATTGAAATACTCCGTAATGTTCTCAATATACACCCAAGTGGCGTTCAGTCTGTTGTTGCCAAAAAAGAAAGTCGAGTCGCAAAATACAGAAAAGATTCATCAAGACAAAAAAAGAAAGAAGGAAGAAGCGGGATTTACTTCGTCTGAATCTCCTCCCTGTTGCGCACCTCCGTCTCCAAGGAGGCGGACAATGAGGCCTCCGCCTCTTGGCTCTCCTTCAGTTTTCGTTTCAGGCTTTGAATCACGCGTTCGTGATTCTGCAGGGCTTGCTGCTTGTTGTTGTCGACATCCTTCGTGTTCGAACTTTCGGCTACCTGCTACTCCCGCAAAGCATTCATAGAAATTCATTTTCTTTGCAGCTTAGAGCAGCTTCGATCAAAATCCGATTAACTTGAGTGGCGATTAATTAATTGAACATTTTTTATTCATCTTTCTGTGTCAAGCAACAAAGAATTAAGAGTTTTTATCCGCGTTAACAAAATGCTGCAGGTATATCACTCGACAAGTTAATCGCCCATTAAATTAATCGGAGTTTGGCTGAGGTCCAACTAAAGATTAGAAACTAGATTTGACAAAAGAAGAAACGAGAAGGTAAAGGCTCTTCGTCGCTCCTCGAAATAAAGCGATTCGCACCTCTTCCGCTTGCTGTGACGGAACATTGCTTCCCGTTCGGTTCACCCATTGTGTGATCAGCGTATCGATGAATCTGCCGCCGCTTTGCGTGCACGCGCGAGCGTTTTCTGCAAGTTTCGCGGGAAGATTATTACACGAGAATTAGAGCCGGAAGCAAAGGACAAAAACTTGCACCTTCTTACCTTCTTGCATAATTCCTTTTTACGTTTTCCTTTCAACGTCGGTTCGATTCGACCGTTGGGTTCTACTTCGCGACGCCAATTAAGGCAGGTATGTAATAGGCATTGTTGCAAAACTAAAGAAATCAAATGAGAGACAAACTTCAAGCCGGTATCTTCTTGCTGATAATTTTCTTTTTTTTTTATTACGACAAACAACTTGCGATTATTATAATTGCGGTAGAGCTGCCTCGCTAAAATCTCTTCAATATTCGGTTTCTAGAATATGATGCAAATTACATTGTTCTTGGAAAATAAAAACAGCGCTCTGTAATTTAGTGACATTTTTCGTTTCGCGCGCGTCATGTGTAGGCATACCGCAGCGTTCTCTGTTGGTGTATCGTGCAAGCGCTTCGCATCCAGCGACTCCGAACTGCTCCGAACCGAACTCCGATACTCCGATTACTTGAGGCTTGAGATTACTCCGAATTGCTCCGAATCGTGTCCACAACGATCTTTCAGGTTATATTTACCTGGATAATTGAAAACACACATATACGATACTTTGAAGCAAATATTTGCAACAAAGACGAATATTCGCGTTATCCTAGTGCTCGCTTAAAAATGCAGAAAGAAAAAAGAATGGGTTTCTGAATGAAAATAGGAGCGATAAATTTCGTAAGATTCGGGGTTCTTAAAATGTTACATTTTGTGAAATTCTGAGAATCTCACGCTCTCTTTCGGTATTATTATCGCAGGATCTGAAATCTGCTGGTAGTCCGAAGCGAAATTTGTTTCGAGGGAAGATTAAGAGCCATGTCAGGACTGTTCGAGCAGATCAAGCTGCTTTACGATCAGGCATTATACTGCAACGTCATCTCCCTGACGAACCTGGTGCTCTCTCTCAGCGAGCACAATGCCGACTTGCTGCCTGGCTACAGCAAGTTTCATGTGTACGTTTATTACGCGGATGCTCACTTTCACCTAGGCAAGTATCGCAGAGCGGAAACTCTCTACAAGAAGGCTCTGCAGTTCCGCAAGTGTCTGCTAAAGTCCAAAGGCATGGGGAAACCGTTATTGGATGGACAGAAGGATCTGCCGTCGGATGTCAACATCAAGTATCAGATCCATTTGTGTCTAGTCAAGTCCAAGAACCTGCAGGAAGCACTGCAAGTGCTACAGAGCATCCCCGGCAAGCAGCGCACTGCCAAGGTGAACATGGCACTAGCCAAGATGTTTCACGAGCAGGGAATGGAGCGATCTGCTATCACCACGTACAAAGAAGTCTTAAAGGAGTGTCCGTTGGCCTTGGAAGCAGCCGAAGGTCTTCTATCTTTAGGGGTAAATGGGGTGGAAGTAAACTCTCTAACCATCTCCGGCTCAATGAACTTGGAGTGGCTCAACACCTGGATCAAGGCTCACGCTCATATTCATAATAAAGAATTTACTCAAGCCGTAACTACGCTGAGGTCATTGGACAACGTTGTTCTACTCAGAGATAATTTTAATCTATTGACTATCATGGGCGAGTGTTACTATTACGCTGGCGATGACAAGAACGCTCTGCTGTGCCTGAAGCGAGCCCGCCAGATCGAGCCAGATATAACAAAAGGGTAAGTTCAACGATGTCACTCAGAAATTTGTCACAGCATATATCCCTCATACATGCGTACCTATCCTTTGTTACTTTTCTGCAGGGTGGACATATATGCCGCGGTTCTGTACAAGATGCATCACATCAAAGAATTGGAGCGGCTGATACCGGTGATAACCGCTAACAACGAATGTACCGGCGAAATTTACGTTGCCATGGCATATTCCCTGTACGCCGCTAGAAAATTCAGCAGGGCAAATACTCTCACTGCTCAGGCATTAAACCTGAATCCTAACGATATAGAGGCCACTATATTACGTGGCAATATTCTTATTGAGCAAAAGAAGTATCAGGACGCGAATATCTTTTTTAGACACGCCATGCAGTTAAAGCCATATAGATATGAGCCGCATAAAGGTATGGTGGATTGTCATGTCGGGATGCACAGATTGCGAGAGGCTCTGAATATCGCCAGCGGCTGTTGCAAACATCTTGGACAAACCGCAAGAGCTTTAACAGTGAGTTAAAGTTAAAAAAAGAATATCCTGTAAATTTGAATGTAAATGTAAAGATGTAACTATGCATTTCTGCGTTTGCAGTTGTACGCATCCGTCTTGATGAAAGATCCTGTATCAGTGAGCAAGGCTAAGAATCTTCTTGAAAAAGCATTGTCTCAAGATGAGGTCCACTTAGCCGCGGTGTACCTGCTTGCGGAGATATACGAACAGGAAATGAATTTAGAAGCAGCCATCGAACTACTCGAGAGACAGGTGGAGATTCACTCTACCTGCAAGCTCCATCAGACTTTGGGAGACTTATGGGCGAGAGTACACAACGAGGAGAAGGCTCTAGATCATTATGCCGTAGCTTTAAAGTACATAATTTCATTTTTGTAATTTTTTATTTATACTATGAATCTATATAGGTAAAGCTTACCTATCTTTTATTTCCAGCTTGGATCCAAACAACAGGAGAGCTATAGAGGGAATGCATCGCTTAGATAGTTCTTCTAGCAAACTGGATTCCGGTTATTATATGACCGTTGGTGAGGAACAGGCTGATACGACCTACGATGTCGGTGACGGTCTACCGGACACAGATAACGACGAGGCGCCCGAGGAGAGTGAGACTGAAGCCATTTGGTCGGATATGGATTTGGAAGCCAATAGTCAATAGTCGTTCTTATCGTAGAAAAGAATAGCCAATCGAGATCGGTCCAAGTTTTGGCTTCTAAATTAATTATAGTCGATTTTTTTGGAAAAGAATCTTGGGAGAATAATTTGTACGAATGAAATGAGACTGAGATTGTTCGTGATTAATATTATTTGAGAGTAATACATCGTAGACAATTTACTTCTTTTTATAATAAATTCAATAATTGTACCGTCATGGAGCTCTGTTGCCTACTTTTAAAAATATAAAATAAATGTTAAATTTTTATTAATGTCTATTGCGAAAATACTTTCATAAAAAGGAGAACTCTAACGTCGCCGAACTTAAGTATAGCTAGGAAGATTAAGGCAAACCATATACCCGTCGTTTGTTATATTAGTACGCAGCAGTTACACAACTTAGATTTAGAAAAACATCCCGCGATTTGCCAACATGCCTTTCCATATCTTTTACACCTGATATGACGATATTGTCAAGGATTCAAGCATAAAGCCTCAATTACCGGAAATATACTCGTGTCTATGTAACAATACTATATTCGTCAACAATATTCGTATATATGCATATATGTATATACATAAAATTATATTAGATATTTTAAAGAGTGCCATTTAAAATTAAATAATATATAGTTGCGCTATATATAAATATATATATATATAGGTACATACATTTGACAATACATGTATTATCGTAACAATATTGGGCTTTTAGCGACAAAGAGAACGTCGCGCGACATATAAAAGAATCAATAACAATTATTCACATTCACATTTTCCTCTCGCGATTTCGATAAATATATCGCGAGAAAGGTACCACAATATTCGATGCAACAATTAAACTTCGTATGTGCAATGTAACAATTTAAGTTTATACGACTTCCTATATACGCGCTGGCTGCTTGTGAAATTGCTTATCGTGTTTTCTTACACAACTACGCATCTACAAGAATGTAGAATTTATCGGTCAAAGCCAAGAAACACCTTGGGGGATTAATTTACGCGCGTGACATATCTGCAAAATATTCTCTCATACGAATTTTCATTCAAAATGGAAGATGCGATTAATTTAGTTGATGATTAACCTCACGCGAGTTTATATCGTCCAGCCGGTTAATTCGTTAATTAGCGATTCGTTTCATTTATTGCGATTATTTCTTCAAGAACTTTTTCATTTGCTTCGTTTGATGCTGCATACTGTATTGAGCGTTCTCGGCCTTCGTGATCATGGAGTCCAGCTTATCCAGGTGGGATCCCATTTTCTTGCTGAGATCGATCTGCTTCGGGTGGACACCGCTGTTCTGCATAGTGTGTTGAGCGTTCTCGGCCTTCACGATCAAGGCCTCCACCTTGGCCAAGTTAGATGCCCTTTTCTTGTTGATGTCGATCTGTTCCTGATCATCGCTGTTCGCGGGATTCACGACAGCGTCATCCGACGATTCCACCGTCATCACCTCATCGGATTCTGGCTTCTCCTGGCTTTTCAGCTTCTCCGCGTCGGGATTCGGCTCCTCGGGCTTGTGACGCGGCGTTCCGCCGCGAGAAGTCACCTTCACCTTGAGTAACGTTCCCATTCTGCCGCAAACCGTCTGCGGAATTTTTTATTTTATACAGAAGCCTTCTCTCTCTCCTTCTTCCTCCCTCCCTCTCTCTTTCTCTATCTCTCCCGCGATGAAAAATGGAGAAAACGCGCGTGTAATGTCAATTTATCTGTAACTCGTCAGCGTGCGGAACTTACGAATCTCGTGACGAACAATTCATTTAGCCGCGTGGCCGCGGTGGAGAACCGGCGGTGCAGGAGGAAAGCGTTATCAATTTAGCGAGCGGGTAAGGACATAAAGCGGCCCGTCGTATCGGTCGTAAAAATTCCGCGCTATCGTTATGACAAAATAATAATTAATTCGAGCAACATGCGAAATGAGCGCGCGCGGGCCCGCACGGCAATTAATTATCCCAAGTCACCTTGAATCTGTTGAGCTTCTTCTGCGTGTGGCTCAGAATGGTGGTCAGCTCATCCAGACCGCCGGTGATGCGTCCCGCCGTCTCGTCCGCGTGATCCAAGTCCTATAGGAGATAACAGCGTCGTCGTGTGAGGGAAAATCATGTCGTGGACACGCGTGGACGATCGTTGACGCTAATATGAATCCCCACGGCAAACTCCGCGCGGCGACCCGCGTCAGCGGATTTATTCCGGCTGATCTGGCACGCCGCACGTGGACGCGCAACCCGATTCTGCTACGTTAACGTCTATCGCCGCCGTAGGTGCATTAGCCGTTCATAAACACGCGAAAGAGTGAGAAAGAGTGGATGAACGAGAGGAGAAAAAAAGAGAGGAAAAGAAATTTGTAAAAGCTCGAAGAAAACTTGCGAAGTACGTCGCTCGAGACTCTTCTAGCTCCTGACGTTTTACATGTTTACGACGTAAAAAAAAAGAGATTTTAAATTTTCGTTAAATTTTCGACTCAAGAGACGGATGGTTTTGTCGACGGGCGTGCCAGATTAAGCGAAATTCAGGCTACTTTGGTTGGGCATATCTCCAAAGAGACATCTCCTCCTGGACTTGGAATTTTCAGGCGTCTCAAACCGTTTCAGGCCAAGCGCAGGCGAGGCGCAGCGCGATTACCTCTACTACAGCATCGACAGCATCGTCGTCGTCATCGTCGCAACGGCGATTCTCGATCTGCGCCGCCTGCGACTGCCTCCACTCCTCCTCGCTGGGCCTCGGCAAGCCCAGCAATTCCGCCCTTTGGCAGGCGTGCTGATAGTCCTCGGACATCACGCCGGGTACCAGCTATATAACGACGGACCGCTATACCCCCGAAAAACGTTCGGGCGTCGCGACGAGCGATCGTGCGCGAGTACTCCCCGACGAGATATTCCGTGGAAATCGCTGCGCCCTTGGGCGCGAGGCATGTATCACTCAAAGAATCCATATTGGAGTGGAAACTGCGCAGGCTCGACCGAAGGTGGGCAGAATTAAGGCCTTCACACGTAAAATCCGTGTAAGAACGTAAAACGTAGGCGTACGAAAATCGACCAATCCCAATCAAGTATTGTGCTGTCCGTAACCTCAGTAGGGGAAAATACTTGATTGGGATTGGTCGATTTTTTTACGCTTACGTTTTACGTCCTTACGGCGTTTTATGTGTGAAGGCCTTTTACGGATGGAGCTTTGCGCCCTCGCCCCCGTGGAAACGGTCGGAGTTCGATCGGGGTTGATACCGATCAAATATTAATTTTCAGGACGCTGGGCTGCAGCAGGAGAGATCGATCCGGTCTCTCCAATACCCTTGAAAAGTGGAACGTTTAATAAAGTAGCTTAGTATAGCTTATAGATAAGAGCGCTTCCGATAAAACTTGAATTTTAAGGGGGAATATACACCTAGAAACGAAAAAAAAAAAGGTAATTTTCGGGAATTTTTTTCAGGGGAACTATTTGAATTGTCGGGTCGGGGTTTTTTGTAGCTAAAAATACACACTTTCAAGAATGTTTTAAATTTTTTTTATTAAAAAATGTTGCAAATTCACGGAGTACTGGAGTCGTCTACGGAGTGCCGTAAAAAAAGACGGTAGCCAGCGGCGCTTCGTCAAAAATCATCTAAAACAAAAAAATCAAACAGAAAATAAAAATAGATACTATAATCTAGTCTTTGTCGTAGCCGATTTTAAAAATATTGATATTGATTGATTGAATAGCGATTTTTTCAAGATCGCTACGTTGAGTTCAAGCGCCCGCCATTTTGTAAAAAATCAATATTTTTAAAATCGGCTACGACAAAGACTAGATTATAGTATCTATTTTTATTTTCTGTTTGATTTTTTGTTTTAGATGATTTTTGACGAAGCGCCGCTGGGTACCGTCTTTTTTTACGGCACTCCGTAGACGACTCCAGTATACTCCGTGAATTTGCAACATTTTTTAATAAAAAAAATTTAAAACATTCTTGAAAGTGTGTATTTTTAACTACAAAAAACCCCGACCCGACAATTCCAATAGTTCTCCTGAAAAAAATTCCCGAAAATTACCTTTTTTTTCGTTTCTAGGTGTATATTCTCCCTTAAAGAGCTTTTTACGAGATTATTACGACAAGTGGCGTTAGATCGGGAGTTGTTGGGAAAGCGGCTTTCGAGCGATCGGAGTACTCGTGGAGAAAAGGAAATAAAATGATACACGTTAGATCGCGAGATAACTATACGGGTGGAATCCGAGTTTCTCAGGGTGGGCTCCGTATCGTCCATATGTTCATGATTTAATTTCAATTTCGCCGTGTGCGCTTGGACCACACAGCGCACCGCCGCCGCGGCCGCGCCGCACAAGCCGTCCTCACCCACGTGCACGTCCATAAAGACGTGCACGCGCACGTTATATAAGCTACGCGACAGCTTGTTCGGTTTGCATTGTTGTCGGAGCGAAGTCTGCGTCGTCTCGCGAGTGAGTTTATGGCACCGACAATGTCATCGCGGACCGCGGTACGGGGGATCGAGTTCACTTTGACCCTGCTGCTCGTGTCATCCGCGCAGGTGAGACCGGGGGTGTCTCCCGACCTTGCCACGAAAGAAAGTTAGGGTGTCGAAGAGACAGAAGGAAGAATGGCCGAATTTTAATATCTTTTAATTTATTTTAATATACTTAAAAATAAATTTAAATAAAAATTTAAATTTAACTAAAATATATGTTTCAATATATTTTAATATTTATGTCATTTATATAAAAGTGTACCGCGTACATTTTTAGTATATAATCTATAAATAAATAATTTTTTTGATTAGAATCAAGTATTAAATAAAAAAATAAATAATTTTTTTGAATTAGAATCGAGTAATTGGAAGCTTTTGGAATATTGATATATCGTACTCAAATGTCGTTGCGTTCTACTATTTAAAAGTAGATTTATCTTTATAGTATCACGAACGTTTATGATTCGCAGTAAAATCGTGTACTTTTTCCGAGACGAGAGAGATCACATTCACCTATTTCTTGAAAGATTTATTGGGCTATCGTTTGTCAAATTAGAGACGCCAACTGTCAGCGGTAATGGGCTCGACGTGAACAGTATTACATCCCAATATCGCCGGTGTGTTATCGAACGAGTTAACAATGAGAATGATGCCGATGGGTCGTTAAATTCTTCGTGACCCTCGCTATAACGGACCGGGGAAAATAAAAGAAATAAAAAATCGCACGGGTGGCCATGGAATTTAGAGAATTAGCCGACGGCGATACAGTTTTCGCATAATCGATCACAACGAACGTTCACCGTGTTATCAATTTGGATTCTCAGCCCTGTTTTTCTTTCGCAAAATTGATCGCGCTTCTACGTGCGTAATAGTTTTACTCTCGTATAAGAATGAGGCAAAGTAAAATAAATACTATTCGTTGTTTAATTAAATTTTGAATTACAAGAAAACGTGTCAACGCGTAACGGAGAGGAATCGACCTCTCTCAGCTATTTCGGCACCGTTGTTTCACGTCCCAATTTCTCTAGGCGGTCAACTACGAGGCTCATAGACACGACGTGATAGTAGCGAATGAGGACGACAACATAATCCTGACGACCCGCGACTTTCTCGAGCAGCTGAATTTCGTGGCGCCGAAAGAGAGTTACACGTTGCAAGAGGCGACGGAGCACTTGCTGCAGTTCGGCGCACTCCTGCGGGCGCGAATACTCGACACCTTCGGCAGCCTCCTGTACGTCTATTACGACGACTTCGGCATAGCGGAAGTGGAGGCGTTGCGCAAAGTGTACCGCGAGATTCTCGAGCGACGGTACGATGTATTCGACCTGGTCCCCAACGTCCTGAAGAATCAGGACACGAGACCGTCCAGGATCTGCGCCGAGATCTACGATCGCGCTACGGATACCTGTCTGCGGAGTAGCGCGAGCATGTGCCGCAGAATCAGGAATAAGCAACACGATATCTCGCATCCCGACGATCGCGACACGCCCGCGTTGAATGTCACGTACCGGATGTACCGTTCGTCCAAGATATCGAAGCAGTATCCCGGAGGTTTCTCGCTGGCGACGACGCTGAGGTTTCTGCAACGGGAAGCGCTGACGATCACGCCCAATCTGCTTTCCGGACTCCTCTGCAACGTGAGGTACGAGAACTACGACGACGACGTGCGCCTCGCTGAGAAGGAACTCGTACGACACTTTCACGAAACCACGGAGACTGAAATTTCGATTCCCACGAAGGAGCTGAGGAAGTTCCACACTGTCAACTCCTTCCTCAAGCACTACATCGACACGTACGCCGAGAAATCTCTGGACAATGATCTGAAGAAGCACGCGTTCCTCATTGCGAGACGCATTACCGACGACGTCGGCACGATCGACGAGAATATCCACTTGCTCGGCAATGCGTACGAGAACGGAACGATTCACATCGGATACCTGTTCGATCTCGTGCTACCCGACGATCTACTTGAGAACGACGTTATCGAGGCTAAGAAGTACTTAGTGACGAAATTAAACGAATTCAACGTGGTGGAGAAATATCTCAGGGTGCAAAAGTATCAGCAGATCACTCCCGCTCAGCTGACGATGGAGATCACTGGGCAGCTGAGAGATATCGACTTCGCCAAGAGCATCGCGACATCGCTGCGGATGCACGCGAGATTCTGGCGCGGGAGTCGCATGATCGAGAGCCTCGACGATCTGCTGGAGCTGTTCGACTCCTACGAAAATCTGCGGCAAGTGCCACGCTATGCGCGCATGATGCGGAAGATTGACGGGATCATCGAGAGTCTACGGGATATGAAAGACGTCCCCGTTGAGATTCTTTGCAACGCTCCGCGAGCTTGCCTACGAATAGGTCTGCAATTGGTTTTACGTTGCAGATTCATAAGTTCCGAAATCAAGGAGTACATCAAGGGCTTCCTCGAGTTGAGCAACGTGTGCATCTACCCCGTGATACCCCCGGAATCGAGACGTTCGGTGGAGATCCCGTTCAGGATATCGAAAGTGCGTTACAGTACAGCGTTTCAAAATAGGAGCACGTTTATCGGCAAGGTTCCGACTCCACCCAGCGTCGTACTGCACAGATCCAAAACGTCGGTCAAAATTAGAGTTCCAACGGAACCCTGGGACACTACGGAGTTTACCAGCACGATTACACCGATGACTACGCCCATAAAGCCAATCTCGACGACCCATCGTGAAGAGACAACTACACCCATAACGAGTACTACAGCGGCAACAACTACACCGTTAGCTACAACGTCACCCACAACAACTACGACATTACCTACCACAACGACTACAACAACATTGCCTACGACGACCACAACATTACCTACGACGACTACAACATTATCTACGACTATAACAACGTTGCCAACAACAACTACGACATTGTCTACGACGATCACTACGACGTTACCCACGACGACTACCACTCTATCGCCCACGACAACTACTACGGAATTGCCCACGACGACTACGACAACGTTGCCCACGACAACTACTACGGCATTGCCCACGACGACTACCACTCTATCGCCCACGACAACTACTACGGCATTGCCCACGACGACTACCACTCTATCGCCTACGACAACTACTACGGCATTGCCTACAACAACTACTGCAACAACATCGCCTACGGTTACGACAAAGCGACCGACCATCGACGTGAAAATGAAACTGAAACGTTCGACAGTCAGGACAGTTACCTTTCCGTATGACAGAAAGCCTACAGAAAACGTGACCGTATTTATTACGACACCTATCCCGACGACACCCTGCGAGTCTATCGAATGCAAGTCAACTAGCAAACGTGTCGAAACGACAACCGCTCTGCCCTCGACGACGCAATCTCTGACGACGACGACGACGATGCAGACTTCTACTCCCGAAATTACTCGAACAACGTCTCCTGGACCACCATCAACCTATCGAGACTTCACCGAGCCTACGGCTTCTTCGACGACAGATGTTACGCCGGTTACAAAAGGTAAAATAGCATTATATTATATTACGTAGCTCTCTTTTCTAATATAAAATATAAAATGCTAGTCATGTTAGTTTTGCTCCTTAATTCAGGAAAAAATTACGATTTCTGACGTTAAACTAATAATAGCTTTTTGACCGAGAAAAATACTCGTCATACTACATGCATACATTTATTCATTTAACAGATATATTATAAATAAACAGACTTTAAAGCATCTTAAATACACGTAGCTGCAAGTAAATTTCGAAGATTAACACATGTTAAACATAACACAGGCGACTGTCCGAAGAGCTGCCTGGAACGCTGTAGACCCAAGAGTGAGAGCTTCGAGCCGCCGTCGAGAAGAAGCTCCTGCGACACAAGCTGCGATTCCGTGACGGAAGATTGCGAGGATGATACCTCCAAGGATTCTCTGGAATGCAAACTGGAGAGCGACGGGAATTGCGAGTGCCCTCCCAAGGAAGAAAAGAGCATCGAGTGTATGACGTTGTGCCCTCCGGACAGCTTGTCGTGCGAAGAAGCCCATGGCGACTGCATAACGTCGGTGGTACCGTCGATCGACATGAAGCTTCGACGCAACATGAAGCGGACACGCAGCATGTGCGAGATCCGGGATCCCCATCGTCGCCGTCAGTTGAAACGGCTGGCGAAGATGCGGGCGATCAGCGCCGCCTCCGCCACGGTCGCGACGTCGCGCGTCGACGTTCTCAGGCCGACGACGTCGCGCCATCGAGATCGGATCGCGACCAAAAAGCTGTACAATCTATTAGCCACCAAATTACCCCATTCCAACGATAGGAAGATGGCGGAATACTTGCTGAAGAGACCTCACGACGGCGGGCTGAGCGGGAACGACAAAGATCGAAGACGTCGCAGACAACGGCAGCAGGTCTACAGGCAGGGGAGAGGACGGCTGACGAGAAAATTCAGCGGAAAACTAAGCCGAGGGACAACGGTGCATCGCACGAGAGGGGCCGCGTCATTTCGCCATAGTCAGATCAAAAGGATATCCGGGGGCGACGCGAGATCGATCAGCGCGTAAATTGGCCGAGGGAGACGAAATCCGGAGTCTATTGATTTAAAATTACGTCGTTTTAGCGGATAATGTCATTATAGCTGTTACGTTATTATGGACGATTGATATGTCGGCCGTTACTTCGTCGTGCTGCATTTAGCGTATATATTTTCTGCCCATTTAATCGGGTCAGAGGGGAAAAAATATCGTGGAACGCGGGGCTTCGTTCCTGAGGAGCTAATTATATATCAGAGACGAAAGCATTTATCGAATTCGGCTAAACGATTACTCGGTCCGGAGGTTTTAATAGCCGTCTATATTTAATCGGGCGACCCGTCACAAGATTCGTATGCATTATAAATTATTTCTTCGATGCTTTTTTTCAAAGGCCGCCGTTGACGTCGCAGCACTGATCAAATTAAAGTTGCGTTAATGAGGTCTCTTATCAGCGTTTCGAGCAACGAATTTATATCGATAGGCGACCGAGCGTATTTCTGAACGTTTAAATTGTTGGAGATCTTTTTTTTTCTCGATGAATTTTGTAAATCCTTAATGTTTGATAAAGGTACATCTAGCCACTGAAAACAATCGTATTCTGATATTGTATCGTGATAAATTTTCTTCAGTCTATTTATACAGTCCGTTTGCGAGATTGAGAAAAAAATTGCCAGCGAACAAATTTACGCGAGAATCAGAAATAGAAATTATGGTATTCCGATGGAGGATACAGTTATTCGAATACTTGTATCGAGTACGCCTATTTCAGTACTATTTGAGTAGTTTTTTTATTCCAACTATAGAAAGCCTTCTCTCAGCTTCTCTTTTTAGCAGGCACTTGAACAAACATTCTCGTCGTACATTCTCGTTTCGTGCCGAGCAAGTAGCAACGAGGTCCGGCGTGAGTAAACGCCATAAACGGATAAGCGGAGCAAACGATAGAACACAATGAGAAGTAAATTTGACATGGCCGGTGCCCGGCGCGTAATCTGTCTTATTAAACGATCCCGCTCGCACGGTGAGCGATTACATTTGAATTTACTTTACGCCCGAAATAAGCGCCGTGTCGCGCTATCGAGCCAATTAATTCTCCATCCCCAGGATGCCTTTACGACCACGGCGAATCCGCTTCATTTCGCCGATCGTTATTCCACCGCCGCGCGAGAGTGACCTTTTTCTTCTTCTTTTTTTTTCTTTTCTCTGGTTGGGGCATTGGCATATTTCGCGCGTTCCTCCGACGCGATCTCGCGAGACACGCGCGACTGTCCGACAAAGAAATTCGACACCGCGCTTTCGCTCGATCGAATTTCCGTGGGCGAGGCGGAGCCGCAAATCGTTTCCAGCGAACGCAAATATATAAACGTAATTTCACCCACGCTGCTCGTTCGTGCTCGTCAATTGGAAGGCGCTATTTAATCGTCGATGTTAATCGAGCGTCCATTCATCATACTCCCGTCCGAAGAGCGGGCAACGTGAAGTGGGCACGATTTTCAGGAGGACGATGCGTGGTGGAATAATTACACCGGCGGTATATCATTTCCAGACAAATAAACTCTATTCCGCGAAGAGAGGCGCTCGAGCGAGCTTCCTCGCGCCGAGTTATTTTAAAGAAGCCACTCCTCGGTCGAAGATCAGACGTTCTCCGTCAAAGGAATCATTGTACAACCTGCGCGTTCCTACAAAATATCTCGTTATACTTTTCTAAGGCTTCAGGGCGATCGCTCTCGTCCACCCTCCGTCGACCTTTACGGTTGCTATAGTATCGATCCGCGATTACGTGCGCGCTCGAAATTCTAAGGACCTCGGAGAACGCGCGACACGTGCGCGCAAAGGAGTCCGAATAAATTGTCGATATAATCGGGATACACGTGCCAGAGGCCAGATACCCTGAAATAACGCCCGCTCTGTACAGACAGAGCCCGACTGTCCGATACTCCGCGGAGGGTGTTTACAAAGAGAGAGAGAGGGAGAGAGCGTGGGCATATAAACAATAACGCGGGAATCGAGTCGAACGAAAATCGTAATGCCCGTGTGTCACACTACGTATCGCGGACGCGGATCGGATTGGGATTACGGATCGCGGATCGGATATCAGCCGATCACAGATGAGCTGCTCGTCCATGATTGGCTAGATTACGATCCGCGATCCGCAATCTCAATCCGATCCGCGTCCGCGATACGTAGTGTGAAGAGCACTTATAAGGGTGCGAGAAAAGGGAAGCCTCGTATCGTCGAGCAGGATGTTTGCTCTCTTCCTATCTTTTCTTTTTTTTTTTTTTTACAAAACGAGTTTTCTGCGAGTATGGTGGGTTCACCGAGTGAACAATCTCACGCCCGTTTCACGTTTTGACGCAGATTTTCCCGCAGAATTTTTCTATTATTTACACGACGTTTCGCGACACGTCGGTGATTTACGGTCGCGGGCTTCGCGGTCAGACACGACGCGTTAACCAGTTTAAACTGGTCGATTCCTAAAACATACGGAGACCGCGCGGCCGCATTTAGCGGGAGCGCGGGTGTACGTACGTGTATGCACGAGCGGTCTCCTTTTTTTTATGAATTTATGTAGACGGGCACTCACGTGCTCGTCTACAAGCCGCCTTTCGCAAAATTGTCCACGCGCACGACGTGTGTGTGTTTGCGGCGCTCGTTAAATCACCGACGGCCGTCTATCAATACGGCTGGCTCATGTGACCGGCAATTTGTATCGACGTACAAATTCGCGATTTGCACAGGCAGCCGTCAGGATACGTCATCGCGAGATTCCAAAAAGGTAAACGGATGCGACTCTCGTGCGCGCGCGAGCGCGACGGGAAGCGAATCGCGATCACGCGCCTGTCACGCATCGAAACGCGGGAGGACATCTCCTTAATTAATGTCTCCCATGTGTGTGTGTGTGTAAGAGAATGCAATTATGGAACTTAATTCTCGCACGAAAACGTTTCGCTAACGAGGCACAACGTCGAGACGACCGCGCGAGTGACCTTCCCTTTCACCTCGCTCGGGTAACAAATCGCGACGATTCCGATCGGTTTTTTTTGCCAAAGGGCAAAAGTCCGCCGTCGACATCGTTAAAAGATCGACGGAGGTGGGGGTGGAGGAAAGAGTAGTCCAGAGCGCGTTGGAGGTTTCCACTGATGCCGTTGCTAGGTTGCGGTAGGCATCCCATATACGGGCGAGACAGAGAGGGAGAGAGAGAGAAAAGAAGAGAACGACCGGGCACAGAGAGCGACATAAAGAAGGGAAGAGAAAGGAGGAGAGAAAGAGAGAGAGAGCGAGAGGGACGGTATCCCGCGCGGTTTCGGCCAGTCTCGGCGGCCGGTCGCGGCGGCGATCGGGCGCGCTCGGTACCGTACGGTACGGCGCGCGGCTCGGCGCGGCGGCTCGGATCTCGCGCTCTCGCGAAGTATTACGCGCTCACTTCAGTCCGTTACGGTGCGTCGCGCGGCGCGTGTGGTGGGACGCGCGTTTTCCAACGTTTCAGGGGAAGCGCGTACACGCGCGGGGGGTACCGCGTCTCTTTCGTGGGCTCGTGGCGTCGCTGCGGTGGTGCGGAGGGCGCGCACGGGCGTAAAAAACACGAAGACTCCCCTTTGTCGCAAACGCCGCTCTCTCTCTCTCTCTCTCACTCATCTCCGTCTCTCTACCCTGCCTGCCGGGTCTCGAGAAGCTCGGAGCACGCGTCCCCCTGACATGCGGCCGGCGAGCGTCAGGACGAGCCATTGTCCGTGCCGTTTGACACTCGGGGCAACGGCCAGCCGCGCGCGCGGGCGACCGGCGACTCTCCCCGCAGCCAACCCGAGCGGGCGAGCTGAACCACTCGTCGCGTCGGCCTGAATTTACCTGCGAGTCGCGACGCGGGAAAAACGAGGAGGCTGCCGAGTCGGGGATATTCTTACGGTGAGTAACCTATCTTCTCGGAGTGTCAGTCCGACGCTGACGATCCCGCTTTTAACCCTTTACGCTCGACGGAGCCGGCGCACGCTCTTCCGAGAGGCGTCTCGCGCGATTCCAGCCGAATCCTGGAACCTATCTGGTGCTTAAATCTGTCGTCTAAATGTTCTCTTCAATTCGCTCGATAATACTTTTTTATTTAAATTTCGCTGCAATAAGGTAAGGGAAAGGTACCAATACCCGAACATGTACCTATATCCGAACACCTTTATTATTTATAAGTATATAACGCGAATTAAAATCAAAGATAAAAGTATTTTTTCTTGTAGTTTGAAACTTCAGTTATAATATTCAAACGTTTATTTTTATAAATTTATATTTTTTTAAAGATATCCAGACACAGATACGTGTTCAGGTATCGGTACATTTCCTATGCTTAAATGTTCGGGTATTAGTACCTTTCCCTTACGACTCATAGATCGCTCCGTAGATTCGTGTTTACTTCGAAATTGGATTTGGAGCACGGACTACGTTGCGTGTCGCGTCGTGTCATTACTTTTCCCGCTAGTTCGAAACGGTTGCGGAGGCGCGAATTTCTCCGTCCACGCCTAAGCTATGCAAATGCGAACCGCGATGTCATTAGGCGTCGTGTGTCTCATTGGCGGGGTTTCCCCCGGCGAGTAAGGATTGCCGCATATCCCACAAAGGCCAGCGATGGAGGCACGAGGCACGTCTCGTTCCAACACCGAGCTTTCCGTTCGAGAAATTATTCGTACGTATAAGTACGTATAAGGTACATCGGAGCCGTGTCGGTCGTTTTGAGCGACGTGCTATTCCGAAATGTCAGTTTCATGACATAGATATCGCGTATCGGAATACTTTAACATAAAAAAGAATAGATAATTTTTACGTGGGCAATAATGTTCGCAGTTTAATCTGCCTCGTAAAGTTTGTCCATAACTGTTTCACGTATGTTTTGATAAATAGATGATTTAAAGATATGTGTATACATCTATCTAATAATATCTATTGATGTAAAATCGACGGCCGAAAGGTCACTGGACGGCGAACGATCGAAATATGCGTGTCCGTTTATCCCAACCTCGACTTATTTCGCATACGTTATATTTCTATCC